GCTTTAACGACAGAGCTATTGCGTCCACTGACAGAGTGAAGGATCTTGGTATTACTCTTGATTCCAAACTGCGATTCCACCTTCATATCGACCTTATGGTGAAAAAAGCATTACGTAACTTGGGGTTCGTTATCAGAATAAGCAGAAATTTCACCAATGTTACCTGTATAAAGTCCCTTTATATGGCATTTGTAAACAGTGTATTAAGCTATGGTTCTGTGGTGTGGAGTCCCATGTACGCCGTCTATCGTGATTCCATTCAAGGTGTCCATTAAGTCATTAAGTTAATTATTCGTTAAGTGTCCATTCAACGTCGCTTTATTCGTCACTTGGCGTATAAATATTATCTTCCGTACTGCGATTACGACAGACGCTGTACGGTTTTCAACCTATTGCCTCTAAGGCAACGGCGGCTCTTGTCTGACCTGGTATTTCTTTTCAAAATTGTTAACGGCATGCTGAATGTCCCCGATCTTCTATCCGAGCTGAATTTTAATATTCCACAGCGCTTCACCCGGAATAATATCACTTTTCGTTTGCGCACATCTAATACGAATACTTATTCTAATTCGCCAATCATACGGGTTCTTAATACTTACAACCAGAGCTTCAACCATGTTTCTCTATTTAGGCTGTCATTGCGTTCGTTTAAAGATTTCGTGTTGCGCGATATTGTTTAGTTGCGAACCACTTTAATTCTGTATTAACTTGGTAAAAACATTGTAACTATTTTTCTTTATATTTGAATTTCTTGCTTGTTTCTAAGTGTATTGTCACTTTATGAAATATGTTAAATAATGTTAATTTCGATATGTTGTGAGGATGCTTCACTGGGGATGTTCTCCCTGTTTGCGTCCCAAATTGTAATAAATAAAAAAAAATAAAATAAACAGACATTTACACTCTCGCCAACTATTGAAGAATTGGCTGACTGACGCATTCAACAAAGTTAATTGCTCCAACACTAACTGGGATGTACTATGTTCATAAAATCTCATAGTTGTCTTTAAAATTTAGTGATATTTAGTGGCTGTCGATATTCGCCTTCTTTCCCCTAAATTGGGAAAATCGACGCTTTAGTTATGGAAAAGTTAAGGTATGATAAGCTTTATAGTGTTACTTTGCCCTTTTTTCTTACAAACATATTATATTTATTTAAAAAAATATTTCCGCAACTATTTACAACAAACGTTAGATAACTTCAATTTTCAAATTCATTTTCTTCAGTTTCCCCCATTTCTTTTCGCAATTTCATCATCAACGATTTATCACTTCCATTTCCATCGGACGAGGAACCACTATCGTCAATTTTAGAACAATTTCCAAACTGAAATACTATCCCTGATTCGCTTTTAGCCATTGATGAAGAAGGCACTAAAACAATTCTCAAATAATACATTGAAATAAATAATTATAACTAATTTACAGCTATTTTGATGAATTTCACTAATAATTAACTTAGGTTTACGTCCAATTTTTTTATCAATTATCACACTTTCTTCTTCTAAATGTTTTAGTTTCATTTTCGCTTCATTTATAATTGAGTCTGTTGGACTTCGACTTGAATTACTTGATGTTGGTGATTTTCTTCCACATCTTCGTTTATGCACTCTTTGTATGTATCGAAAATTGGGGGGAATGACGTTATTTGTACGTATATCTATAAAAAAAAATTTTATAAATAAAAACGAAAAATAAAATTTTAATAAAATTACATTCTTCTCCCGCCCCGGTGTATGATAAAATATTTCTTTGATTTGCAACTCTTCGAAAAGGTTCATTATCGTCCAATGTATTATGTAAGATGCTGTTTAATCTCAATATATTTTGCTGAGAGATATTTAATTCTGCCATCAATGTTGAAGCTCTCAAAGCTAAATTATCCAATTCTTTAGTGAAGCCATGATTATCCAATCGAAGAATTTCATTTTCTTTTTCTAATTTCTCTATAGATTGTTTTAAAAAATTATTTTCTATTTTATAAGTTTTCAAAACCTCTATATTTAAATTTGCATCATTCGATTCTTCATCATCATGGTTAATATCACATTGAGAACTTTTGTTTTGCATCGGAATATTACTAGTTGATACAGAAACATGAACTTTTTTTATTTTACATTTATCATCGTTTAATTTACATTGAACATATTTATTTGATTTATTCCCATTTTGTTTTTGTTTCAATTGCATCTCATTTAACTGTGTTTTCAACTGATTTATTTCACTTTTAAGCTCATTTCTCTCAATTTCAAATGATTTCTCTATATCATAGGCTCTTAATTTATATTTACTCAATTGTGTTTTAAATTCCACTTTTAAATTGGCTTCTAATTGCTTCTCTTTTTCTTTGTGTTTATCACAAATCCATTTAATTGAATATTTTAATTGGTTAACTTCTTCTGGAGATATATTTGAATTAAAAAGGATTCTATCGATGTTATGGATTCCTAAATCGAAATCATCACCTAATAGTGTTGTGAAGAAAATGTCTTGTATCATATTTTCTCTGATTTGCATTGGTGGGATGGGTAAAAAATAACACAATAATGGATCTTCGCCTTGTTGATATAGTAAATAAATGCATTTTGCTTGTTTATTATGCCGCATAATACCTAAAGTCTCCAAGATATCCAAAACTTCTTTTTGGGTGAATTTAAATCTTTCACGTCCATTATAAAATACTTTATTTAATGTAACTTCTGTACCAAAAACACATAACGAGAATTGATAATTACTGTAAGACATGTACTCAGCCACCAACAGATTGATTGCTTGTAGCTTTGGCGAGGAGGGTGCTTGTGGTTCAAGTCCCAATGATGTCCCAGCTGAGGTGTTGCGAAGAATCTCGATCATATTACTTTTGAAATATGCACGAAGCTCGCTCAACAAACCCCTGTTTTGTAACCAAGTGCATAATTGCTTCTGGAAATCGTCCGCGGAGAGATATGTGGCATCGTCGATACTTAACGCAGGTTGTATATTTGAAGCCATCATTTTAGTATTAAATTAGAATTATTTTTAACTGAAAATTTTTAGTTGTTCATGCAGGAAATTTAAATGATTTCGGTGTTTTGACGTTTTTGACAAGTTTGGGGTGTTGCCATAGTAACGGATATGGTCACAACAATTCACAATTAAATTTAAAAGTTTATTTAGTTTTCTAATAAATAATAATTAGTTTATAACATTTAAATGATTTAATTAAAATTAATTAATACAATTAAATTTAATACATTGACTTTTTAATAGCGATAAAATTCAGGTCGAGTTACAGCACCATCTATGAAGTTCAATATGAATTAGATTATTATTATTATTAATTTAAAACTTTATTAACAAAAAGAGGTATTAATATAAATTTTAATGCTAATTAGATTTTTACTTTCATTTGATTTTTAATTAATAAGATTATATAATTAAATTTATTGCTGTACAAAGTTATAGGTTAGGTTGTTTATAGGTTAGGTTAACCTCCTAATAATTCTTGCTTTTTGTGTTTAAAACATTACAAAGTTAAGTATTTTACATGTAGAACGTCGTTAAAGCCGAAAATACAATGAAAATGATAAATCGTAGAGATAAATGTTTTAAAAGATATAAACAAACTAAATAATAATGCTTTATTTGTAGGAATTGCAAACTCACTTTACCATATAATTAAAAAAAATAAGGATAACAGGAAGCTCTAGGATTATTGTGGATTGATGACACACCCCGAATGTTATATTGTAGTAATCATTTAGAGATGACAGTATATATTTAAAAAATGTTGGATACAGGCATTATTTGTTGAAAAATGGGGTTTAAAAATCTATTAATTTAAATCTAACCCACGCCATTTGTCTAGAAAGTTCTTCATCATTCATGTAGTATTTTATAGCGTCGGTTCAAACCATATCGACATTATAAGAAGATATATCCTTTATTAGTAGTTTTCTTTGATGTGAAGGATATTGATGTTTGATAAATTAAAGGAGTCTTTAGGGGGGCATGGAGAATTATTGAGACTATTTTATTGTGGAAATACAATTTAATTTTTGTGATTAAAGGGCTGATGATTTTTTGAAAAAGTTTATGATGGATGTTTTGATGAGGGGAGTTTCAAGAAAGGATGTTTTGTATTTGCGGTTTGTCTTATTGTTTAGGGGGGCATTGAAGATGTTATATGAAAAGTTAGGGTTGCTGTTAGTGTAGGTGTTTCTTTTTACTTGTTATGGGTTATTCTGTTGTATATCAGATAGGCTTTACAATTCAGGGTTGTTATGCTTTAAACAAAGTGTTTAAAATGAACTGTTTTTAACATGTTTAAAACTGTAGGATATGTTTTAAACCAAATTTGTTTTAAAACATGGCATTTTGTTTATAAGAATAGGTGCCTTTAAAAATTAGCATGTTCAATTTTTTCTTTCTCTATGTTTATTATTTATTTATTTAGTTCTTGTTTCCACTAGATGCACCATTTACTCCATTTAGTTCTCTAAGTATACAGACTAATTTTGCTGCTTTATCATTTCCTAATCTAGGACGCCAAGGGACTAAAAAGTCGCGCAATATTGGCAGATAGTACTGCAGTTTGTAGCTGTTGAATTAATTTTAATGTAATAAAATCCAAAAAGCTAATAGATTTGCTTACGTTGGTCGTTACTAAACTTTCTACACTTTTTGCCACCTGTTTGAATGTAATCCGAAATATTTTTGTCCATTTTGTCCATCAAAAAGTCAAATTTGACATAAGGAAACTAATTATCACAAAACAAGTGCAATAGCTAAGTCGGTTTTGGTCATGGCACACTTTGATTGTTATATTGTCTACCTTATGTATCTAGATAAATCGCTTATGCATTTCATATTTACAATAATTTTTACATTAAACTGAAATGTAGCAACTATTATTGGACAGAGGAAGTAACATTTAATTACTGATTGGAAGCGATTAACTATTAAATTTAATTCATCAACTCACAAAATTACAATATTATATGTACTTTTATGTATAGAATTGATAAAATGATATATAAATGTAATAAATAGATAATAAAATAAATCATAAATAAAATATTTAAAAGAATCCTGTTATACAGCTCCATCTATTAATATCGAAATGATATTAGATTGACATTTGTTTTAAGTTATTAGTTTAGTTATTAATACATTTTTGTTTAAATTAATAATGTTCTTAAATCCGATTATTTTAATATCTCAAATTATTTGATATAATAAATAACTTTATTTTATTAATTTAAAGGATAATAAGGAAATTGATTGATAGCTCCATCTTTTGGTGATTAACGAAACTAATCGGTATCAACTTAATTCTTTTAATTTCTAATTAAAAATTTTTGATTTGAAGGTGATTTAATTGATTGATAAGATTAAAAGATTAATTTGAATTAGTTGAAAGTTAATTGTTAGTTTGAGAACTTCTGGTTCTTTGGGAAACAAGTTTTCGAGGGAGAAAGAAAATGAAAAAAAAACTCAACCAGCTCTATTGTGTTCGTGTACGACCGCTAACGATCGTTGTAGGAAACAGGGGTGGGGGAAAATAAAAACGCGCATGCGCCAAAGACCGACCTCGCCATTTTGCACTGATTCGCGAAAGCATTTTTACTCCATTCAGCTCGACATAAACCGGTCCATTTATTCTCGTCCACTGCCAGTGTTCGTTTTAAATAACATCTAAACCATTCGGTTTACTAGTCAAACAAAAGTTAATAAGGAAAAGTTTCGAAGAGGAAACATGAGCGGAGATAAAGGGACGACAACGGTCGGCGGTTTCGATAAATGTTCGGTCGTGCTTTTAGACGTCGCCGGTACGACAACCTCCAACAATTTCATCAAGGTAAAGTATTACTTTTTCATTTCAACTTTATAACGGTCATTTTTAATTTAAAGAAAATTAATTAAAACAACAAACATTTTATTTTAATTCAAAAAATTTCAAAGCCTACCGGTAAAAAATTCTACGGAAATAGAACTTTGCGGAATCGAATTTTGAGCGAAATTTTCCGGTTTGCAGGCAAATATACAAAATTTACTTCCTGCGCAGAAGACGAACAGAGTTTTATATCTTTTTGAAACTTTACAAGTTTACGTTTTCATTTTAAAACTGTTCTTGATGGATTTTAACGGATTTTCTAAACCGTTCGGGGTCTGTTGCTGTTGTCCTTGGACAGGTAAAAATTCGTCCCTTGTTGAATACAGTGCATTCATCTTAAGTACAGTCGCCACCAAAGCTCTCTACTCTCTCTCTACATGTAGTTGTGTATCACCTGTGTATTGGACTCTCCTTGTTAGTTATGCCACCTTTTGTATTTTTTAATACAAAAGGGGAAAATGTAGCAGCTGGTTTTTACTTCATTCATCCAATTCAAAAACTTGAAAAAAAAACAAAGCATATTTAAAGGGTTCACAAAATGTTTTAAATTTCCCAAAATTTTTGTATTGTATTGAAAATGTATTCAAATTTCATTTAATTCATATAAAAATATTTACATTACCTTTTATAATCAAATTTTACCAAATTTTGTTGTTAATATTTAACATAACCTTAAAAGAAATTTAACATAACCTTAAAAAAAATTAAACATAACCTTTAAAGTTGACAAAAAATTATTCGAATTATTTATAGAAATTAATATAAATTTAAAATAAAACTACAACTTTAATAACTTTATTTCCTATAAAGTATTTAAACTTTTGTCATCTTTACACATAACCTCAAATTAATAAAAGAATATTTTTTTAATACAACAATTTTTCATGATTTTTTTTATTTTTAACAGGAAACGTTGATCCCATACACTGCCGCAAATCTCGAAGAGTATTTAAAAACAAATTGGGATGAAGACAAAGTCAAAGAAATTATTAAAGCGATAAAAGGTGATGAAGAATTGGATGTTGAGAAAGCAGTAAATGCTTTTAAAGAACTTTATGAAAAGGATGCCGATAACGAACAGGTTAAAGCCATTCAAGGATTGATTTCTGCTAAAGGCTATGATAGTGGATCACTAAAAGCACAGTAAGTGAATTTTAACCCCAAAATAAACATTTAGAATTATCTTAAACAGCAATATACAACTCTATAGTGGAGAGGTAAAACATTTTACAGTATAAGAAGTTGTAATTATAAATAAATCATATTATTTTAAATAGTTTTTTATGCTGTCTTAAAAACCATGTTAGTATTATTTTAAACAATTAACCTTTTTATACAATGTACATTTTACCTTTACCTCTACCTTCAGTTTGGAGTTAAGATTTTTTATCCCTGGTTGAAAATAATAATTAATAATAAAAATAATGGGCTTAATATGCAAAATAAGTTTTATATTTCAACAAAACAAATAACATGCATCAAACACCACATAACAAAGATGTTTTAGTTAATAAATGCATCAAAATTTAATGAAGACAAGCTTTATTCAGTTTCTTCTTCATCAGAACTATCACTTTGATTGTTTTTTGTAGAAATCAGAAGACTTCTAAAAAAATTATAGGATTATTCAGGCACCCATTGCAAACTTTTTATTAAATAGCTGTGTTTTTTCTTTGTTTTGCCCTTTAAATTACTTCACAGACATGATAACTTATCAGGCAGTGATACAGGATTTGTTACAGATTTTGAAATATTTAAACTTTTAAATTCTTTCTGATTAAAATTATCGTTGTAAAAGATAGTGTTAGGATAATCAGTTTGATCAATGGAGTTGGATCAATGGTAAATTATAATTTACCATCATCATAATTCTCATCATCTGATCAAATTATTAAATTTTCTATGGTGGAACCAGCAATAGTATTTTCAGCCTATTTAATCAATATCGACGCGATTTCATTGCTCCCTCTTCCAGCTTCTGATTCATCCCATACTAAGCAATAGGAAGCATTATTTTGTTGCATGATAAATAGTCAAATTTAAAGTCCATAGCTTAAGACAATAAAAACTTTGGTTATTTGATAAGTATAGAACCTTACTTTTACCCTTGGATTGTTTACTTTCTTCTTTATCATTTTTTTTAAACTTATATGTACTATTAGCTTCTTTCAAGTGATCATCATGTTGTTGTTGGATAGTTGATAATTCTCTTAAACCATGAGTTTCTTTAATTCTTAGTGAGAAGGTATCACATTTGTCACAGGTATCTGCTGACGGTTTTTTAAACCCCAAATTAAATTCAGTATTAAAACACTTCTTATAAATCCAAAGCTTAGCAATATATAAGATGTCGTCTTGTTGACATCTTATGTGTGCTTTCTACTGTTATTCTTTGGCTTTCGGCGTTTTGTAGATTTCGATTCGACGTGTGAACAAATAAACTGCCTCTTTATATCCCAATTCTTTCCATTACTCCAGTATTCTTTTAAAATCTGCTTTCTAGATTTTGGAGATATGATTCTTTGCCTCCTTGAAAAATGGAGATACTGCTTTTTCATAAATACAATAATAAGTAATCAAGAAATATAGAATTACTATTCTTTGTCAATGTAGTTTGAAAATGCTATTAACTCAATATTGGATAAAATACGTCTGTTTACCTCTCTGCTATAGAACTATAGTTAAACTAAACAATAAGTTATCATGTTAAATACTTTTATTGTTCGTCCTTACATTTTTAAGTTTCTTTTCTCTGTTAAGAAAGTAAATTAGCAAGATTAACAGGGAATTTTGTTATATCTTACATCATATTTTGAAATCAATTTGACATTTCAACTTATACAACAGATAAAATTTAAGTTTTTGATTTATATTTTTACACAAATAATTTAAATAAAATAAACTTAAGAAAAAACGTAACATATTGGGGATTATTAAAAATTTTACAGGAAATCAAAGAAACGACATACCTAGTTTGTAAAATTTTTCATTTTGAAGAGGCATTATAATTGATATATTATAACATTCCTGCTGTTGGCTTTACCTCTATCTACATCTGGAATTCTTATAAGTACGTTTTCTCCTACGGTAATGGATACTTTGTTTTTGAAAAGCATAACATTTCGTAAGCTTGCTTTTCTAGTGCGTGCTTTACAGAGTTTCGAGCTTCTTGAATGCTTGTAAATCTTTTATTGAGTAAGGAGGTGAAATCACCTTTTTCTTCTGAACTATTTTGAACTTTATCGTCACCACCGATTTGTCCTGTTGTGATTAAGTTAATAGCCAAAGTTCCAATAGTGGTTAATTGCATATTTTTAGTAGGATTATGTATTTTCATTTCCACATTGCTTTCATTCTCTGCTCATTATCTTTGTGTCCTTCTGAAGTTATATCTTAAGTTCGTTATTTTCATTACAGTACTCTTTTAACACCTCTTCAAGTTCCTCCTCTATAGTGATTTCTGAAATAGCATCTATCGGCTATTTTTGTCGGAAATAGCGTCTGCTTCATACGGACTGCGATCATCTATTCCAAAATGATGAGCCCTATTTTTCATGAATTGGATAAATTTAATTCGTTCTGACCATTTTGTGGTATTATTTGTTTCAACCCAAGTACACAACATATTTTCTATGCCTTGGTTGGCTCTCTCAACCGAACCTTGTGAGCTACCAAAATTGTTAATACCGTATTTTCTCGAATCTTATCCGCACTCGAATCTAATCCGCACCTCGATTTTAAAAATGCAATGATGGTAAAAAAAGTTGGTTTTCCAATGTAATCCACATCCGATTGTAATCCGCATTTGATTTTAGAGCATACAAAATTTGTAAAAAGGGTGCGGATTAGATTCGAGAAAATACGGTATGTTCAGAAGATGATAGCAACTTCTTCGTCTCGTTTTGTTTTTAAAGATCTGAGGTAAACAAACTTCGTGAGATGGTCTTGATAAACCATTATAAATTAGTAGTCGCCATCTGATTGTGACTGCACATCAATTCTGACATCTTCAATTAAAATTACTGCTTTTAATTGGCATAACAATTCCCTTTTTCGGGATGCTCAACTTTTTTTGACAGGGTTCACAAAGATTTAAATATATCATGACAATTTCTACTGTAATGTTCTTATATTAAGCATTAACTTCTTTTATCATTTTATTTCGTCCTCCATGTCCAATTCCAATATGGTTTTCGTGAACAATTTAAAAATTTTCTTCCAAAAATGTGTAATATATAGGGTGGTTCAGTTTTTAATCGGAAAACTTTACTAGAACGTAGTACTTGCCAAAATACCACAAGTTTTTTGTATAAATGTAGAGTCGCAAGTCGTTTGTTTTCGAGCTAGCTCATAGCCAAAGTCTAGTCAAAGTTCTAGACAAAGTCTAGTCAAGCTCTAGTCAAAGTTGAGCCAAAAATTTACGTTTTGTTTTGTATTTCGGCTGTAAGTAAACCGTAGAATTTGAAACTTTACTATTGGTTAAGACCTTATTTTCAAGCATAGCTTAAACTTCGCTAGCGTTCTCTAAGGGTGTGAAGTTGATTTTTTTTAAAGAACTTGTTAACGCTTTAGAATATTAACATAAAAAAATATGGGTTGTAAAGCTCATTCTTTAGTGGTACTTTTTTGTCTCTTTAGTATTTTCCTTAAAGTTAATAGTTTCCATGATAAAAAAATAAAATGTCGTGCCATGTACCGCTATTTGCCGCCGTGTTTAACTAAAATTCATTTAGGGTGAATCCTCATAATTATTGATGATTATTAATAATTTTTGACTATTATTAATCAAGAGTATCAATTTTGTTTAAAACAACGTAATTTGTTCAGACATACAGTCATCTTATTTATGGTTTTTCTTATGAAAATCATAATTAATTGGTGTTATTTAGTTAGTACTAGATCCTAGTAAGTGCACAACTTCCATAGCCAGCTATAAAGAAAAATTTTCTCTTAATAATAGCAGCGCTTTCCAGTACAATGTAGCATCTTTTATTTTTTTTACGCTAATACTATTATCTCTAAGAAAAAAACTAAAGAGACAAAAAAGTAACAATAATGAATAAGCTTTACAACTCATATTGTTTTATGTTAATATTCCATGGTGTTAAAATGTTGTTATAAGGAGATCAAAGGGGTTGTGAATTTCATCCTCTTAGAGGGCGCTAGGGAAGTTTAAGGTACGGTTGAAAATAAGGTATTAACCAGTAGATTACGATATTTTTGGTGGTTTTTATGACCCTCAGAAACAGTAGTAGCAGTAATTATCACCCGGAAAAAGTACCTGGACGTGATTTATGATAGGTCCTCCTAGGGAAGTAGGTCCAGGAACGCACTTCTTTTTTTATTTTACTTTAAATTCAACAAAATAAAACAGAAATGTAGTAAAGAATATAAATGTATTTATACCTAAATGATTTTACAAAAAAAAGCAAGTATTAATTAAAAATATAAAAATTAAAACATATATTTTTTATAGTTATCTTAGAATTAGTGTGAAAAGATAATAAATTATATAATTATAATCATAAATTATTTAAACAAGTGGACTTTTTAGATAGTTTTAAATAAATTGTTGTATTTTCACACAAAGTAATGGTATTTAAGTTTTTAAATATTATATTTTTGTAATTTTCTTTAATGCGGACCTGAACAATTCACGACAGAGTTTGGGGTTCGTAAACTACCTGTATACAACCCCGTCTTTGTTCGTTATATGACTGCAATTAAGTCATAAAAACCACCAGAAATATCCGAAACTATATTTGAAAGGAAAATAAAGTATTAAACTTCGACAATACACTGAATTCCAAGAGCCTAAGTAGATTAGACCGAACCCTTGCCATGTGCGCAACAGCATATGGATGATACTTTTCTTACTTGTACATTATTAATAAATATTGGTTTGTGTGATAAATTCTTATACATTAATCACTACGACCTTTTTATTTGCTTAGAATTTATATAAACTGATTCATTAGTTGAACTGTAACAGATATATTGATGATTTCTCATTTAAATCTTTCCCTCATTTCCTCGTTTGTAAGATTGTTGAAGTTTAATCGAAAAAAGGTGGTTGGAGCTACAGCATGCTCGTCTATGTGTTTTTATATCTAAGATGCTAGTAGCTTCTATTTTATCTATTAAGATATGTTCTATTTGATTCGCCTTCATTTGGCAAGATTTACATCATCTTGTGGATGTTCTGATGTGCAATGGGTTTAAAATTTATTAAATTTCTCTGTTTTGAAGCAACCATCTATGTTTCATAATCCGTCTGTTTTGACGGGAATTCGCCCTGACCCTGCCTTCCATATAAGTTGAATACCACCTCTTTAGCATGGTTGTTTAGGTTTCCAGAGTTTTCCATCTCTTAAGGTGCTATGAAGGTGAGTTTCATCGTTATTGTGCTATTTAACAACATCTTCCTATGATATTGTCGTACGATATGCAAGCACTACAATTAGAGGTTATAGATTAGTATTCATATTCTGGCTCAGATTGGTATTAAATACTATTATCGCTTGTCTTTACTTTTTTAAGTGTCCTTCCTCTTTTAAGAAAGTATATTAACCTGTCAAATTGCAGAAAAGTTTTTTTATAACACTTCTTACAAAAAGAAAGTTTTACAATAATTTTTTGTGATCAAATAAGTCAAAAGAAATTATAAATTAAATTGTCTCAATCAAAAATTTATTTTTAATTTAATTTGTGTTTTTTTTTAGTGTATTCAGTGATGTTTCAACATCGTTAGAAGCTTGGGCAAAAACCAAACGTGTGGCGATTTTTTCAACTGGAAGTGTGGAAGCGCAAAAACAACTTTTTGCAAATACAATCGAAGGTGATTTAACCAAAAATATCTCCAATTATTTTGATCTTTCTGTTGGCGCAAAAACTAACGGTGAGAGTTATGAAAAAATCGCCAAAGAATTAGCGGTTGGAGTACAAGAAATTATTTATATAAACGATAAAATTGAAGGTAACATAAATGATAATTTTTTTTTATGATTTATTAAATCGTTTTTATTTTTTTTTGTGTATTTAGAAGCGGTAGCTGCAAAAAGTTCTGGTTTGAATACTGTATTAATCGTTCGAGATGGAAATGAAGCACTCAAAGATGAAGATAAAAAAGATTTCGCCGTGATCTCAAGTTTTACCGATTTAACTGGAGACGGTTCCGGAAAACGAAAGAACGAGGATGTTGAAACTCCAGAGGTTTGTGGACGTAGAAAGTCTTTGAGGTCTGCTTAAAAATCGGGGGTTTTGGATACGGGTTCTTCTTCTTTGTAGTTAAATTTTAAACAAATTGGTTAATAATCTCATTGTTGTACATTTTTTTTTTAAGATTTTAGGAGTAGAAAGTGATGTGATACAAGTATTTTCTTTCTTTTTTGTTGTTGTTTAGTGGCGTTCGTTACAATTATAAAGTTTATTTTTGTCATAATTTATTTTCTTTATTTCCCTTTTCTTTCTATTCTTTTAAATTATATCTCTTTCAAAACACTTTTCTTTTGTAGATGAAGTAGTTATTTTATTATTAACTCTTTGTTTGCTGTGTTTACCATCGACTTAAACTCTTTATTTAGGCTCCACCTTCAAAGATACCTAAAACTATACCGGAAGAGGAGAAAAAACCAGATGATAAAACTTCTATTGAAACGATTAAACAAGAAAATGAAGATGTCAAAGAAGCGGAACAAGCTGTAGAAGCTATGGAAGTAGATACAACAGCAGACACAACCTCCACAACAACAGAAAGTAAGTTTATTTAATTTTTCAATATAAGAAATTACAATTTAAACATAAACACTAATTTATTTATTTCACCTAATAATAGGTTTTGTTGTTGACAGCATTTATGAGTGCAAAAGACTACCGAAATCTTATTTTGTTGCGATTGAAGTTGTTGGCCAAGTTTAAATGTATTAAAGCTACATCCATTGCTGAGCTCCGCTTTAATTAAAATGAGAAATATACGATTTTCCTGATTAAGCCAAGGTTGCTTGCGACTGAGGCACCACAATTAATATCATATCAATCTGAAACTGATCAACATATTGTTGCGCCTTTACTTTAATTAAAGTGGAATATGTCTGATGGCGCAACTACTTGGAAACGTCTCTGTGATGTGTTATGTAAGTTTCCGCTTAGAGCAACTAATAAGAGTTGCAGAAAACTCTCAGACTTGCTTAGATTACATAGTTAATTTTGCGGATTGTATTGTTTTTGATGTTGGTATGTTGAATTCGAGCATTTCAGACCATTGTGTCGTCTATTTACACCTTTAATGTGGTGGAATCATTTTTACCGCCAATTAGATATTTTAAAAATTTTAACTATGACTATCTTTTTATGCTGACTTGATGTCAGTTCCTTGGTTCTACATGTACATCATTGTGTTGATGACAACTTGGACTTTTTTAATGTTGATGTAACTTTTAGATCTTCATATTCCCTTGGTCTGAATTACTTATAATAATAAGCCTAAAATACCTGGGGTGACGGACAATGTTACATTTATGATTAGACTGAGAAATAAAGCATTTAATATAAATATAAAACCATGGGAAATAATGCGTATGAATATTATACGATTTTGCGTAATCTTATTACAGATGCTGAGCTTATTTTAATGTTCTACACCTCAAAATGCTTATAAATGGAGATTTATAAGAAATAACATTAAATCAAAGTACGTCAGGCAGCTTGATTGTAATGAAATTAATAAATTCTTTATTACTACTTCTTAACACAACTTCTTTTAGATGAGTCCTTCCTAGGGAATTATAAAACTTACTTAACAATTTTGTTGGAACTACTTTTCCCTTTACTGAGGTATCTGATAGTGTATATTTATATTTTATATCCCTTATTGTATCAGATATCCGCCAAATTATCAATTTTGTTAATAAAGTTAAAATATTAGATCTAGAGATTGACAGTGATGAAACATTATATGGCAAATTAAAAGTACTCTACCCTAACAGACGTTTATTGAATGAAGATGCGTAGGTTATATTATATGATTCCTTGATTCTCTCATTACTCAAGCACTGTAATCTTGTTTATAGACCTTGTTTAATGATGAGGGATGCGCAGAGAATGGAAAGGGTTCAAAAATTTTCTCTCAGCTCCCTATTTATATCATACGTCATAATGAAAGAACATTTAGGTGCACAATATACAAAAATTGGCCATTATTTTGTGGTGATAGCATGTCTATATTGGTTTGATTAGAATGATTCCATTAATTTTGTTAAAATTTTTGTATCGTTTATGATATTCTATTGTTGTATTTAAGGTGTATTGAATATACATATACTGAGTATATACAGGTGTCCCACGTAAGCAACAAAGTATATAAATGGGTGCATACGTATGGGTATGCATAAAATACATACATGGTGTTCAATAACGACGTACTGAAATAAACATATGTTATTTTAAATAGAATGATATAGTTTTTATTGCGTATTCTGATTCTACACACAAAACTAAGTTCCAATATCTCCAATATCAGTTCATTATCGAAACATCGCCTGCTTGAAAGTGGGACATTTGGCTATCTTTTACGATATACACTTTGACCAAGACGAGTATTTCGTTGACGTTGTCCCAAAATAAAAACCATGGTCACAAATTCGGCTTTTGTCTAAGTCAAAGTTTACCACCTGTGAAATTACAAACAATTATGGCGGCATCACTTGAAAGCTGGCAAATACATATATTTCATGGGCTACTAATAGAAAAAATAAATAAAATCTGCCATTCTTTGCATGATTTTGATTAATTCCACTCTATCTCAACAACTGCAACAGATAGGTATAGGGTATGTACTGAAGATTTGTAGAGTATTAAATTCTCTATCTGATAAGCTAATCAAATATGGGGTGTTTCATTTAAAATTTTCGACTTTTTTTGCAATTGAATATGGCAAACAGTAGTTACACTGTTGAACACCTGTATAAGATAGACCGATGTAGCCAATGGCGCTCTATTTAAGGATATTCAAGCAGCAACCGTTACAAATTTTAACTTTCTAGTTCGATCAGTTGCCAAAAAAATCAGATTTGAAGGACAGCACTGTGGCCCAGACTGAACCAAAACTGTGTCAAAAATCGAAAATCATTGCAATAATAGTTGTTCATGCTGAAATCATTTAATAACTGGATCAAATACACATTTTCAACTTTACTACGTTTTCCGCAAAAAGTATACAGGATGATTTAATAAAAATTAAAAAAATATAAAAATTGAAATTTGATCAAAAAACAAATACAATTTTAAACAAAATAATTACTAATACGAATTAAACACAAATATATTACTAAACATAATCGGATTCCTCATCATCGTCCTCACTTTGCAGTCCACCAGGTTCTTCATTTTCCGAATTTTCTTTTACGTTTATACAGGGTGTCTCACGTAACTGGTTCGTTAGAACATTTTAGGTTTTACTATTCGTACAGTTTTGAAATTAGCATAAATTAGTAGCATAGGTTGTTCGTTCGGATCTTTTGATCTAAAATATTTTCAAGATGTCTGCCACTTCCGGTCTACCGGAAGTAGACCAAAACTTCGTTATTTTGAATGGAATGCTATAGTTTTTATTACACCTTTTAATTGTATGTAAAAAAATATATTGACTTTTATAAAAGTTATTGGTACCTATCGTTTTTCGTTTTCGAGTTATTTTGATTTTAAGTTTTTTTTTGGCAAATTTCACCATGCTCTTTAAAACCCCATATCCTATCCAACGTTCATTCAAAAAAGTTCTAAATTGGCACTCTTCACATGTTGTCAAATATATTGTCATTTGTTGTTCATTCAATGGGGAAAAAGTCGAAAATTTTAAATGGAATGCCTCATATTTTATTAGCTTATTCGAAAGGATTTTAAGGAATTTAATTCTCTACAAATTATCTATAAACATTTCTATACCTATTGTAGGTTATCTCATATTGGGAAATTTATCAAAACATGCAGGAAATTAATTCTTGCATTGTTACCGTCATTAGAAGTACCACGATAGTTTTTGTTTCTTCGGTTTGGTTGCTTTAAACCAAAGCCAACTAATAATTTTAAATTTACTAATACTCAAGAAAATTTCATTCTTTTCAAGTTTCTACGAAAACCATACATTTTAGATATAGGGATGTACTGACAAAGTTCCCTTATTTTTCAGCGTACAATACGCTGGTGAAGGAAAAAATTGGGGTTGCCACTTAAAAAAATGTAGTTTTCAACGTTTCGAGATAGGGAAATTCGGCGCAAATTGGTGACCATCCTGTATAATTTTTAAAAAAACTTTTCAATGGTTATGTAAGGTCCTCTCTGTGCAAACCTTGAGAATATTTCGGCGGACTCCAGTGTAATTTTGAAAAATTATTTTTATTTTGAATGGTTGTATTTGCCAAAATTTTCGAAAAAACTGAAATAATTCAAAAATGGTGCACTCTAGATATATGATGACTTGTATTAAATTATATTAGAATTTAGAGGGGATCCCGAAAATTTAATAAAAATTGGTAACATTCTATTTAAAATAGCGAAGTTGGGGTCCATTTCCGGTATAACCGGAAGTTGGAGAAAAATGAAAATATTTTAGCTGAAATGAGCACCTTGAGTAAACCCTGTATGCAAATTTTCACAAAAATAATGCCAGTAGTTTGCCATATACATATATAGACTCAGCTCATCTTGACAGTGTGCAAAAAAATCTTTTTTTCAAAAAAACGGAAAAAGGCGGAATAAAGTTCAATGGTGTGTGAAAGCTGATAATTTGTACAACATTTTGATATAAAAGAGGAATTGACTCGTTGGAAAAGTTGATCAAAAGTCAAGTTATATTTTAAGTTTGAAATAAAATAAAATGATAGCAATAAAATTCATCGCTTTCCAATTAATATATTTTTCTTTAAGACAGTTGGTAAAAATATACTATTCAGAAGTTAAAGCAGCTTACCTAATAGTAAAATTTAGTTAAAGTTTAATGCTTTTGCAGTCATTTACAAATTTATCCAAATCCTATTAAAAAACGCAATACCGAAATAATGCGACTGTACGCTATTACCGCTATTACTATATATACTTTTAGTAACTAGTACTATTACGTATCGAATTGCACGACTGCGACAAATTCAAAAAAAATATTTATATATTTGATATTTGTCACATTTTATTGTGGTTCTGGGCCACAGTGGACAGCGTTAATTGCTAAAAAAAGTTCTTCTAATTAAAATAACTCAAAAACAAAAAGCACTAGGTATCAACATGTCTTTGATAAGTCAACTTAGTTTTGTGTGTAGAATCAGAATACGCAATAAAAACTATATCATTCCATTTAACATAACATATGTTTATTTCAGTACGTCGTTGTGGAACATCCTGTATGTATAAATATATTTCTTGTTTATAGTGTGATAAATTTCCTACAACTTTTGTCTAAGGAAGAACTGCGTATCTTGGCTCCTTAATGCCATTCATGTACAGAGTGCTTACAAGAGACTTGCGTATCTGTTTGGCGTAAGTGGGGAAAGAATGGCTATAAGCTTTGCATAAGTTAAGAGAACAGATATATCGTGACCAAAGCTCCTCAATTTATTGGCGGCTCGTCGCTTTACGGTAGAGGTCATCCGGTTTTAGTTAGGTATCGAGCGTTCAATAGAGTAGTCACGAATTTATATTTCCTACGTTTTCTATAGTTTTTCTGCGAATTAATTTCCTAGTTTTGTTTTCTGGTTGTTTACCTTATTTAAGTTTTTTTTTAAATTTATTCTTGACGACTTTAATTTAGATTTAAGAAGTTTAATAAGTTTTTTTATTTATTCTTAGTAATTCTTACAGAGTTTTTTAAAATGGAATTAGATTTACATTCAGAAGGTTACAAAAAAATCACCAACTGGATATCAAAATACAATCTACAAGATGTCTTTGCTGTAACTGGAGAAACTGAAGTACAGTGCAATATTTGTTGTAAACGATTAAGTTGTTCTAAAAACAATCACCTATTAAACCATATAAAATGTAAATCCCACATTGACCAAGAAAATAACGTTTCCCCAAACACGTTCAATATGGATTTATGTGAAGCGTTTTTGGCCGCAAATATACCTTTAGAAAAATTAAAAAATCCAACCCTAAAAGCATTCCTTGCTAAATATACCGAGAAATCCATTCCACATCCCTCTACACTCCGCAAATATTATGTAAATAAATAAAATCAATTTTTATTTTTTTATATAAATTAACGCACAGTAATAATAAACGCTCTACGCCACTGGTTGAGTTTTAGTCAGACAATCCGCCAAACACGTATTGAACGCTGCACTGCAGAGAACGCCCCAAATCTTACATGGGCCAACATTCAACCAATATCGTTAAGTTGCGGCACATCGATGTGCTCGATAAAAGCATGTTACTACGTTATAACGCGGTGAAGGTGACATCAACAGCCCGATGACGTCGCGGCTCTGGTAATAACCTTCACCTAAACGTTCCCATGCGAACTCAATATCTACAAAAAGTAAACGTATGGGTAGGTATTATTGCAAATAAAGTCGTCGGACCATTCTTTATTGACGGAAATTTGAACGGCAATAAATATCTGGAGTTGCTGCAAAACAGTGTCATTCCTGCCGTTCAGGCCCGTTTTAATATTAATAACATTTGATTCTAGCAAGAATGTTAATATATTAAGAAATAAATTAATTTGCATATTGAATATCTTCACTTTCTCTGTTTGTTCTCCATCAAGTCTCATGCAACAAGTCTGGTTGCAGTAGAGGTTTGAAATTATTCTGATGTCTTTGTTGTCTGAGTTGGTATCTTTAAAAATCTTGATCATTGAAATTCATATATGGTTAACAGAAATATAGGAAATATCTTCCTAAAAAGAACTTTCATATTTTCTTTTTGTTCAGTTTTTTTTATCTATAGATATCATATCAATTTGAAACTAATAAACACATTGTTGCGCCTCAGCAACAATGTTCTCTGTCCGCTATTTTAAATTATTTTAATATTATTGCTTTGAAAATAAATGGATCAAAAAAGTCATATTTGTTTATTTATTTACAGCCTCAGTTGCGAAATTAGAGGAAGATCAAAAAATGGAGGAAGATGGAAAGGATTCTAATAAACAGGAAGAGAAAGAGACTGAAAAGAAACCGGAAGTTAACTTGACTGATGAAAAAGTAGTTCAGGAAGAAAAAATGGAAGCCGAAGAAGAAGTTTCAAAGCCAATAAAAAAGACTGAAAATACAAAAGAAACAGAGAAAGTAGAAAATAAAAATGAAAAAAAAGAAACTAAAAATGAGGAAATTGTTCCGGATAAGAAAGATATTGAAAAGAAAAATGAAAGTGTTGTTGAAAAATTGTCAGTAACTGAAGAAACTAAGAAAGAAACTATAGAAAGTTCAAAAACGGAGGTTGTTGAAACGAAATTAGAGGAAATGGATACTGTTTGTAATGTTAAAACGGATAAAGCAGAAGAAACTAAATCAAATGATGAAAAAAGTGTTGAGAAAAAAGATGAAAAAGTTCCTGTAGAAAATAAACCTGAAATAATCGTTGAAAAGAAAGTCGAAGAAAAAGCAGAAAATGATAAAGAAGAGAAAATTAACAAAGAAGAAACAAAATCAACATCAACAACAACGTCAACAGAAGATAAATCAATAGATCACAAAAAAGAATCACAAAAGGACGATGTTAAAGAAATTAAAAATGAGAAAGCAATTAAAGAACAAACAGAAATTAAAGAAAAATCAACTTCAGATGATATAGTTAAAGAAAAATCAACAACAAATGAAAATAATGTAAAAGATGATGTTAAAGAAGACAAGAAATCAACGGAAGCTAAATCAACGGAAGCGAAATCAACGGAAGTGAAATCAACGGAAGCTAAACCAGAAACGATAGAAGATGAGGGAAAAGTTGAAAAACATAATTTGAATGAAGAAAATACGTCCAAAGAAAGTAGCACAAAAGAAAGTGAAATTGTGGAAGAAACAAAAGAAAAAGATGATGTTGATAAAGAAAAAGTAAATGGTGACGAAAAAGTACCAGAAAGTGAAAATGAAAAAGAAAATAAGAGTGAATTGGCGAACGGAAGTAGTGGCGGTACCGAAACGGACACAAGTAGTGATGTAAAAAAGAACGGTGGTGCTGAAGTCGTTGAAAAAGCTACGTCGGAAGGTGGCGTTGGCGTGACTGGTGAAGAGATTAAAGTCAAAAAGATTGAGGAAACGACCGAATCACCGACGACGACGACGACGGCGGTTGCAGTCGAGGTATAATATTTCTATGTTTAAAAAAAAAAAAAAAAGAAATGAGAAAAAAATAATAAGTATACATGTTTTTTCATTTTTCTCTTCTTATTTTTTCGTATATTTTTGTTTAATGTTAATTATTATTTTTTTTTTGTATTAATTTCAAAAAGTAGTGTACATTTTTTATGATTCCAATAAGAAAAGTAATCTGATTTTTGCACTGTTATTTCGTGCGACAAAATAAAACATTCCAAGAAGAAAAAAAATTATTAAAATCATCTCAATAATGTTCGTAAAAAATAAGTATAATACGATGTGTTGAAGAATTATTTTCCAGTAAAAATATCAATCAAGAAAAAAAAACTTACATTAATTTTGGCCAAAATAAAAGAACTGCAGAATTAATTATTTATTTTCTTTCAAGTTTTTCTTGAAAATAATTTTTCGACACACTCTACAATAAAGACTGGATGTTATTGTTTTTTCTGTGTGTATTATTATCAAGTTTTGTTTAAATGTCTTTTGGAACAGTATTAAAAAGAAAGAAGAAAAAAAATCGTAAATTAAGAAAATAAAAATAAACCGATGGAAGTGAATCTCTTAATTAATAGATGTACTTAGTGATAAGGCTTTTTTACATTCCCTCCCATTTCCCAGTTAAACTAATTCATTTTTATTATTACTATTAATGAATTATTATTGAAGTCAAATATTTCCAAGAACAAAACAAATTCGTTCTTCCATAAATTTAAGATAAAACAACACTTCGATAATAATAATTTATTTTAGTATCTGAGATTTTCTCTATAATTAATTTTAAAAAAACATTTTTTATATTAAATTTAAGACTGATTTTTTATTAAGTAGTAGTCCAAAACACACACATAATCAATAAATTAACTACTTTTAAAAGACTGGATTATCGAAGTGTTCCATTTTTGATGCTAAAAGACTTCCTAAACTAAAACATTTTTTTCTTCTCTATAATGTGATTATATGTTTTATTCCATGAAAGTTATCCTTTTTCATTTTTTGAAAACGATGACTAAAACGACCGGTTATTTGTTGTATCGTATACGTTTTTTGCTTTTGTGCGTTTTTTATTCGTTTAATTTTATTTTTCAAAATAATTTGTTTCGTGCGTTTTTGTATTTTGGGGCCACACGAAAAGCCCCATCATCTCCTGGGGTGCTCTGTGTACTTTAATAAGCACCGAATAAATTTTGTAGCCATCAAAACATTTTTTGTCTTACTTTTAAATTCCTTAACGTAATTCCTTTTATATATCTATTAAATTGAATTCTGTTAAACCATATTTGCCCAGACGGTGATTTTATGTGGTGACAAACGAAAAATGTTATAGATAAATACAGTGTGTTAATTAATTATCGTACCAGACGTCACCATTGCAAGTATGCAACCAATATCACAGTATTGATATTGCAATACGCGATTTGCGATATTGGTTGCATACTTACAATGATAATGTGTAATGTACAATGACGTGACTGGTAGATATTACATAATTAGATGTATATGTTGTACATCACATATATTTTTGATCACTTCTGGTATTCCCCACCTCTTTAAATACCTCTTTTCGGGGACAAAATAGAACTATTAAAAAGTGTCAATTTTTAAATATTTTTTGTTGCAATGATATAATTTAACCGGGATCCATTTTTCCTACAGTGTTTTACCTGTAGTATCAACGTATCAAAACATACTAAAAGTAATCAAAAATTACTGGTGACTCTGGTTACCAGTGGGCTGATACATTAATTCTTTTTAGCATTTTATTTACTCTAGAAAAACATGTTTCGACATATCGTTGCGTTATTTCCTCATTCTTTCTATCTATGCTGCTTAGTAAAGACGCTTTTTTCGCTGTTTGTACATGAAAGTGGGTGAAATGGTTATATTTTTTTATATCATGTAAAATGAAACGTCAGTCTTTAAAAATGGATTAAATCTTGCATTTACCATTTTCATAGCACGTAACACGATTTATTTATCTCCATGGTAAGATCGTTGATCTGTTGTTTCTGTTAAAATCTGATGATCAACCTTAACTCCCAGAAACACAACCTCTTCCTTGTAGGTAAGTTTTATACCATTGAATATTAGATCTAATTCTCTTTTTTTGTAGGAGTTTCTATTGTTATAACGTTTGTTTTTTGTAAGTTGTTATTTGAAAACCAAGTTTGCAGATTACCTAGATATTGAGCTGAACCAATTCTGACATTTGTTCCTCAGTTTTTGTAGTTAATACTATAGTGGAGTCATCAGCAAAAAGGATTAGTAGATCACTTCCGGGAGATCATTGATGTATAGGATACATAGGAAAGGTCCCAATATTGATCCTTGTGGGACGCCTCGGAGAACCTTTGTCCAGTCTGAAGTAACTTCAGCACCAGTTTGATCATACGAGACCACCCGCTGTTCTCTTTCTGACAAGTAAGACCTAAACCACTCCAGCGGAAGTCCTCGTATCCCTACAGCTTCCAACTTCTTCAATAAGATGTCATGGTGGACACTGTCAAATGCTTTAGTTAGGTCCACCATTATACAACTGGTAAGATCGTTGTTATTAATTCCAGTTTGAATTTGTTCTAATAACTGAAAAATTGCTCTGGTTACAGATTTGCCTTTTATATAATCGTTTTGGGACTGGTTAAGTATTTGGTTATTGGTAACGTAATCCTTTAGTCTTTTCAGTACAAGCTACTCAAAAACTTTTGCAATGTTAGGAATTAGCGCAATTTGTAAAATTACTTATAAATCGGTCTTACTACAGTTTTTTTTTCAGATTCATCGGAAATATTGCTGAATTGAAAGAGCAGTTTATGACGCTGCTCAAGGGTTCTGCTATTTCATCAACGCACTTTTTTAGAACAGAGATTGGAATTTCATCATAACCCACCTGTCACCAAGTACGAATTGAGCGCCGTTCGATCTGCTTGGCCATTGGTCGTCAACCCTACCTACGGATCGGACGGTCGCCAACCAACCACAACGCCCGGTTGATAGGGTTTTACCCAAGGGCGCCTATTTAAGGCGGCCGGGTTTCCATCAGCGGAAAATTCCAACCGAACTCCGAAGCGACAACAACAGCGACAACGATAACAGCGACAACGATAACAGCGACAACAAGCCAGCACTTCAACCGCCAATTCGAAGACGACCCCTTTCGTCTTAAAAAAACCTTTGAGGGTTTTTTTTTGTACATATTTTTGTAAATAAATTATTTCGTTTTATTCAACAACTGTTGTTTCTTCTTCGGCGCAATCCATCCCCCGTAACACACCGTATGTGTGGTATTCAATATGTCCGCGTCTGCCAATGCACCGATTGGGAAATTTTTGGTTGAGGTATTCTCGTACAACTAGTGCATAATGAGGAGGCGCACCATCATGCTGTAGCCAAATTCTGGGATTTAGTGAATTTGGAAAAATTGCAACTAAGCTTGGAATTAATTCTAATTGAAGAAAATTCAAATACTGTTCACCGCCTATTGTTGCAATAAAGAAATACGGTCCAATAATTCTATTCTCCACTATTCCAGCTCAGACATTGACCCTTTGGGATACTGTGTATTTACTGTGTAGCCGAGGCGACTTTCCAATGGGGATTTTCAACTGTCCAATAACGACAGTTTTGCTTATGTACTGCTTCATCAGAGAATAGAATATTTTTAATGAATTCCGGATTTGCGTTGCATAGTTCTGTCATTGTTTCGCGGAATTGCACGCGTCCATCAAAATCGTCATCGGAAAGCTCATATACCAAGTGTACTTTGTAGGGGTGATATTTTTTGTTTTAAGAAATCTTGATACTGTGCTTCTAGATGTATTTAAATTTGCAGCAATATTGGAGATGTTTGAATGCGGATTTTCCTCTACACTTAACAGGACAACCAATTGACGGTCTTCATTTAAGGCCAATGGACGTCCGGTCTTAGGTTTATCTCGTATATGACCAAGTTGGCGAAATTTACTCTCAATTCTACTTATTGACGATAGTGATATTGGAGTACGATTTGGATGATTTTCGTTAAACAACCCACGGACTTCGTTATACGTTCGGACTCTATTTCCGAAACCAATCATCATAAGAATCTCGATGCTTTCAGGTTCAGTAAGCGTCATTATTACTTTCTTACTTATCAATATCAAACAGACGATAATACATGTATATAAATAACAACGAATAGCGTTGAATAGCAACAAATATAATAAACGAATAACAACAATTAACACAAGAAACTCCACAATACTACTCAAAATAATCTCATTAACGCACAATAAACTGTTTCAAATCGAATTTTGACACTTGGAAATTTTAAATCAAAACAATTGGTTGCCATGGTTACGCACGGCTACTACTATTTGTTTATATCAATTGAATGGGAAATAATGAAACTTTAAATTAATTTTTCTCGAAAATTTTCTTATGTAACCGATATTAATATTTATTGTACATAATTTAGAAAAAAATCCTCTTTCAAATTCCGATATAAAAAATGGGGTGTTCCATTTAAAAATTTAAATCTTTAGTCTTTAATCTTTTAAATTTCATCGAATTTATCCGTTACTTTTGAAACGCACTGTATATATATCTTTGAAATCAGAAAAGTCTAAAGCAGTCGATGTCCTACCTCCTCTGACTGTATTTATGGTGCCCCAGGTGATTTATTTTATTGTTGGCAGTGTCAATCACTCTAGAAAATATATTTCTTTTTGAAAACTTAATTTCATTACGTACGTGTTGACAGTACATATTCAAATAGTTTCTATCAATTTTTCCTGACATCACCTTCGTATAATTGGCCCTGTATATGTAGATGTGTTCTGTTAGGTATAATATCAGGTTTTCTTTTAAGAATCATGCATTAACACCTGAAGAGATGGTGTTAATCACATTACGGTACATGGCAACGATTGATAAAAGTACTGTTAGCAGAGTTTTGGACAAGGTCATCAATCTAATAGCTTAACTATGTGGGACATATATAAAAATGCCAAATAATGAGGAATATGAGGAAGTTATGGTATTGTCCTTAATAAACAGGAGAACAAGGCTTAAATGCGAAAACACTATCCTAATTTATAAAACACTCATTCGACACTCATCACCTATGCCTACGTTGTCTGGGGAAACCCGCCTAAATCAAATCTTAATAGGGTTCAGGTTTTACAAAACAAAATATTACGCATAGCAGTAGACTCCACAATGACTTCCCGGTTTCACGAACGCATACAATACACAGAAATACTACAGCCATACAACCTCAGCAAAAAGAACATCCACTGTCGTCTTAAAAGGAAACTACCACAAGACATCTACTTAAATTTAAAATACGTTAAATGTTACCATTCAATTTGACTTATGTTTATTATTTTGTAAGTAACAAGGTCCTTTTAGTTATGTAATGTGAAATTTATTTAGCATAAGAAAAAGCCTTGTATAGTCATATTAATTTACTGGTCTGGCAATAAAAATACTTAAAAAAAAGAGTATAACGGGGTAGCTAATGAAGCGCACGGGTGAGGAAACAGGAGTGGTGCCCACCTGCATTTTGGACGGAATACGGAATGCGGGGGAAAAATTAAAAATGCTTTTTAATTTAAAAAAAAATGATAACTTTTTTAGCCTTCTAGTTAAATATTTCGGTATAGCTTCTCAACAGTGGACAACTTATTAAAAAGGTGCCGGCGCCCGGGTGCAGTGCACCCCTTACACCCCCGCATCTTATGCATGGTAAGAAGTGGTGGTGCCCGCTTTTCACAAATACACTCTCAAATATGTTAGTAAATGCATGGAAATTACATGTACTAATTGCAAGCTATGAAAAGGCTCCAGTAATGGATCAGTTAACATTTAGAAGTGCTATTGCAAGAGATCTTTTGTTGACTAAAGATTTGTTTGATGATGCTGATTCTGCAGCTACTTCATCATGAACGTAACATTTATCATTTTCAAGTGCAAGACAAAAATCATATACAGTCAAATATCAATATCAGACGTCGTTGTAAAGTATGCCATTGCAATTTTCATCCAAAATACTTTGATAAATATGACAAACTATTCTTTTTTTCAAATAAAAGTTAATTCTGTTATGTTTCTTATTATGTATGTGATTAGAATCACCATCCCATAACAGGACAAAAACAGACTAACGTTTTTTTTCACCATGTTTATCTATTTTGACCTATTAGCAGTCTCTTTTGTAGGGGTCATCAAAGAATTTCAATCAGAAACTGTACCAGGCCAAAATGGGTTAATAAATAAAGCTTTATTTAAGTAGTAATACAAAAAATACAAAAATTAGTTAATCCAAAGTGAATATTCTCATAGCGATATCAGAAATAAGCCAATCAATCCCTTGCAACAAACAATCTCCTGTAACAGCACTACATAATATAATTTGCCAGTGATGAGTTTTAATTGTATCCAAATCCAACACCTACAAAAAAACATTAACATCCTTTTTATACTTAATCAAAATATTTACATCTTTAAGTTCTTCTGAAGTGCAAGCTCCAGGTAAATCTTGTTTGTTTGCAAAAACTAAAAGAGTAGCACCAGCCAAACGCTAAAAAAATATATTAGAAATAAAACTCAATTCAACAACAAAGCCTTACTTCTTCTTGTAAAAGATTGTGTAATTCTTTCCGACAATCTTCAAGCCTTCGTTTATCAGCACTATCAACGACCCAAATCAAACCATCTGTGCACTCAAAATAATTTCTCCAGTAAGATCTTAATGATTTTTGGCCACCAACATCCCACATGTTCAACTTAAAGCTAAAACAATTCATATAAACAAATTTAAGATTAATACTTTTAAGATAAACGAACCCTTTATGTTCAAGAGTTTTTATGTTAAATCCTAACGTTGGGGAAATCGTATTAATATCCTCCCCATTAAAACGTTTCAAAATCGTCGTTTTACCAGCGTTGTCTAAACCGCTAATTAATTAATTAAGGAATTTCTAAGTTTAAATACATTTTGAGGTTAGGAATTATTTTTACAAAAAAATAAAAGGATACAGAATTAAAATTCTCATCTCCTTCTCTTTTTGCTTCATCTTTCTCAAAACGGTAAGAAACCCCATTGTTGCGTGTATTAAAAATCACTTAAATTAAAAATTAATTTGATAGAGTTATTACTGACATTTTAAGGTTATGTTGTGACAGCTATGGAAAGTTTATTTTTTATAATTTTTAAAATTAAATTCGTTACTGCGATTATTATAATTGGTTAATAATTTTAATTGTGTTTAATAACTAAATTATAAATTATTTCTCCAAAATAATATTTTTTATTATAAATTTTTTTTTTAGCTAACTTCGTGGCAGTAAAAATTGCGGCGAATACTTGTACTACAAAGGTATCATTTGTGATACGAACAGGTTGTGTTTCGAGTATTGAAAAAAGAATCATTTTTAGCTCAAGAACAATCCCTTCAACTTTATTAGTTGAGGTAAGTATTCATTATGTTAAACAATAATAGAAGCATAAATTCCAGAAGTTTCGTTTATTTGGCTACGCAATATAACACATAAAAACAGCAAAATTTTTTTTACTTAAGCAGTTTAAAAGTGGATCACATACAATTACCCACTTAATTGTTCACACGCCTAAAACCTTATTTAACATTGTATTTTGTCAAATGTAAAGATTTTATTAATGTCCAATTTGTATGTGAGATTTCATAGCGAAATCGGCGGGATAACAAAACGGTTTGAGGTTATGTGTACACCTGTCCTGGAATGTTTCGCTTAATATTTTAACTAATTGTAATATTTAAGGCCGATATTACACTATCATGGTTCTATGTCATAGATTTATCATCAAATACTTGTAATATAAAGTTTGATGAGCAAATATTATAGAAAATATGTTGTCGATTTACTTTTGGTGCCTGTTTGAATTTAATAATTATAATACGTTTATTATTGAAAAAGCAATGTAAAGAAGGAAAAATGAGTATGGGAGAGAAGCCTAAAACAAGAGCCTGGAGTAGCAAATTGTAATAATTTGGGAATTCAAAATCATTTATTGAGACAACTGAAAAGTGAAGACCCAAATCATTACAAAAACTATTTACAAATGGATAAGAAGAGCTTTTGTTTCTTGGCGTGTAAAATATATAAATTAATTTCGCAGAAAAATACTCATTTGAGAGACGTGGAAGAGCGCTTTATTGTAACACAATTCTTCTTAATCCTCTGTCCTTAGCTTAATCCATTGATTTTCTTCCTTTTAGCTTTTTAAAACTTGTCAGATGTAATATATTATGTTCTATTGGCAAGAACATACATATGGTCATAGACATAGTTCCTGAGATATTCAATTGTATTTCCAAAATTTCAGGATCTCTTTAAAAACGATGTAAAAACAACATTTTTTCCAATTTTGCCTTGAAACTATGTCAGATAATAGTCAAAGCCAGTAGGTAAATGATAGTATCCAAAGATATTAGATGTAGAACACGCTGTATAGCGTACAGCGTGTTCATAAAGCTTAGTTACTTTTGATGTTTTTCAAATGGCTTTTTCATAAGTTTTTTAAATGGAACATCTGTATATTGTGTGCTGGTTGAATTGCCCATCAAGTTACCTTTAATAAATGATAAATATGTCATATATCTAACTTTAGTAATTTTGCTGATATTTAGAATTTAAAGAATTATGTGTCATAAAATATGCGTTATTGTACTTAATATTATATTCTGTCTATTTTTATCAGTTTTTTTTGTTCTTCCTTTTATTATTTGATTAATATTTTATAATGTAAAATAATTTTGCTGCCATATGCCAAATTTTAATGCGACTTGGTACTTTATGAGATTTAAAAAGTAGTAAGTAATAAAATATGCAATTGTTCTGCCATTTAATTTACAACTTTAGAGAAAATAAGATGCACATGTTAAGAGATACCTCAAGATCTTTTATACAGCGTATTAGTGTTTGTAACAGAGAAAATGGGCGGCATTTTGAACAACTTCTGAATATTAATTAAATTAATACCTACTTGTTGAGCAACGTTTAGTAATTGTTTATAGTTTGTTGCTGCATTTCCTTCAAATAGTTTAGTAATTAAAAACGGGATTTCTTGTTCTGCCATTTAAGTGTATTTTTATTACGTTTTGATTATTATTTATTACACAATATATTTCATTCTGTCACTTTTTTAAGTAGATACAATAATGACATTTTATTACACATTTTTCTTTAAATTCTAAATATCAGGAAAACTGTTAGACATATTTAGTAAATATGTCTAATAAATTCCCTTTCTGATAGACTAAAAGAATATGGGGCGTTCCATTTAAAATTTTCGACTTTCTCGCCATTGAATATGGAGAAACAGGAATTAAATTTTTGACCATCCCTGTATAAGATACTCCGATGCAACAAATGACAATCTATTTGACAGCATCTCAAGAGTAATCGTGCCAATGTAGATCTTTTTTGAATGAACGTTGGCTCAGATATGGGGTTTTAAAGAGCATGTTGAAATTTACCAAGAAAAGCATAAAACCAAAATAACTCGAAAGCGAAAAACGCTAGGTACCAATAACTTTTATCAACGTCAACCTATTTTTTGACGTACAATTAAACGGTGTAATAAAAACTATAGCATTCCATTTAAAATAACGAAGTTATGGTCTACTTCCGGTGCACCGAAAGTGGCAGACATTACCCTGTGTATAATAATAGATCTATGACAAAGAACTATGATAGTGTAACACCGGCCTAACATTTTATATTTGTGGTACATATCATACACTAATTTTAACACTTTTGTACATTATGGTGTGGAAGATAGTGATGTAAACATCAAAGCTCACGCTTTTTTGCTTTATTTAAGTTTTATTAGATTAATTTTTTTTTTGTAAAGTGATTAATAGATTTTGTATCCATTTCAGCAACTTGGAATCACTTTACTTCAATTATATTTCAAATGTCTCAGTAAGTGAAGCGATATTATCTATTAAATTAAATTGATGGTAGATTTGCGTTGTACATTTACCTAAGAAATGGGACATGGGTAACTGGAAAAAGTCAAAGCAATAAATTTGAGAGTTACGATTAATACAATTATAAAAGAATTTTATTAATTTTATTCTTAGTACTAACAAGTAACACAGGGAAGTGCCATACGGCGATTTTCTTGAAATTTGGCACACAAATTTGTCATTTCTGCCTGATCGCCGTTTTAAGGGTAGAAATCGGGTGATTTCCGATTTTTGAGATAAGTGCAATTATTTTACGATTATTGCGAAATCATTTTACTGGGGATTTTAGTCGCTCATGACGAATCTGACGTCTGTGTTCGAGAATTCAGAATGGGGGGCGCATTTTGCTAAAAATTGCGAAAAATTTAAAATGTGAAAAAATGTGTTTAAAAGTGTGAATGTTTTATAACAAACTACACAATTTGAAACGATGAAAGTGTTCGGTGAAAGTATTAATTTATTTCTGTGCTACGATCGTTACGACCAATATGTTGGTCTTCATCTGACACTTCTAAAACGGATGTACAAAGTTTGTTAGTTATGATACATTTTAACCTTTGGAATTTATTGACTTTCCTTTTTGTTTTTGTCTGTCATCTGGTATGATGTTGTTCTTTTACAAATATCTTATCATTTATATGGAGGTGATCTATGATTTCTTGTATATGTAAATTCTTTATTTAAGCTATCAACCCAGTAGGATGTCTGTCCGCTTACAATTACAATTCTATATTTTTTTAACATGTTCGTAATTACATAATATAGTTACATTAAAATAATAGTTATTTCATCATTACGTTCAATCGTCCATTTATGAAGCACACGCCTTCTATTGTGCTCCTCTGTAAACCTCCGTTTTCTTGTCATTATTTGGTTATTTATATCCAAAACGGGTACCTATAGAAAGAGTAAGGGGTAACGAGTGCGAGGGTTATAAACTGAGTTAGTGTGGTTCTTCTAGCAAGATAATTTTGTTAAATTATTGTTGAGAGTCTTGCCGTGGCCGACCAATAAACCGTAAAAACCAGTTTTTTTTTTCGGAAATGTCGAACACATGCGCGTCGTGCGACAAGAGAATTTTATCGGAACTCGCAGAATGCCAGGAATGTAAACAAAAGTTTCATTTCGAATGTTCAATAAACGAAGTTGTGTATCGTAAAAAACTAAATTCTAAGCAACCGTGGAGGTGCGGAAGTTGCGTTTGTCGCCGTCAAAATAAAAAAAGCTAACCTGAGGGTGTCGAAGATAGCGGTGCCATGACTTCATTTTCTTCGATAAAAAATGAACTACTGTCAGAGATTAAAAAGTTGCTGGCTCCTATAAACGATACTATTACTGAACTTAAGAAAGACATGGCTGAGATGAGAAATTTTACCGAGCATGTGTCGGATAATTATGACAGCTTTCTGGTCGAGTTAAAAAACATTAAGTCCGATATGGCTATTATGAAAGAAAACTGCGACCGACTTAGTGGGCAGCTTTCTGAAAAAGATAAGGAAATAACTGTGCTGACTACTCAACTTAGTCAGCTGGAGCAGTATGTCAGAAACAAAAACTTACTTATTAATGGCATTCCTGAAGTGCAAGGTGAAGACTGCAAGAATATTGTCACGAGAGTCGCGGAGGAATTGGGCATTAAATTGGATCCAACTGAAATTGACGTCGCCCATCGCCTAAAAGGAAGCAAGAACGCCCCACCGCTTATCATTGCTCAATTCGTTCGAAGAACTGTTCGGGATACGCTTGCATCAAAGAAAAAGTTAGTTGTAACGAAGTCTTTCCTACCAGGATTGAAGATTGGTGATTCCATATTTATTAATGAACATCTAACCGCTACTAACAGCAAATTACTAATGCTTACAAAAAAGGCAGCTCGGGAAAATGGCTTCAAGTTCGTATGGTGCAGGAACAGCAGGATTATGGTGAGGAAGAGTGAAGATAATCCGGCGATTACAATTGCAAGTGAGGCTGACATCGAAAGGAAGATTAGTCGGAACCAATCTTGATTGACCTAGTCCGTAANTTTTTTTTTTATGGCATATTGCCGGGGTTAATTTTTTCTTTCTTTCGCACTTTATTTACGCCTATCTTTGATTTTTCTATTATGTCTCTGTATTTTTGTTTTCTTAACGTAAATAAAGGTATATTATTATTATTATTATTATTTATGTACCAAGTCAGCAAAGTGATTTTTTATCGAACGAGTCTGAGTTTGCCAGTCGAGCGAGCGAAGGGAACGAGGCGACTTCGATAAAGACACTTTGCTGACGGGATGCATACACCATTTTATCGCCAACCGCAAAATATAAAGATTTTGTTAATGTACCTCGGCAAAGTATCAAAGGTCGGTACTACAGTGGAAAAGACAGTGTAATTTCAAGTAGAGTTTCCGGGTTCAAATCCAGCACCGTGAAAAAAAATGATGGTGTCATTATTTATCCGCATCAGAAATGTTCGATTATTGAATACTTAAATGCTTGTGGGGTTGTTTATATCAGCTTTTTGTTGAACACTTCACAATATATTAGAAAATTTTTGATTTTACAGTATGAATATCCCAGCCCATTTCTTAGGTAACCATAAAACCCTTACTTGTAATATTTTTGACCCTTAAAAAAATGAAAATAATAAAGTACAAAAGTGGAAAAAAGAGAGAAATACGATTGATACAAAAGTGTATAAGTTATAAATTTGACTTTATTTCTTTAGGTGCGTGGTATACGTTAATTATCCACCAGTATCGCTTATAGAAGATAGGGTAAGGTCGAAATCAATGATGATTATAGAGTGTTAAGATTGAATAAAAAAAATATTAATATTTAATTATTTTTTAGCAAGGTGTGTATAATATTTTTAATAAATTTGGGGAAATTATTAAGTTATTTTGCGATAACGAGTACAAGAAATTTATTAAAATATACTACAAAGATCCACTGTAAGTAAATAAAAAAAACAATTTCTTCTATTAGTTTCTAATCTTTTAGATCCCCGTCTATTGCTTATGAACAAATTAATAATAAACCACCACTTTTTTTGTCCTTAACTTTGAGGGAAGATAAGTCGCCTATAACAAAAGTAAACCGTAACCGTTTATCATCAAACTTTTTAAATTCATCAAAGTAAGTTTATTTCTTTACAAATATTGTACAAATTTTTAGATAACATAATTCTTAATTATTCAAAGATTATTAAACGATTCCGTACACGACTCTTGTTCGAGTACCAATAGTAATATGGGTGATGAAGAAGTCGAAGTTAGTCTTCTCCCAACTTTTTTATATGATATATTTGGGGATGAAATCAGCATTTTTAAAGACGATAATAATCGCGCTTTTGTATCAATTGATGAATTGAAACGCCACAATTTTCAACTTTTCGACGAGTCAAAACAGCCACCGCCGATAACTGAAGAGTAAGCGACATTATTGATGTTTTTTTAATTTATTAATCGATTTTATTTTTATTATAAAGGGATTATCTACAAGAATTAAAAGTTTATCTTTCCGTGAAAGTACGCAAATTTCAAATGCTTCATCGTCAACACATTATAACAACATCAGCTTCAAGTTCAATTATAAATGAGTAAGTTAATATATTTTATTTGAATCATACATGACGAGTTAATTTAACTTTAACCAAAAATTATGATTAGAACCAATTACTTTTGGATGTTACTCCAAATTTTATTATTTTGGAATAATCATAACTCATTCGCGATGCTAACTTAATCGCAATTATTCATTGACTTCCTCAAAATCGTAACATGTACCTATATTTTAATTTCCTAATTTTCTATTAAATTGAATTAATTTGATTTTTAATTTTTTTTAGAATAATCAATGATTATAAAAGCTCAAAACCGCTTACTCCTGTATCAAAACAACAAAGTCCATCAAACTCTGTTACAAAATTTGGAAATAAAAACGTTCGGAAAACTATAAATGGAGCATTTAATGATGCTAAAGAGAATAATTCTCCAAATATCGAAAATTCAAGGAGAAAATATATTGTACCGGAAAATATTAATGTGGTTCCTTTGCCATTAAATACACCAATTGAGGTAAAGAACTTTTTTTTTGTGCTACAGTTTTAATTAAAATTATTTTAATGTAGGTTTCAGTTACTTATGGGGTAAATGAACGCCGTTGTTACGTTTATTTAAAATCGCGTGAATCCGATATACGCACTTTAACACGAAGAGTTGAAATTGAAGCGAAAAAATCATCGCCGGTAGAAAATCCGATAGTCGGTAATATTTATGCTGCAATTTATGAAGGAGAATGGTAAGAATTATTATAAAAATATCTTTTTTTTTAAATTTATTAACTGACTCCAAAACAATGAATATCACTGGTATAGTAGAAACCACGAGAGCTGGCAGTGACAGATCGCTTAAAAATGGTATGAATCAAGATATGGATGTATGACTTAGATTATTTCACCACATACATTTAAATGTAGGTTATGTTAGTAATGGAGGTTATGTGTCAAACATTGTCAATGATATTATTTAATGATTTTCCTTTCAAAGAAAACATTTTCGGCTTGTGAAAACACTAACAGATTCATGACAACGCTCACAAGACGTTTCGATTTGAGGTTATAATTATAGAGTTACATCCCTTAGAAGAACAGACGTACTTTTTCGACGTGGCCATTTGAATTGTACAGCAGACATAGTAAACTAATGCTATCTCTTTTTAACACACATAACTCTCTAGCGGTTTGTGAACTACGTATGGCATTTGTAAGAGCGGAAAACGATGATTTACTGCCAGCTCTCGTGGCGTCTACTATATCAGAGCTTTAATATACAAAAATAGATAAACAAAAATTTACAATAGGTTGTATATATATAAAAAAAATCTTCAAAAATATAAACCTATCAGTTAACAGTTCAATACTCATTCACTCCAAATACAATTTAAGATTATAAGCTAATTTTTTTATTGTCCCTGCCTCCACTATAGTTATCAGGACACTGTTATATGCTAAGATATAATGGCGTTCTCTATCCTGTCGTTGTTCTAGAATGTTTGTTTATAAGATTATTTGCATTTCAGGTGTTATATTCATGTCAATTCTTAACTTGTTTGGTACTTATATTAGTCTTCAATAATTTATTTTTTATAGAATATATTATATATTCTATTTGTTGAAAAGTTCTAATTTTCTGTAAGTTCCATATATTTTCCATTTTATACACAAAATCAGTTGATGTATAATAGTAGTTCAACTGAAAGATACATTTTACTGCTTTATTTTGCGTTCTTTGTAATTTATTTAACTGGTGAAGCGGAAGACCGCCTCAGCATGGAAATAGATAGATTTGAGGCACTATAAAGCTATTATAAAGTAATCACCTAGAGTTTTTATTTAAGCAGTTTGTACACCTTTTTATTGCACTAACCATTTTCATCCAGTCGTCATTTTTTAATGACAGCATTCACATGTACATTCCAATTGAGATCATTTGTTAAATTTAAACCTAAGTATTTATACATGTGCACTTCTTTTACTTTTTCTCCATTCAGAAACACATTTATATCACTTCTTTGTTTAATAATCATATATACTGTTTTGTTAATATCCACCGATAATTTACTGTAGCACAGCCATGTGTAATAAAGATCATAAAGTCATCGTTTGACACCTTTTCAAGTTTCATTTTATATCACTTCATGACAAAACCAAAACGGTGTCATCAGCAAACACAAAATACCTAGCTTGAAGTTGTAAAAACTTTAAGTTTTGTATGTACAGTAAATGTTGCAATGGACCAAGCACTGATCCCTGAGCAACTCTAATACTTAGGTTCTTTTTTTACTCTTTGCCTTATTGATTTGACTATAATTTTTGCAATCCTTAGAATATGTTTGCAAAAGTTCTTCTGCGATGCTTCATACTCCAATTTTTTTTAACTTATTGAGTAAAATATCTATGTCCACAGTATTAAATGCTTTTTGTAGATCAATAAACCCCGTTAAAACAAATATTTTTATCAACTTCTTCTGTAATATGTTATAATAAATCCCCCTATCGCACCCAAAGAACTGCTCTTCTTTTGAAATTCATATCGACTTTGTAATGTTTCTGTATAAAGTTAATTAACCTGTGCTTGATAACGTTTCCTCTTATTTTAGAAAATATATAAAATTGAGATTGGCCTATAGTTACTTACCAAGTTCTGTTTTTGCTTCTTTTTTATGAATAGGGGATATTTTCACCGTTTTTAATTCATCCGTAAATAGGCCAGTTTCCAGAATGTTATTAATAATATTCACTATTTTATCTGTCAACATTTCAAATAGTGGTACTATATCCGATTTAGTTTTATACCATCTTCTCCAGGCGAACTATTATTATTTAAATCCATTATGATAGAGTAAATTTCTGTTATATCAGTTGTTTCTAGATAGATGGATTCTTTTATTTCTTCTATAAACTGCTGATTAATAACCGGTTTTATTTTAGTTTCTAAGTTCTTGTCTATTTCCGAAAAATAAGTATTAAATTCTTCTGTTATTTGTTGCTCATCTTTAGTGATTGTTCCTGACATACTTCTCATTTGCCCTTTTTTGATCATTTTAGACATAAATCGTTCAGAACTTTCCACATTTTCTTAGAGTTTGCTCCAGCCTCATTAAGTATTTTTTCCACGTACTCTTTCTTTAATTTTCTCCTCATATTATTTACCCCATTCTTCAAATTTTTAAAGTGTCTTTCGGTTTCAGAGTTTGTTATTAACTTCCATCACTTATATGAATTATCGCTATGGCTCGTTACTACCATCTTCTGGTTAAGCTATCTAAGAGATTATTACCACGGTTACGGCTATTTTACGCGCTCTGATTGGCTAGTAGATGGGTTTATCTATAAGATAATTTTAACTAAAAGATGGTAGTAATGGACCTATGTTTCATTTTTTCTGTAAACTCAGCATTATCCAATAGTTATTATTAGATACTTTTATTCTACTTTCCTTTGTACATTCAATTTTTGTTTTTGTTATTATTTCCGCTAGTTTGTTAAAAGAAGTAATTTCTTCCTGTTGCAATTTCACTTGAATTACTTCTTTCCATTATTTTATTTGCTATTTGGTTTTATTGATAATTTCTTTAGTATTTTTCCAATTACTTTATTTAAATTAATGTACATAATTTTATAGTCTGACATCACATGATCTGTAAGGGTTATATCACAGTAAATACCTCTATTTATTCACTAAAACATGATCTAGGGTAGTACCTGTTTTTAAAATTTTTCTAGCAGCATTCTCAGAAGTAATATTCTGTATTGTGAAAGTGTTCATTTCATAAATTTATATTTATTTCTCCCAAAATGATCTCTCAAAGTGACTTCTGAGTCTACATAATTTTATCTATTTGTCTTAAAAAGCATTAACTTTATTTCTAGACGATCTGTAGATATTTATAATTACACAATTAACTTTAGTAAAACAAATATAAACGTTACAGTCCTCAATTTCCATTTGTGAAATATTTCTTCAATCATACTCCAAATTGCTCTTTGAATCTCTACAATATCATAATTGACATTGTAATGACCAATATTGATCTACCTTGGTAATGACATCATAATTTGGTATATTAAAATACTCCACTTCATTTTAATAAATCCATGTTTCAGTGAGTGCATTAGAATTTCAAATTCTTTAAACTTTATTTCTTAGACTTCTTACATTTATTTAAAGGATATTACGTTTTTCATTCATTTTTTTACTCTCCAAATATTTGTATATTAATTCTACATTGTACTTATGGTTTTAATGTTATGGAGCAAGTTTAAGTATAAGTAATTTTTTGTAAACTTGCGATTTCAAGCTTTCTTCTAAGAATCTCACAACGATTTATCCTTCTCTCTTCTGTTCAACTCTAAAGCAGCCCATAACTTTATTCATTGGTATATTCAGCATCATTGTTCCAAATACTTTATACACAACTTTTTTAATTTTCTTTACTCGATATATCAGAAACAATAATATTCTTTTGTCGTTCTATTTACTCTTGATTATTTACTTTTTGTTCCAGTATTTCCAATCTTTTCTTTAATATACGATTTTCATCTCTATAAAGCTTTATAATATTTCATTTTTATTATATTTCAGACACTGTTTTTTGATCCTCAAAAGAATCCGACATAAATTGAACAGATTTTTTAAGATTATCTATATCTTTAAGTAATTTTTCCTCAAAGGATTTAAGGGCTTAATTTAAAAGTTGTTTCATTATGTTTTAATTTTACATCATCATTATTCATTACTTTTGCTTGTAACACACAACTAGGGTGGGAGTAGAACTTGCAGATTTCACATCCCACTGGTGTATTGACTTTTTTCTTGCAGAATTTACTAAAATCTAAATCTAAATTATTTATTAATAATTTATTTTTTAAAGGCATCGTGCTATCGTGCAAGGAGTAAATCCGTTAAAAGTTCAATACATTGATTTTGGAAACGATAATGATTTCCCATTAAAAGAAGTTCGCCATCTTTCTGAAGCTTTATGTAATTGTCCCTGGGAAGGAGTTTGTATCAATTTCGGGACAAATCCGGTACCAGGAAGATTAGAATATGGTTCAATTCTGCATATCATCGCTCTACGATTTGTAATTACTACAAACACATATTTTTAATGATTTTGATTATTTATTTTATTGTAGAACACTGATCATTCGTATCAAGTTAAAAAAGCATCGGAAGAAAGACACGATTTTAATAGAAACGTTAATTTCGAAAGGAATAAAGTCGAAAAAATGAACGTTGAGACACAATTTGTTGAAAATAAAAATAACAAACCTGTTGTTGATGAGGAAAAAAAGGTTGAGAATGTTGCTAAGATTGAGACACCGAATCGTTTAAATGCTTTAAATATGTTAAAACAAAAAATAGCTGGTACTTCGAAGGAAATTTTAAATCCACCTAGAAGGTATAAAGAGTTATTTCTTCGCGAATAAAATTAATTTATGATTTTTTTTAGTACGATTCTTGAAATTTACAATTCGGGTAGTGGTTTATTACAATATGTGGATAACATTGAAGGTAATCATATCGTATTTACCATTCCTGCAGCCGCGGAACTAGAATTAGAAAAACTTGATAGTCTTTCTGATGTGGTTTCAAAAAATGATAGTTTTCAGTAAGAAATCGTTTTTTTTTTAAATTGTAGGTTAGCTTTATACAAAATGCTTCTTTTTAGAGCTAATATCGGAGATACAGTAGCGGTGTATAAAGAAGAAGAAGATAAATGGTATCGAGGAACAGTAATCGAGAAAACAAACGATAGTTACCACATTGCTTTAATTGATTATGGTAAAATTGAAATTACATCTACAGTTTATAAACTTGATAAAGCTATAAGTGATATTGGAGAGTTTTGTTGCGTTTGTGTTGGATCAGAAAAGTTTTTAACTGAGGCTAACAAGGTTGTTTCTTTTTTAATTATAAATGATTTATAAAAATATGTGTGTATTATAGGGTCATATTATGTTTGAAGTAGTATCAAAAAATCAAGTACAACTAACATATTCCGATAAATCTAAAGAAACAGTTTCGTGTACTAGATGGGATCCTTTTCCTAAAAACGTTGATAAAATAAAACCAAAAGAAATCGAGCCGATTTTTACGAAACCGAAACAAATGGAATTGAAAAATGGGGATTTGTGTAAACTTTCCAATTTTATACAAGGAAAATTATATGTAAAAACGAAAGATTGTTTGAATTCTTATAAGAAAATTATGAATTCAATATCTGAATATAAAGGTAATGTATTTTTAAACATTATTGAGTTTAAGAAAGAAAGTTTTTATTATTTTTATTTTTAGCGGATAAATTAGAAAACCCAAAACAATCACAAATTGCTTTATGTAGCTATAAAAATAGCAAAGATTTATACAGAGTAATGATTTTAAATATAAATAATACTCAAGTTGAAGTAGAATATTTCGATTTAGGAGTTACCAATCAAGTAAATATAAATTCATTAAAAACCATTTCTGAATCTCTAGCAACAAATCCAATTCCAATAATTCCAATTACTTTAATTGGATACGAAACTAATGAATTTAACGAAGAAGAATTTGAAAAAATTCGAAATATATCTGAATCCACAAAAAGATTTACCGCGGTAAATAAATTAATTATAATTTTGATTTTGTATAATTTTGTTATTTTTAGAATATTGTTTCAAATACTCCATTAATATACGATTTAGTGTGTGACAACGAATCGTTAACAAAGACGTTGAAAAAATTGCGGAAGGATCCTGATCGTTTTCTTTATGAAGATGTGCCAAAAAATGATTTTACTGGAAAAGTAAATGTTTTATGTTTCGATCAAAGTAATGATAGTGCTGTAGTATTTGTTAATATGGATGATGAATCCTTAAATCAATTGACTTATATTACGGAAGCTTCACAAAAATTCCAATATAATGAACCTTATGTTCCCATTGAAGATGAAGTTTGTTTCGCTAATTACGAAGGTAAGAAAAATTATTAGACTCGTATCTTGGCGAAATCTAAAATCTTTAATGATTTAATATCTTCAAGCTTGGAAAAAATATGGTTAGCTAAGGTCAAACTTACATTGGTATTTACTAGTGGTGGAACGGATTGTTTTGAAAATTTTCCAAAGTGTTAATAAAAGTGTCCTCTTTCCAACGAACCAACCCGTTTTGAAAAATAACTTTTAGTTTTTGAGAAAACAATATTTGAAGTTTTGATAAAATTTTCGATGTTGCAATTTTCCTCGATAATTTTCAAAATTCACTATAAAATTAATTTCTTGAAGGATCCTTCTGGAAATATCACCAATTGTTAATTAAAGTATCTTTTTTTTAATGCAACAAGCCGTTTTGAGAAATCGCTTCTAGTTTTTGAGAAATACATTTTTGAAATGATCGACAATTTTTTCGAATTTTGCAATTTTCGCCGATTAAGTTTTAAAAATTCGTATAAAATCCAGTTCTTGGAATATGAGTATGAAAATTTTCCAAAGTTTTAATAAAAGTGTCCTCTTTCCAATGAACTCGCCCGTTTTGAAAAATAACTTTTAGTTTTTGAGAAAACAATATTTGAAGTTTTGATAAAATTTTTGACGTTGTAATTTTCATCGATAATTTTCAAAATTCGCTATAAAATTAATTTCTTGAAGGATCCTTCTGGAAATATCACCAATTATTAATTAAAGTATCCTCTTTTTAATGCAAAAAGCCGTTTTGAAAAATCACTTTCAGTTCTTGAGAAATGATCGACAAGAGAGACAATGGATTTATTTTAGACAATTAAAAGCAATATACAACATAAACAACAACATAATGTACATTCTATATTAAGTCTAAAAAGGGCTATCGACCAAAGTCCTTCCGCCCCATCTCAATAATTAAAAATTTTCAGCCATATATTGTTATCCTGTCACAATCCTTTTGTAAATAGTGTCGAATTCTGATTGTATAAATAGGGGTGACATTTCTTCAGCCATCTTGCTCTTAGATTTGTTTGCTAAAATTAGAAGTCGCTCCGTCAAAGGCTTTGTTTCGGTTTTTTCATATAGAGTTTTATTTGCGATTTTCTGCAATGGAATATTCTTGTGTCTCATTTTCGTTACTGCTCGGAGACTTGTTCTTTCGCCAACTTCCAAACTCCTTAGTGTGCATCGCTTGCTATCATAGGTCAATAGGCTTGCATACTCTAAAATTGGTCTACAAATAGTCTTATAAATATGCGCAGCGCATTTGATGTTAATGCCTTCTTTCTTGTAGGTTAAACTTCGAAACAGCTTCGCTCTAGTGATTGCTTTCATTTTAGCCTTTTTTGTGTGTATGTGGAACTTCACTTTGCTGTCGAAGATTATACCCAGGTATTTGATGTTCGCTGAAGGACTGATTTGCGTCTGTCTGATGTATACTGTTGGAGAATTATCTGTTACCCTATGGTATTAGAAATTGTGTTTTTGAAGCGTTTTTGTTAATTCTCCAGGAAGAACACCATTTAGTTATTTTGTTAGTTGCTTCTTGTAATGTTACTATGGCTGTTTCAAGTTTCTTCCCATGTGCTATTAGTGCAGTATCGTCGGCATATTACAGCATATATAAATCGGTAGAGAGCGCGGAAATTTCCATCATGTCATATGCAAAAACATTGTATAGTATTGGTGAGAGCGGCGAACCCTATGGAGCCTTGTTGAATTTGGAATTCATCCGAGAAGGTTTAATTTGTTCTTAGTCGAAAAGAACGATCTTTTAAAAAATTTGACAGTAATTTAAGTAACTCCGGTGGAACGTTTAATTTGTGTAATTTGTAAATCAAACGCCACACTGAGTCAAACGCTTTTTGTATGTCTAGAAAAAGAGCTGCTGATTTTATTTGCTGCAAGCGACAAGTGTGTAGATTTGCAGTAAGAATACCTAGTGGATGTATAGTCGATTTCCCTGATCTAAATCTAAACTGATGATGTGGAATCTTATCTTCAACATACATTAGCAGTCGTTTTTTAATAAGATTTTCAAACATTTTCCCGATGACAGGAAGCAACGTTATAGGACGATAACCAGAAGGCGTGTGTAGATTCGAGTCTTTTTTTTTTGAACCATACTACTGCCCCAGTTTTCCATTCATTAGAAAAGTATTAATTTTAAACCATTCTTCAACCTGATCGTGATAGTCGTTATCGAATAAGTGATTTACAGATTTTTTAAAACATTCTTCGAGATATTTAGCACGTACTTGTGCCTTTTCGAAATTAGTGTTACAACTGGAGCCATCAGATGGATCTATAAGATAAACGGACTGGATGTTTTTTTTTGTATTTTGTTAGTTTTTTGACTTCATTCCAGAAAGATTTTACCTTACTTTGGTTGATATTATTACAAGCTTCAATAAATCTGGAAGAACTGAATTGCCATATTAACTTGTAAATGTTTGTACTAAGCTCATTAATTCTCTTCTTGGTGTCAACATCTTCATTTCTTCTAAACTCTCGGTACATGCATCTTTTACGTTTAATTAACGTTAGGATATAAGCAGGGAGTGGGAAGGAGTAATAGGACTTTTTCCTTTTTGGGGAATGATATACTAGTGATTTCGTTAGGTGTTTGATAAATGATGATATGTTCTCTGGGTAAATAGTTATGGATGTAATTTGTCAGGTCATTGTTTAGGTTTTTGATATTGCATAAATTAATATTAATGTGTAGTGGAATGTCTACTATTGGGGAGTATGGTGGGGTGTTTAGTTGAAAATCTATGCTGAGGTGGTCTGAACCAAGATCTGTTATTAATTCTAGAGCATGGATGAGAGGATTTTGTATCTTGGATCCAAATAAGTTGACATATCTTATCAGCTTTCTTATTAATTTCATTTTTATTCAAATATCGCATTAATGTGGCAATGTAGGGTATCACTTCAGAAATGTATCAGAAATTATAACCACAATGGCCGGATAGATATTCCGGATATCCGGCCGAACGGGATGCCGAATATCCGGTATCTGGCTTTTCGCAAAATCACTATCCGTTCCATCACTAGTATTTACCTAGGTTCTCTATAAAATTTAGTTGTTTTCTAATTTCTAGTCACGTTTTCGTTAACTAGACAATTGAGGTTATCTCTTTCCAGTTAAAATAGACAACCTAAGCCTTGACGTCACAGAGATGGGCGGAGCTTATGCCAATTTTTCAATTAGTGTTAAAATAAAATAAACTAAGTGACATTTTAAATGACATTTTTATGGCGATTTATCATTAGCAACGAAATTGTTTGAAATCGGTATAAGCTCCGCACATTTCTGTGACGTCAGACATAGGCAGTCTATTTGCGCATGCGCACTGTGTCAATAGTTACTTAATACTACTAATAAAATCTGTTTTTCTTATAGCCGAATGGCACAGAGCTCGAGTTCTTGAAGCTAACCCAGACTTGGATACATTTAAAGTTATTTTTATTGATTACGGAAATGTAAGTACGGTTTCATCGACGAATATCAGAAAATTGAATGATGATTTGAAAACAATTCCTAATCTGACTTTGATTTGCAAGATAAATGGTAAGTTAATTAATTTTCAACTTAATCAAAACAAATCTATACACAGTGTCTTAACATTTACACTCTTACTCTTGTGAGTTCATTGAATGATGTTAAACATATTGAAAATGATTGTTCTATGTGGCTAATGCAGAAAGGTTTAATGCGGTAAAGGTCCAAGATTATGGGTGTGAATAATGAGACACTTGTATACAATGCGCGTCAAATATAACCCATCTAATTTGAAAGCATTTCGAGAGATATCCTCATGAATCAAATTATATCAATCTTATTTTTTTTTGTAATGGAAAACACCCCACATATACCATTTTCTAATAGAGTTGGGTTACATTTTACGTGGACTGTATATGAAGAGTCTATGGAAGAAAGGCAAAATATGCATCGACAAGATAATCAGAATAACAATAAGAAAAACAAGAATATGCAGGTGTCTCACGTAACTGGTTCGTTAGAACTTTTTAAAAGTTCCTTTAAAAAGCATGGTGAAATTTGCCAAAAAAAAACTTAAAATCAAAATAACTCGCAAACGAAAGACGCTAAGTACCAATAACATTTATGAAAGTCGACATATTTTTTTTACGTACCAATTCATGCGGCCATGTTGAAAATATTTTATATCGAAAGTTCCGAATGAACAACCCTGAAACCTGTGGAACCTAAAAATGTTGTAACGAACCAGTTACGTGAGACATCTTGTATAAAGCGTGCTTGATATCATAAAGGAGGGATGAAAACCCTAAGAATAATAACGAATAATTAATAATATAACAACACTTTTAATTGGTTTCAAACGTCAAAAAAGTGCTTAAAGCAAAAATTTCTAGTACCAAGAACAGCATAGAAAGGAGAAGGTGTCACATTTTGAGCAACGATTGGGACCTAACGAATCTTGATTTGAAAACGCAAAAAGAGTCGATGTTCTTTATATTCGCTCTTATACCATGAAAACGCACTAAAATCTGTATGTGTGAATGATGATAGCTCCTCAGGCATAATACGCCGGTTGTTTCCTTTGGAATGATCTCAAAATCTTTGTTTCCCTCTGAGAGAACTATTGATTTTAAGATTGTGGGCAATGGCTCGTCCATGAATCTAGTAATAACAATCTCTTGAATACTGCGACTGGTTTTAAATAAGTATTAATAAACATATTTAACTCTCTACTATTATCTCGGACTATATCACAGGTTAATTTGCTTGAACTTCGTGCTTTTATATAATATTTGGTGAACCATACTTATCATTAGGTCTAGCTGGCGTCTCAAGCGACATTTTTAATAGATGCTGCTGAATCATAAACTTTCATTTGTGTGGTCTGTTTTGTTATACTGTAGTCTATTATTGACTTTAATAATTATTATTGCGTTTTGTGTCCTAGTAATATCAACTTGAAATCGGTCATCATATCATGGAGCCTCGACTTTAATTAAAGTAGGATAAGTGTGGTTTTATCTGGTTGATCCGAAGTCTACAGCGTGTTTCTGAAACGTGCCCGCACACTACGTCACACCATTTACCACGCCCAGTCAGCTGTTATTGTGTTCTATGCGTTTGCTATGTATTTTTAGAGGTTATATCGTAGATTTTTAAACATTTTCTTAAATATTTACAATATGGCTTGTCTTGTAAAGATTAAATTCGGCATGAAATCATTTAAGATCACTTTTGAAAATATGCAACCACGTGATCAATGCTATACAGGTCGTTCACAAAGGTTATTTCCTTGAAAATTTTGATTCTAAAAGCCTTGTTTATAGATATACATAGTTATCCAACCGGTCGAGTTGGGTTACTCTAGCTCGTGCTGCCTCTAACGGCAAACGAGAAAAACATCATTTATGAATGAATTGAATGAAATTGGAAATCCAACTTGTAGTAGAAGTTGCATACTCAGAATAAAAGATTAAACATTACATCTAAATATTTTAAAAAATATCTGTCCTTTTTTTATAACAGCGAACCAAAAATTGCCTTGCTAATTAAATGGTGAGTTTTGATTTTTGTTCGTCCTATTGCAGACTTAATTCCAGACGTGGTAGCGCCGAGCGTTCCTCCACATATCAAACGAGTAGGTAGTATAAACAAAGTTTTTTTGCAACTAGAGTTTGAATAAACGATTTCACGTATACAAATTCGTTCTTTATTATTTCGTCGTTGAGAATTTTTTGGTTAAAATACAAACACGAAAATTAAGAAATATTAATTAGAATCAATTAAATAAATAAAAACGAAGTATGTATTTCTGATTTTATTAACGAGTGTTTCTAAATTGATGTGAAAGATTTCAAGGGATGATTTTTCAGCGAAAATTACGGGGTGTTTTTCATATAACTTTTTGCTCAAAACCAAGTTATAGCTTTAATAATAATTAAGGGAAAAATCTGCAACTTTCTTATTTCTTGACATTTTACAACTAACAAATTGTTAATTTGGCATAACTTCATTTCTTTGACTAATAATAACCAATCTCTGAATTAATTCACTTGAGCCTGTATATTATTTTTATTTTTTTGTGATCAAACTAACAATTTTAGGAGAAAATGTCAAGAGACAAAAAAGTTCCGTATTGAATCCCACTATTTAATTTTTAAAAAGTTTAAAAAGTTTTTAAATAGAAAAATGTAGACGTATTAAAAAGTTCTAATGCAAATTATTATGGGGTTGATTTTTTCAGCCTCTTGTAATAACATTTTCGCGTTATAAAAATCGTCAAAAAATGTCATTTTATTAACAACAGTTATCACAGTTATCTGCCAAATTTCAATCTTCTAAATTCCTCCATAGTGGATTTATTAAATAAAAATAATTTTTTCTCCTAACTTTAGAGTACTGTAACTCGGTGGGGAAGAGGTTTTGAACAAAAACTTATATCGCTCCTTGAAATCTTTCGCATTAAGTTAGAAACACCTGTATATTAATGAACTTTTTAAAGGTGACTTAACTGAACATAATGAAAATCATAAATATATAATAACAAAAAACATGACAAATCCTGCTAACTACTTATAATTGCAAATGACAAATTACTTATGTTGTAAAATAGTAACTTTATTGCTTATTTTAATTATGCATGGAAAGGGACACGATTGCTGAAAAAAACTAAAATGACTTTTGTTTATGGAGCAGGGATATTAATTATGCCCAAAATTTATTCGAACAAAGATTTTTAGGCAGAAACATCCTATCTTGTGTAAGATCTTCAATAGAGAAAAAGGCGCTACAAGAAATTCAATGTTTAAGCTGCTGTTTGTAATAATCCATATATTTCTTCTCGCGTAATTTCTTATGACTCTGCTGTACCCCATGCGGTGTACTTAGATTTTTACATTGCCATAAATTTCACCCGTACGCTCTTTGCATCACGTCTGTCAAGTTAGCACTACATCTTGCGATTTGAATAAAGAAACTATGCATTAATTATATTATCGCTTAATTTGTTGTAATTTTTATGAATAATTTTTGAGGTATTGCATTTTTGAGGTAGTGCTAACTTGACAGTGGGAATCGATGGTAAAGAGTGGAGACAACAAAAAACTAATGACGTCATAAATTGTCGCTTAATTTGTTGTAATTTGTCGTAAAGCTTACAAATTTGTCGCATCCTTTTTTATAAACAACACATGAAATATTGCATTTCTTTCCTTCAAATTTATTTTAGTTGGTGGCGAGCAACGCGCGCGGGGTACTGCTAATATTGTTTATAAAAAAGGATGCGACAAATTTGTAAAGTTTACCACAAATTATTGCAAATTAAGCGACAATTTATGACGTCATTAGTTTTTTGTTATCTCCACTCTTTACCATAGATTCCCACTGTCAAGAAGTTAGCACTACCTCAAAAATGCAATATATCAAATATTGTTTATAAAAAAGGACGCGACAAATTTGTAAACTTTTCGTCAAATTACAACTAATTAAGCGACAATGAATTATCTCCACTCTTTACCATAGATTCCCACTGTCAAGTTAGCACTACCTCAAAAATGCAATATTTCAAGCATTGTTTATAAAAAAGGAAGCGACAAATTTGTAAACTTTACGACAAATTACAACTAATTAAACGACAATTAATGCAATAGTTTTTTTTATTCAAATCGCAGGATGTAGTGCCAACTTGACAGACGTCTTTGCATCAAGAGCTTTAGGAGAATGATATCCAAAAGCCATTTTCATTTTGTTATTAGATACAAGTATGCTTTATTGGTTACTAGAAAATTCTTATTGGTTACGTGAAATGAATTACTAACGACGTTGGGCAGTTAATATATTTTGTGGGATTATAGGTAACTTTACAATTGGCCCTTCCTTCGAAAAACCATGCTTATCAAAAAATATGTAGCCTTTGAAAAGCATACTAACAATTGAAAAATATTGATGGCGCTTCTAATATGCAATAAAAATCGTTCAGAATACTTTCCGCCTTTATAAGATGAAAGTTTTATCTGAAACTTTTTTGATAAAATTGATGTTTTATGAGTTATTAGGTAGTCGCAATTTGAATGACTCGGTATATAAAATATAATCTTTAAAATAAACTTCTTAAAAAGATTCAACGCAGTTGGTTTCCTCTCATAAAACCTGTTCATACACCTACTTAAAAAAATTTGGCGTCTATAAATCGGTACGTACCGTCGAATAGTCTCCAACAATTCGGTATTATTCTCGAAGGACACTTTATCGATTTTTTTTTTATGCAAGAAATACTAAAATATATGCAACTTATTTTACGTTTTTCGTAGTAATACGTAAGGGCGCGTATAGTAAAATTTAAATTTTTATGAATGGCGACACATAAATTACCCTGCCATCTGGGTATCATGTGCACAAACTAACATCGGTTGAATAACTATGTATATATATAAACAAGGCTAAAAGCATATTTCATTTTAAAATTATTTTCATTCTTAGACATTTTTGATTAGACGCATCGTTTTCGAGTTATTTGCAAAAAGAAACAACCTCGATTTTGTAATGTTTTCATCAATCGTAGGTGCCTGTGTCACCTGTCTAATTATTACCAATTATTACTCAACATACGTTAGTCATTTATAGTTGTTTAAAATGGCAAATAATAACAATTTTAGTGAGCAAATTCACAGAAGTATTTAAATAACGGAAATTACAGGTCAGTTCGTACACCCGAACGAGAAGAGAACATCTTTGACTTTGTGGTAAATCGTAGTTCTGCTAGGACTATTGATATCCACAGTTCAGACATTTCGGAATATTCAAAAGTACGGCTTGACGTGTCCTACACAAACAGCAATTGTATCCATATCATTTGTCGACAGTGGAAGAATTAAAAATTGTCGGATCATCCGTTGTGAGTTCACTTTTGCTATGCCATAATAGAAAATACGCCAAGTTGGGTAATAATTTGACAGATTGCTTTATTGCTTTACTTACGATTTATTTTCATGGGCAATTAATGATGATAATATTAAAAAAACGAGGTTATATCTTTTTGCGAATAACTCTAAAACCCATATCTTAACCATTTATGGGTTTAGACTAGTGATGGAACGGATAGTGATTTTACGAAAAGCCGGATATCCGTTTATTCGGCATATTTATCCGGCCATTATGGTTATAATTTCTCGTACATTTCTGAATCTGATAAGATATGTCAACTTATTTGGATTCAAGATACAAAAATGAGCTTATTTGATGCAGATTTAACAAACGAAGCAAGAAGATGGCTTTTATTGGAAAGACTTGCATCAGAAACTGAAAGTGATAACAGCGACTGTTCTGTTAGTAATGAATGTGATGATGAATTACAAGGGAAGAGAAGAAAACTAGAAGAAACTGTGTTCAAAGTTATATCTTGAAAGCAGACGTATTTTTTATAACTTAACTTAATTAATAACATCTTAACGTCAGTAGGTCGCTTGAAGCTCAGTCATTAACGTTATCTATTTATCTACATATATTTCGGCTTAGAACGTTCTCTCTCTCATCTCTTTATCAATTGCCTCTCTCCAGCAGGGCCTTGGTCTTCCTCTCTTTCTACGACCATGCGATTTCCACTTTAGAATCTGTTTAGGAAGTCGATTTTCATCCATTCTTTGGACATGGCTTCAAGATGTTTTTCCGTTTTATGTTTTCATGGCCAGACTTCGCTTTCATTTGAGACTGTGCTAAAAATCTTAAAAAAGGTTTTGTTGTATATCCTCAGCTTGTTTAGCTTTGATATCTTTTGATTCCATATTATGTTGTTTATTATCCTTCTTTCCTAAACTGTTTCTTTCTTTAATTGCAGTCAGGCTGTTATTGTAACTTAAACCCTCCAAAGATTTAGGGCAAATCTAGATGTTTGTATGTTGTAAATTTTTTTAATTTTGATTTGTTTACAGTTTTCTAAGAGAAGATCCCTCCGATATACATGCAATCCGTTTTTTTCAAAGTTTATATTCTTCTATTAGCTTTTTATTCATATATTACAGATCTTAATAGTCTTGTGCAATAACTATTTGGGAAATCTGCGAAGCAGATTGGTATAAATAAAACTTCATAAACATTTTTGCAAAGTTACCAAAATAATACAGGGTGTAGCTGACTTTTTGGCGAACACTGTATGTTATTAATAACCGAGATTTGATATTTCGCCTTTTTTCCATGAACTCTTCACATATATGTGACATACAATAATAAGAATACATTTTCACTTAGATTTAAATGGAGGTACAATAACAGTAGGAAACAATTATACCATCTCAATCTTAAACAAGGATAAAAATGGTACTTACACCGTTAATATTGTTTAATTTCGTTTTCAAAATATATTTTAATGGATTAAAATTTTAGTTTTTCGACCCAAAACATAAAAATTAATTAAGTTTTTTAAAAATCTCGTATGTTTATTAGGTTATCCTTTATTGATTAATAAAACAATATTTTTAAAATGATTTTTAATGATTATAATAACCCAAACAGAATTAAAAAATCATTTGGTTATTCCTAAAAATGAAATAAATAGTATATTGTTTTATATGGAAGAGAAGCAGTGCTTTTTATGGCGTGGTCTGTCGCTTAGCGACGAACGCAGTGAGTCGCTAATGACAGATGAGCCGTTAAAATTGTGGCGTGTCCGACAGTTTGCCGGACGAACGAAGTGAGTCCGGCAATGACGGACCAGCCACAAACGAATCTGCTTCTCTTCCGAATAAAACATAGTATTTTTTCTTCAAACGTTGCAAATAATACGGCGCTAAAGTGAAATGTTCTTCAACGTTATGGCGCTAAAGTGAAATTTACTTTAGCGCCATAACGCTGAAGTACTTTTTTGCTATGTTGATTTTAGCAGCCGTCGTTATGCAACAATGACTTACTTCTACCGCGAGTAAACACGACAACAAAGTTGTCATTTAATGACGTTTGAAGAAAAATATTATTTAGTATCAAATTTAATATAAATTATAAATAACATACGCCACTTGATATTTCTTCCTCGTTAACTAAAGTTTGAACATCGCGTCTTTTGAAGAATTTTAGCTAAAAATTAAAAAATGTTTAGATAATTATAATGTATATCTTAAATTCTTTACCCTATATAATCCATAAACTATTAAAGCTAAAATTAAAATAGCTAAAATTACCGAAACAACCCAAATCCAAATTGCAACGGTTTGTTTTGCGATGTTTGTGTATAAAAATGTCGAAATTTTTGGTGATCTAAAAATAATTGTGATATTAAAAGTTTCATTAATAAAAATAATACTTGTTACGTTAGATTGTATAGGATGAATGATTCGAATACGACGAAATCTTTATTTTTTAAAGTTTGATCGTAAGATTTCACTAAAAAGAATTTTTTTTATAATTTGTAATTCCCTCAAACTTGTTTTTTAAGTTTACCTAACTTATTTAATTCAACGGTAATCGAAAAATCCAACTTCAACGAATGATTCACCAATAACTCGAGATTACAAATAAATCTTTTACATTGCACCATTTTATTATTAGAAGCGTTACAATCCAGAAAAACTTTTTTATTTCCATCTTGAGTTGCATTAAAATTTGTTGGAATCTCTTCAATACTCCTTTTACGTTTTAGCAATGGAATATCTTCAGATGAACAAAGATTTTCTTCTAAAGACTAAAAAATTTATTAATAATGCTCGAATGTTTATAAAAAGAATTAATTTGTTAATATTTACAGAAATATTAAAAATGTTTTTAAACTCTCCGTTTATGTTAGATACATTTTGTGGGATGAAAATCGTTACATATTGATTTATTAACGGACTAGGTCCATTATTAAACACCACGTATTGATGGTGGATGTTGTAGGATTCCTTTTCCGGGTTGTACAATAAATATTCAGGTGATGAATGACTAAAAATAATTTTTTAATTAATTTGTTTAAAAATAAGACCCTTAAAAATATTTACCCAATAAGTGTTAAATTTGCTTTATAAACCAACGGTAAATTAATCGTTGCATTAACCGTTTTGCCATCACCCTCACCAACGCTTAAAACCCGTATTTCACCTTTAATTGAATTTGTATAATTATAATAATTTTTTAAATCCACTTCAAAATTTAAAACTTTCTACAAAAAAAATTAAAATCAAAATCGACACACACCATATTTTTAAACCTTACCTTTTGTCCATTAATAAATCGATTTGAAATATCACAAATGATAACGTTTTCGTGTCGAAAACAACTCGCTGGAATTCGGTTAATTTCAGCGTTTAATGATAAATTTAATTTGCAATGATAAGCCGTCTCGCCGTTATTTGCGATTTCTATAATTAATGGTAAAAAGTGGGTACTCCCCACGATGAAATTCGTTAGATTTTGAAACGAATTGGTCATTGTTAAATTAGGGGTGCAAATTAAATCTTTGCCACATCCGGTTGTCGAAGGGATTTCAATTTCGTTTATTGTGTCATTTGGATAAACTATTGGACAACTTGGACAATCTAAAAAAAATAATTTGAATAAATAATTAAAAAAGATTAAATTAATTTAAAAAGTTAACCTTTTATTTTATTTATTATCTTAATATTGAGTGGGTAGGGATTGTAATGAGCGTGAGGCTAAAAAAGAAAATGAATAATTTATCAAAATAACAAAAAAAAATGATATAGAAAAAAATACCCTTAATTTTAAGTGGATATTGTTACATTTACGACTATTAACATTAATATCTTCAATATAAATATTTTTATTTTCGAATTCGATTCTATCATCCGATATGATATTGTATTCTGTTGTAATCATTGTATTATCATATCCTTTATATTCGTAACAATACGTGATATTTAGTGTATTTATATCATCTTGAATATGATTTACATCGGAATTAAGAACACCAGTGAACATTAATATCGGTTTTGATTTGAATATTATCACTTTATCTGATAAGTATGCCCCAACAGCAAAATCTAAAATCAAAAAAAAGTTGTTAAATAATTACTGAGTCAACGAGGCGAGTCAACGATCTGACAACGTCTAGCTCTTCGCCTATCCAGAGAGAAGTGAAACGAGCGATGTTGCCAAATCGTTGGGGCGAACTGTCATTTCACGAAATTTAAAATTCTAATTTCGCACTTTTTATTACCTAGTTGTTTTATTAAACGATTATATTTAAACGAATAATACGTTCGATGTTATTAACAGGCAGTAATAACAAGTAAAAGGTAATAACAATTGTGAAGTGTTGTGTATGAAAAACAGGTAAATAAAAGTACGATTTAATAAATTTCTTCACTTATATGTGGCTTTTAATTTCCAGTAAGTCTACCCATATGGGTTTTAAGTGGAAATATAATTCAACCATTTTACATTAGGCGATGAAACAAATTATCATGACTATGAGGACGAGGAAGAATACGAAAAAAACGGATAATTCTAAAATTGAATAAGACATTACAGATAATGAGGAAGATCTACATAAGACGTTGCATTCAGTAGCTGCGATTTATCAAATGGAGAAAAACTTTACCATCAGAACATCAAAATATCATGTCTGGAAGCTTTCTTTTTAATTGCCGGACAGAGAGGAGCGACCACGACCACCAAGAACTCCGTAATATAAATGCATAATTTTCTATTAGCAAACGTGTGCTCATTTATTGTTAATGCAAAGCAGAAAACCAAATCTTTCTAGCTTTCACAGTTTCGGCAATATTACCAAATTTATAATTCAAAAACGATGCCAGTTAGACCTAAGGTATCCTTAACAAAGTACCATTGAAATTTCACAAAGAATCTAAAAATGCAATAATATACAGGTGTTCCATTTAAAATAACAAAGTTGATATCCATTTCCGGTAGAAGCGGAAGTCCGCCATTACTGAAACTAATTTTAAAATATGTACAATATGATTCGATTCAACTTTTATGTGAAACATTTTTTGAAAAACTCAATCATAATTCGGCTATGGACCGAGGCAACTTAGGGGGGACACCTGTATATACTATAGTATGGTGCATTTTTCCCTTATAATTTTCACACCAAGTTTATCTCCTTTTCCTTTTTTCCATATCTCCGCTATCAGTGTAGGGTTATTGTAAGCTGTTCTCCCCCATATTTTAATAGCTCTGTCGATATGTTGCCTTATTGTTTTTTAACTGTTTTGAGTACAGGGTGGTTCAAATTCGATGTCCGAATAGGCTAACACGGAAACTATAAGAGTTAAAAAAAAAGTAGCTAATGCCGAAAACCTCAAAACGTTATCGGCTTTTGTTTCTCCCCTAGAGACCAAAATTGAAAATATCGTAAAACCAGCAAGTGCAATTTTCTTGGTAATTATTATAGGTGGAGTATTATAACTAAGACATTATATGGACACTTTTTTTACAGAGAATTTCATGACGTAATCAAGAAAAAAATTTCGGTTTTCGATTTCGAGATATCATGACAATTTTGGTTTTTTTAAATGGAATCAACCACTGATTATTCGCTTATTAAATTCGTTATTTTTTTCTAATTACAAAAATATAGGGTTTGACAGGTGTATTTGTTAATGTTTTAGAATAAAGCTAAAAATAAACTTTTATAGTGACGTCAAAGAAATTAAATTTACAGTTTCCTGTAAATAATAACTAAAAATTAAAAAATCATTTCTGATATTTGAAACAAACACATTTGTTGAACTATTTAATTTATATTTGTTTTACACAAAAGAGATTGCATTATTTCGCATTTTTCATTAATATTTAATATTATTATTAAATGACTTAATAAATTATTGATAGATGGTGCTCATATATTTTTTTTAAAGTCCCTAGATTTACAAAGTACCGCGGTTCATGAAGCCTGGTTTCGAGCCAAAATGGCGGTTTGACAGCTTGTCACTGCATCTCATCACTTATTTACAAAAATGTTGCCTTTGGAGTTGCAAAAATGGCGGTATGAAGGACTTTCGACTCTTCAGAGTACTACGAGAAAAAAAGAAAGGAAATTTGGCGTAATGTTATCAATTGAACGACATAGTTTTAAATTTCCCGCTTGACTTTCGAGCCAAAATGGCGTCAAACCGCGGTACTTTGTAAATCTAGGGACTTTATTTTTTTGTAATTCAAGTAAACATAGCAACATTTGTTTGTATTCAAAAGTTTTCTGAAGTGTCAAATTAAAAATCCATAAAAATACTGTTTTTTAAGATAGATTACGAAAAGTTTAACATATTAGAATGTTACATATTAGAAAATAAAGTAAATTTTATATACATAAATTTTTAGTAGAATAATTTTTATAGTACCGTAATTTACAGGAACCTGTAAATTTAAAGAAAAAATTGTTTTGACTACGTCACCAAATTCTCTGTAAAAAGTGTCCATATAATGTCTTATCGTTAGTTATAATACTCCACTTATAATAATAACCAAGGTAATTGCACTTGTTGGTTTTACGATATTTTCAATTTTGGTCTCTAGGGGAAAAACAAAAGACGATAGAGCTTTGAGGTTTTCGGCATTAGCAGTTTCTCTAAAAACGAGACCATGACATGTAAGCTATTTTTTTTCTAACTCTTATAGTTTCCGAGTTAGCCTATTCGGACATCGAAGTTGAACCAACCTGTACTTTTAGCTGTCTTCAATGAATAACGGGGATATTAGCTTCTAGGTTTAACTGTAATTGGTCCTGTGGTGCATTCAGTAACTCGGGCGACTTCAAGAATCTAATGACCGACCAGGTCAGCCGACTAGCCCTCGTCCACTGCAACCGACTTAAAACAGCCGACTACTTTACAGAGTCAGTGAATTGGCGTTAAGGAATCTTAATAAGAATCAAAAATGCTTTCATTTGATACCAAACACAATATGTTTACGTTAAAAAATAAAAAGGTTATGTTAGAAACTGTCAAATGTCAAAATTAAATATAACGATTTTTTGATAAATATTGAAATGATCTTAATAAGAATCAAAAATATTTTCATTTGATATCAAACACGATATGTTTACGTTAAAAAATAAAAAAGTTATAAAATAAAGTTAAATAATAAACTGTCAAATGTCAAATAATCGCCATCTTTTTTTTTGATGAAAACTAAGATATCTCCTTGGATATCTCGATAACGGTTAGAGATAAATAAATCGAGTTTGGGTTCATTTTGAAGGATTTTTAATTTTCTATCCAACGGCTTTATAATTAAAAATTTTTTCTGAATTGATCCTTATTAAGAAATAAATACGATTAACCCAAAAAAATTTGGTTATATCCGACTACTCGGTCGTGTTGGTCGGATGCAGTGTACGTTAGTAGACGCATGTTTATACGTACGGGCAGCCTAAGTGGTTAAATTGTCTTTCTAGAGTTAGTTCTCGTAAATCATTTTAGTTGGTCTTTCTAAGTATTCCTTTCTATCTTCGTGTCGATGATGAACAGCTTGTATACAGTCTCTGTAGTACCATAAATTTCCACTTTCCTATTACAGCGATTTTAAGTGCTTTCCAGATACTTCCAGGTATTTGCTTCTCAGAGTGTGCCATGTCGCGGTGTTGAGTACTTCTTTTAGTGTTTATTGATGCTGTATCTTGTTCCCTCGTCTTTCAACCTCTCCACGTATTGCTTAGAGATTCGTTGTCTATTAGACGACCTGTTACGATTCATCCGGCTTCTATAATGTATGCCAATCAAATAGTCGTCAGAATCACAATCAGCCCTTCTGTATGTCTTGACATTCAATATGTGTAATGCTCCTCTTTTCTCTATCGGGACATGGTGTATTTCATTATGATTATTGTTTTCAAGCGATGTCCATGTACATTTATGAATATGTCGTTGCTAGGGAATTAGGTTGATGCAAGAATCTTCCTTTTCTTTCCTTAAATGTTCCAACCTTATTAAGACCACCAACCTTTTCATATTCCAGGTTCCTATCATCATGTCCATATTGCATTTTCCGGATTCTTTACCGATAGTCTAATCCTGGTTTGAGACAAGTTTTGAAGTTTCGCAACAAGAGCTTTTGTATGTGGTAATGTTATTAGCCTAACGCTCAACTCTCTATTCTTTGGAAGGCCATTTCACCTGCTCTCGATAGTCTTGATCTGCTTCCTTTCGGGATAAATACAGGTAGTCAAACATAATCATGGATTATAACACTTTTAAAGGTGATGTTGAGATTGTTGACAAATTTTGCGCGTGATTGTGATTTATAATTCATTATTAAACATTGCTGTATTAATAGTATGGTTATCAAAATCAGAAGAAACATAACATAATAAAATGTTAATCTGACCAACATAACAACAATTTGACATTTATTATAGAAAAAACCAATCATAATTTATTTTACCTGTATAACTATTTTGATCTACATCCAACGCATTGGATAAACTAAATCCAAAACCGCGAATATTTTCATAAACTGATTTCCCTCGAATTTTTTGCAATAACATATAACTATCTTCATTTTTATTGAATAAATGTATACTTCCAGACATTTCATCTTCGTACGGAGCTGATATAGCAACAACTAAAAAGCAAAAAATTAATTAATTGTAATTTTTTAATTATACAGGTACCATTCAACAAATTGTTTCCAAATTTTCCCAAAAAACTCATAGCAAATCCAAACCTCCCACCAGCTTTAATCCCACAAACAGTTTGGGAAAGTGGTAAATTTGGCTAAAATTTAAAAAAAAATCAAAATTCTAAAATGATTAATTATGTTTTTAGTACAGTTAATCCATAAAAGATATAAACACATCCTTCTTCATAACTTTTCACACTGTACATTGGAGCACTTATAAAAAGATCGCTATTTGCCACTAGAAGTGTATGGCCAAAATAAGATCCGAATTGATCTCCATTAAATATTTTTAAAAGAGTATACGGAAAATGTGAGTATGAATAAATTTGTACTTGACCATGAACTTTGCTTCCTTTTGGCGCGCCCGCTACTATACACGAAATCATTCTTCCTCGGAAGTTAAAAGATCCGTATTCGAGTGAATAACCTAAAAATCAAATTGCAACTAAAATTGGGGAAAATTCATAACATTTTGTTTTAAAGTACCTAAATAACTAAGTTTTTCTACTTTTGATTCTGGATTTAATTCGGCGTCGTCTCCATCAAAGCTATACTTTAAGATGGTTCCTTTCCAGGATAAAACGCCAGGTGCTCCAAGTAAAAAACCCACGTTGGGCTAAAATAATTATTAAAAATGAATTGTTTTAAAAAATAAATGAAAAATATTTGTTTACAATATATTTTATGGAAAATCCCAATTGTCCATGAGAATATAAATATTCTAAAGTTTTATTGTAACGTCCAATTTGGCGACTTGCTAAAAAAAATTTTAATTAATCAACTTTTAACTTAAATGTAACTATATAATTACGTTTGCTTAGAGGCGAATATTCCTTAAAAGTTTTTTGTTTAAAATAACAAATTCCATTTGTATGATATTTTTCGTCTGCATATTGAGGATTACAAATCTAAAAATTATGACTATGTTTAACTTTATTCGTAGGTGCCAAGGGCGGTAAAATCTAAAAGGACTGCAATATCCCGGGAATCCCATGCTTAATTTATTCTGTTCGTGTTTTGTAATGTTATTTTGAGACATAATAAGGGTCATAATATAAAAGATCTTGATCGAGTTCAGGTTCTTGATCGGTCTCCCGAATGTTTCTATTTCTTTTAGTTTTAGTTCAATAAAAATATACAACAATCTAATGCTAAACAACAACTACAACTAGCCACTATAGCAAGCAAATAGAAGCTCAGAGAAACTCACCGTCCGGATCTGAAGCAAAAAAGAAGGAAGTATTTCTACTTGGAAATATTATTTCTCTCTTCAAATCCGATTTGCATCATACGTCTAGGAACCGACTTAGATGCCAAGAAATTTTACGATAGAAATCAGAAAAAAATAGATAAAAAGTAAAATTAAAAGTTTATGTCTTTTATTTTATATAGAATAATTAACTAATTAACTGAACTAATTAGTGTCGGTTCTTGGCCATCTTCAGAGACACCTCAAATAAATTAACATCTCTCATCTTATCCATTTTACAAACGACAGCGGTAGGTAGCGCTAGATAGCATAAGATATCACTATGTTGCATATTTTTATTGCACTAAAACCAGAACTAATACTAAACCTAGAACTAGGATCATTCGGGTTTAGCCATCTTGAGAGACGTGGAACTAAATCCGAATGTTTCTAGTTCTTGGTATAGTGTTAGTTCTAGTGGCAGTGATAAGTAGCGCTAGTTAGCATAACATATTACTATGTTAGTCGCTATTATAGTCGTAATCTTCATAAAATAACCTTTAAAGTGAGTCCAAACATGACGCATTTATCTCATAAAACCAAAACTTCGAACTTTCAACTTTTATATTTATCAACTTCATATCTAACTTTAATATTAATGGAGATACAATTACTTCTGGTTTGAAACGTCAACGTCAATTTTGACATATTTGTCATCTTCATTAAAAAAAACCTTTAAAATGAGTCCAAAGATGACGCACATCTCAAAGAACAAAAAAGTTAGAATAAAAAACATTAAACCCAAAGTTAACAACAATGAAAATAGCAATTCAATTTTTAAATATTAATATCAACCGTAAATTATTACAAATGTGGAAGATTACGGAAGATTACAAATGTGTCAAAATTGAGGTTGACTTCAGGTTTAACATGAAGTTAGTTATTCATATAATAGACAAATTTATTAAAAAAAACCTCTAAAATGTGTACAAACAAGACGCACTTATCACAAAAAAGTTAGAAAAAAGAACATTAAATCTTAACTTTGTAACAATGAAGATAGCAATTTAATTTTTAAGTGTTAATACCAACCTTAATGTTTTATTTTTTTTTATTATATTTTTTGTTTTTGTGACAAATATTAAAACATTTTATAAAAATTAAGAATATGTCAAAATGACAGTGACATTTCGCACCGGAAGTTGCTTATATCTCGAGTAATATTAGAATTAAACGTATCATGTTTGGGCTGATTTTAAAGGATTTTTTTCACGGCGATAAATATGTCAAAATTGACATTCACATTCTTAACCGGAAGTTGACCGTAACTTCATTAATATTTAAGATAAATATGTCGTGTTTGTACTCATTTTAAAGGATTTTTAATGAAGATTACAAACATGTCAAAATTGAGGTTGACATTTTAATCCTGAAGTTAGTTACCATATAATAGAAGTTGTATAACTGAACTTAATCTAGTGTTAGTCACTTTTTCAAGAAAATCGTCGATTTTTAAGTCACATGATAATTCTTGATTTATTCCCAAGTTTCTTAATATTTCTTTTGTTAAAAAAGAGCGCTCTTTAATTTTAACCTGTAAACTTGTAATACTTCGTCCTTAATTTCATTTTACAATTTTTTCAACTTTAATTTTGTAAATTAGTAATTAATAATCTGATTTTGACTTTGATATGTGATCTTTTTTAACAGAAGAAAAAGAAACATTAAGAAATTTGTTTGTAAAATGGATAAGATGAGAGTTGTTAATCTATTTGTAGAGTCTTTGAAGATGGCCAAGGGCCGAAAGTAGTTAGATTTAAATTCTATATAAAATAAAAACAGTTTAAAAGTAGAAAATCAAACTCTAGATTATTTTACAAAACGAACCGTACCAAGCTTTTGTACTTGTGATAGCTGTCATCAGTGTTCTGTGATAAAAATAGACAGACATCAAACAATTTTCAACAGTTTGAGCCTGTCTATTCTGAGAAGTCTCATATTTTTAGAGAGATGAAAACGAAAAATCTCGTTTTTCTCAACATTGTTCATTTGTCGCTTAGTCAAGTGATACATAATGCGGTTCAATTAATGCAGCCAGAACAACAAAAGCAAACACCAAATAGTAATCCTAATTTAACATTCAGTACAGACAGAGGAAAATCTACAAAGAATTGTGAGGAGTCGTTATCAGATATACTACGTGACAACAGGACGAAGGAAGTAGATGACGATAGATATTTTCTTCTATCGCTACTTCCAGCGTTTAAGAAATTCGACAAAGTCTAGAAACTTATGGCCTATGTCAAAATGAATCTACACAGCTCTATTCTGTCTCAAGACTCCCAAAGCAGTTATTGTACCAACCTCAATTATGCACTTCTTTTGCTAGTCTGTCAACTCAAGATGCATTACCGTTTGCAAGATCCTCATCATCATGGGATGATGGATCGTCGATATACAATACAACCACATTAACCATTTGAGTCCCAATCAGTGCCATTATTTCGAAAAAACTCAGCACATTTCGAGCATTGCGCTATCACCGAGTTATCATCGTTTTAAAGCTATCACGCCACTTGGGTCTTTTCGAACTCATTTAGAAAAGCGCCATAGCGCTGCTAGGGATACTTGCGACGAAAAAGTTTGATGTTTTTTCAATGCGATTTAAGTTATATACATAAGTTTTAGTAATAACTGACTGAACCTGAACGTGATGTGACGAATTGTCCCGATACTGACGTCATTTTCTAAATTACAAATTAACAAAGAATGTAGCAGTCCCTTTCGATTTTACTGTCCTTAGTAGTTAGCATTCGTTAGTTTATTTATTGATAAATTTTATAGTATGTCAAATCAGTTGTCAATTTGACAATTAGAAATAAAAGCATTTTCGTTATAAACGTGTGGTACCACTATCTTTCAAATTTGACAAGTTAAAAATTATACTTTCACCAATACAATGATATAAGTGTAAAAGAATTACAATTATAAAACAAATAAGATTGCGATTGACCACGGATTTTCCCATTATTAATAAGCTTGATAAAGTTTTTAATCAACAGATGTCATTACAAGTCAAATTTTTTAAAAATTAAGCTTACAACTGTATTTCTATTAGCAACTCCTGTACCGCTTATTGAAGCACCCACAAAATTAATTTCTACAAAAGAAACATTTTATTAATAAAGAATTAAAAAAAAAACATTTCACTTACTACTAGGCTTTAAAGGAACATTAAACCTCTGACATCCATCCTCAATGGTACAAGAACGAACAACGTTATCTTTAGGAGCGGCCGATAATAACTGGAAACTTTATTTACAATTAAATAAAATTAATAAATTAAAAAATTTGCATTACCGTTTTACATCTAAATATTCAAGATAAACACTATATCCAAAATATCCACTACTATTAAACACAATTGTATTCTGGGGATCAAAAATAGATCCATCGGCGATTATCGTACAAAAAGTGATAAAAATTATCTTCAGAAGACTCTTCATTATTATGTTGTACCACATCCGATGTTGTTCGACGACAAACTGATTCACTTGGTCAACTCTCGTCCTATTGTTATCGAAATGCAGTTTAATCACTATTTTTTTTACATCCATCCGTTGTTAATTTTATTACACTTAATGAAATAAAAAGTTCTTTGACTGCTCCACAACGTTTTAAACATTAAAGGAAAATTTTCGACAAAACAAATCATTGAGTTGTTTTTATTGTTATTGTCAGCTAATTTGCAATTAGTAATTTGCTGACTAATAACGTATCATCTAATTTAGAAAAATCCTTGAATTTTGTGAGTAATACTTTGTGAGTAGTATATAAATTTTATTAAAAAAAAAACGTGTGTTAATCATCATTCCAGGTTCTTTAGCCCTGGAAGGGTCTTGACCTGCTTAAGGATTTTCTTCCCTTCCTCCCTATTACGCACCACCGATCACCAATTTCTCAATTTGAGAGTCCTCACATCCCCCTCCACCTGGTCCTTATATCTCATCTTTGGCTTTCCTCTCAATCTCTGTCCTACCGGTGTTTGTCTAACTATTTGTTTTGTTGGTCTTCGTCCGTTCTACATGTGTTTTCCATCTCAGTCTTTCAATCTTTATGGTTGTCACTATATCCAGTTCCTTATATTCTTGATATAGTTCATGTTTCTTGGATTCTTCCATATATGTGTCTTCCTTTCAAACGTTCCAAGCAATCTTTCATCAGCTTGTGTCGTTACCCAGGTCTCCGAACATTACATTATCACTGGTCTAATGAGCGTATTATAAATTTTGCTTTGTGTTTTCTTCAATAATATGTTTGATTTCAAGTGCTTACACAGCATAAAATAGGTCCTATTGCCCAGATATATTCTTCTTTTTATTTCTGTACTTGTGTCACTTTTGTTTGTTACTAATGATCCTAAGTATACAAAACTATCACCACACTCAATATTATAGCCATCGATTCCGTTCTCCGTTCTCCGTTCTTCTCCGTTCTTATTCCCGTTTGCATATATTTAGTTTTATCAACATTTATATTTAGACCCAGCTACTTTGCCTTAGTTCTACCTATTAGGTCTAGTAGGATGTTAAATAAAAGGGTTGATAATGGATCTCCTTGTTGCAACCCCGTATGTGTTGTTAACAGGCGAGATAGGTCGTTTTGTATTCGTATCTGGCATTCTGTTTGGAACAGTGTTAGCTTTACTAATGATATTAGGTGCGGGGGAATTCCAAACTCTTCCATCGCCTTATACAATGCATTTCTATTTATCGTATCGTATGCGCGTTTGAAGTCTATGAACACATGGTGCTTTTCTATGTTATATTCGCATATTTTTTTTAATATCTGTCTCAGTAAGAATATTTGGTTAATTGTCGTTTTGTTACTGCAGAAACCATACTGGTAATTCGCTATAATATCGTCTGTATAATGTTTTAGGTGTACATACAGAACCAATGCTAGTATTTTATATGCCACGCTCCGGATAATTCGCATATCTCACATATTAATGGATATTCCTTCTTATTTAGAGGTACCTGCACCCCGATATTCCAATGATTTGGCATCTCTATTTGTACCCACATTTCCTTAACTAGTTGGGATATACATACAACTACCTTCCTTTAAAAGTTCCGCCGGGATATTATCGAAACCAGGAGCTTTATACTTCTTCCTTTCCTCTTTGATCTGACTCATCCAGTCACACTTCCTCCTTTTCCGGTTGAGCACTCATATTTAATCTTTCCTCAAAATTCTCTGTCCATCTTTCCAGTATCTCTCCCTTTTACTTGCTATATTCCTTGCTTTATTACGACACAAGTTTATCCATGGTAGGAAATCCTTCCTATTTCTATTAACTTTCTGATAAAATTTGCTATCCTTTCTTTCCCTGTTATGCATCTTCTTTTCTTCTCCTCTCAGCCGTCTGTAATCTTCCTGCGTTTATCTGGTTCTCTACCTTTGTTGTAGTACTTCATATTGTAGCTCCTCAGGTGTGCAACTGGGTGTGGAGGTAGGTTGCGTTGGGTCATCTTGGTTTGTTGTCCTCTGCGTGTCCCTGCTCTGTGTCGGTTCTTGTGTGAATCACCCTGTATACATAGTGTTTACTATTAATTTATCTGTAATTTCTCTCTGTAAACTGGATACAAACACAAAATAAATAATAAATATACTAAATTTTTTCTGGCTATTATCTCTGCGCATTCTTTATCAAACCAGGTTTCATCTCGCTTTTATCATTTTTCTTTTCACAATGTATCGTTCGCCACCTCTTCAATGCCTTGTCTACATTTAGCCCAATATTGGTTTATATTTATTGCTGTATCGTTGGCCAGCTCTGTTAGTTTTTCTTCTAGTCCTTTCTGATATTTGTTCCCCTGCTCATCGTTTTTGAGTTTTGTTGTGTCATACTTCTTTCTTCTACTTCCTACGCTTTTCTTCATATTAGATATTCATGCTCTTATTTTCGTTTCCAAAAGTTAGTGATTCGACTCTATATTCGGTCCTCTTTAACTTTACTGCAAAAAAAAATTTATTGAGTTATCCTGTGATAGCTCCTTGAAAGCGATTTTTAAAGACCACTCTTTACTTTAATAGGCTTTTGACTCAGTATTGGAAATGAATTCTCTATTTTGTTAGAAAAAGCTATCAAAGTTTTATTACTTTTTTGCGCAACATATCTATGTGAAAAAGGATTTTCCACATATACTTATTTGAAAGATAAATACAGAAACAGATTAAATGCAGAACCTGATTTAAGACTGAAACTGTCAGACATTGAACCTATTCTAAGTTTAAATTTATGTGTTTCGTTTTCGTGACAAATTTTGACACATTTTATAAAATTTAAGAATATATCAAAATGACATTGACATTTCAAACCGGAAGTTAGCTATCATATAATAGACAAATGGACAACTTCATGGTGTTCTTTCATGATGTATTGTTTATTAAAAAAAACCTTTAAAATGAGTCCAAACAAGACGCGTTTTTCTCAAAAAACAAAAAAGTTAGAATAAAAAACATTAAACTCGAAGTTAGCAACAATGAAGATAGCAATTTAATTTTTGAATATTAATACCAACCTTAAATTTGGATTTTTTTTATTATATTTTCGTTTTTGAGAAAAATTTTAACACATTTTATAAAAATTAAGAATATATCAAAATGACATTGACATTTCAAACCGGAAGTTGTTTATATCTCGAGTAATATTAGAATTAAACGTATCATGTTTGGGCTGATTTTAAAGGACTTTTTTCACGACGATTATAAATATGTCAAAATTGATGTTGACATTCCTAACCGGAAGTTGACCATAACTTCATTAATGTTGAAGATAAATATGTCGTGTTTGTATTCATTTTAAAGGAATTTTATTGAAAATTACAAATATGTCAAATTGAGGTTGACATTTTAAACCTGAAATTAGTTATTATATACAGTGAAATTCCCCTAACTCGAACACTATGGGAGCGGAAGAAAACGGAAGAAATGTATTCTTTATTAAAAAAAACTTTAAAATGTGTCCAAACATGATACGATTTAATTCTAATATTACTCAAACATTTTATTTCATTTTCTTTTCTAATTTTAATAATTTGTACGTATAATAAGTTGCCTATATAAACCAACTCTTTTCATTCAAACTTAACCTATATTCATTATTTGACAACAGTTTACTTTACTGGGTGCTGCCTCTTCCCAATCTCTCTTTATCTATAAATAATGCAAATCTAAAATTAAATCTTCCATTTATTAAGAAAAAGAACAAAAAATGGTTTCTTTATTAAAAATTATTCGGCAAATTTTAGGTAAAAATCAATTTTCCATACAAATTCGTCAAATTCATAACGCAAGGATCAAAAATAAACCGAAATTCGGTCTTTATCAATATCTGGGTGTCCTAGGAGGAACTTTAGCTTTATATTCAGCTTATAAGTGGCAAAGCTATCAAAGTGTGCATGCATTAAAACCAAAGGGTGTAAGTTTATTTTTTAATCTTAATATAGTTTTTTTATTGGTGTGGTGTTTTAGGACGAAAAACCGTTTATAAAATTAACGACGAGAGAAAAAAGGTTTATTAAATTCGCTTCTGCTCAATACGATGGGCAATTATATATGACACCTCAAGATTTTTTAGAATCCGTCGTCGAAGCTGAACCAAGACGTAAATCAAAGAATTAATTTGATTTATATTATCATTAAAATAATTTTTTAGCCCGTTTAAAACGAAAGCTTTTAACAAAAAATGAATTAGAAGTTATGCGAGTTGTAACTCCTTCTTTAGTTGCTGGTTCATCGAGGTTATTTCGAGATTTGCGAGATAATGGAATTATATCATACACTGAGTATCTTTTTTTACTCTCAATTTTAACAAGTTAGTTGTTTAAAAGGGAATTAATTTTGTTTTAATTATTAATTTTTGATTGTAGAACCTGAATCGGGGTTTAAAATTGCTTTCAATATGTTTGATGTGGATGGAAATGAGAAAGTTGATAAAAACGAGTTTTTAGTGGTAAGTAATTGAGGGAAAAAAGATGATTATTTTAATTTATTTGAATTAAAAAATGAAATTAAAACGAAAAATAAATTTTTATAATAATAAACAGATTCGGAGACTACTCGCTGGCAAACATAGAGACACAGAAGATATACCCGTGAGTTAAAACTAAACAAAAATTAAAAAAGCTTATCAAAAAAAGCTTAATTGTGCGTCTACTAACTTCTTCTTCGTCTTTATAATGTCTCAAGAGCATCATTGTTTAACGTAAATGTGATGTATCTGACCAAAATGTGTTTTTGTCTCTTATTTCACAAAATTAAAATGAAATCTTATTGAGACTTTGACGTGCTTGGCAAAAATCTGCTTGCTTATTAAAATATATACAGGTTTGTTTCATTTATATATTTTTTTTTTATTAAATTAAAATTGAAAAAAGGATTCTGATTATTAATTTTAGCATATTCTTGTTTTAATTTAACTCTACTAATTGGCTATTAATTGTTCTTTTTTATCTTTACTCTCATTTTACAAATCTTAAATAATTAATAAAAATAATGAGAACTTCTAATACACTAAAATCGTTAAAACTATTTATTAAAAGTTAAAAAATAATCTTTTGCATAAAAAGCTATGTATAAAAAGCTTAATTATGTATATAAAATGTATCATAAAAGATTTATATCATATAATCATTGAGTTATTGCCACTTTTTCGTTTCATATTTAAAAGATGAGAATTAAGTTTTAAAAATTCGTATAAAATCCAGTTCTTGGAATATGAGTATGAAAATTTCCCAAAGTGTTAATAAAAGTGTCTTCTTTCCAATGAACGAACCCGTTTTGAAAAATAATTTTTAGTTTTTGAGAAAACAATATTTGAAGTTTTGATAAAACTTTCGATGTTGCAATTTTCATCAATAGCTTGCAAAATTCGCTATAAAATACATTTTTTGAAGGACCCTTGTGGAAATATCACCAATTATTAATTAAAGTATCCTCTTTTTAATGCAACTAGCCGTTTTGAAAAATCGTTTTTAGTTTTTGAGAAATAAATTTTTTAAATGATCGACAATTTCTTTAGAATTTTGCGATTTTCGCCGATTAAGTTTTAAAAATTCGTATAAAATCCATTTCTTGGAATATGAGTATGAAAATTTCCCAAAGTGTTAATAAAAGTGTCCTCTTTCCAATGAACCAACCCGTTTTGAAAAATAACTTTTAGTTTTTGAGAAAACAATATTTGAAGTTTTGATAAAATTTTCGATGTTGCAATTTTCATCGATATCTTGCAAAATTCGCTATAAAATTCATTCAATGAAGGATCCTTGCGGAAATATCACCGATTATTAATTAAAGTATCCTCTTGTTAATGCAACTAGCCGTTTTGAAAAATCGTTTTTAGTTTTTGAGAAATAAATTTTTTAAATGATCGACAATTTTTTCGAATTTTGCGATTTTCGCCGATTAAGTTTTAAAAATTCGTATAAAATCCATTTCTTGGAATATTAGTTTGAAAATTTCCCAAAGTGTTAATAAGAGTGTTCTCTTTCCAATGAACCAACCCGTTTTGAAAAATTACTTTTAGTTTTTGAGAAAACTATATTTGAAGTTTTGATAAAATTTTCGATGTTGGAATTTTCATCGATAACTTGCAAAATTCGCTATAAAATTAATTTCTTGTAGGATCCTTGTGGAAATATCACCAATTATTAATTAAAGTATCCTCTTTTTAGAGTTGCTTCGTTAATTAAATGAAGCATCAAAAAAGTTCATTTTGTATCTTGGATCCAAATAAGTTGATATACTTTATCAGCTTTCTTATTAATTTCATTTTTATTCAAATATCGCAATAATGTGGCAATATAGTTTTCGGCTTTTCGCAAAATCACTATTCGTTCCATCACTACTGAGTAATGGATCTGAGCTCAAGAGAAGTCGGTTTAATATATCTCTATTACAGAACTCTCTAGAAAATTTCCTTGAAAAGTCTTGGCGATATGTCCTAAAATGCTTCCTCCTCAGATAGTTGACCAATAGGTAGTAATCCATTTTTTATTATGACTGCCCGTAAATTAATATCTTGTGCATTGTCGGTGACATTGGATGCCAAGAGTACAATTCTACATATAAACGAGCAGTCTCCAATGCATATTTATCGTATTTTTCCACATCTATCAAGAATCCGCTTGAAATGGTTTCCTGTATGATTTTCAACCTATAAATGAACTCGTAACTGATGTCTGTAATCTCTGAATATTAAAATAATAAATATAACTTCTTATCTTGCAAAGACTAGTTTTACTTAGTCATCTCAGCCGAATGGTCAATAAAATTTATTTGTTATTTTAATATTTAAACGAAATTTGCAACATGGATATCAACAGTTGTAATCTCTGAAGCTAATTTCGGATCCTCAAAAAATCTCCTGCCCGTTGTTCCCATCATTCGTATTACCGAAATTTGCTTTTGGCATATCCACTAACATACATACCAGTTTCTTTGCGAAATTTGACCTGTATTTCTATTTTCCTCTCTTTTTCCATTTGTTTCTCCTTTCCTGTTTTTCTTTCTCTGTATTTGTTTATGCCAAATGGAGAATGCTTTCGAAAAATATTATCCTTGCATGTAACATTGGCAGCCCAAATTCAATAGCTTCAAATCAAATTTGTTTTTTATTATTCAGTTGGTTGAAGTTTTTGGAACTCGCACCACAAATGTAACAACGACTTGTAGATGTTGTGCCAGTAGCTGTGTTACAGACTTTTCCGTCAACCATTTGCATTATGAACAGAGTTTTGGCGAAAAACTTCTTTCCATCAATATCAACCTTAGTTGCAATTAAAGAGTTAAGGGAATTTTGGACGTATTTCATCTCTTCATTTGTCACATCAGTTTTCTCTTTCACGAAATGAAATCTAATGAGGCGGCAGAATCGTGGAGAAGAAGGTGTTGGATTTTCCCATAGCACTCTTTCAGAGTCTTTACCACAAACTAATCGCATCTCTGAAAAATATTTGCATCGGAATCAGTTTCCTCGTCAAATTTTTGCTTGAACTTGATTGCTGCGATCTTTGAAAGCAGTGAGTATAATTACAAATTTTATATGCATCCAAAAATATGCTAGTTCCATTTTGGAAAATTTTAGTTTTAATCCGATCTGTTTATAGATCCATAAATTCTTCCTGCTCGTTTATCAGTAAGTGTCCAAGGGTAATGCTTGGACACTTACTGATATTGAATTGTGGGAATGGATTTCGTACCCAGTCCATACCCAGTTGCAGGTCACACTTAGGAAAATAACTGTTCAGTTTTTCTGCTAATAACTCCAATTGTTACATTATCAAAGGCTCATCCATAACTCCAACTTAGCGCGATATCTTTGTGTTGAGCTCATTTAATCGAGCGAATATGTCCGCCAGATATACGAGTTTTGCTACAAATTCTTCTTTTTTAAGCAGAGGAGCAAAATCTGATCCCTAGGCCTCTAAAAACGTTTGAGTTTCATTTTTTAGTTCGTAAATCCGTGAAAGCCATCGTACTTCTATATGAAACAAAAGTGACTGATGATCTGCTCCCATTTCCTGACACACTACATTCAACAGACAAGAGTTCAGAGGTCGCGACATTATGTAATTGACAATTTTGAAAACTTCTTATCAGAGATTTCGTCATCAGTGTCTAAAAAGCAATGTACATTTTTAATTATTATTTTAATTTAACCTCTCTTAACAATAATACTGGTAAAATGGATTACGTAATTAATTTTAATCATATACATTTTTAATATTAGGATTTTTTTCAGAAGCCCTGTTACAAATCCCTTAATTTTTCCTGTCATAGCTGCTGCTCCGTCTGTGCAAAAACTTATGCAGTTGTGCCATTCCAAATTATGCTCACTGAAGTACTGGTCTATTACTTGGAATATTTCTTCTCCAGTGGTAGAACGTGGCAGACAAAATAAAAACTCCACTAATACCTGCTGATGCAGGTATTTTTTCGATTTCTTAACCGGCTTCTTGGCTAATCATAATCTTGGCAACTTCTTTGCAGGCAGGTAAAATTAAAGTTTCAGCGAAAGAATGAGGCTTCTTGGATTTAACTAGCATATTAGCGATCACGTAGTTTCCTTTTTGCTCTTTGTCTGATGTTTGGAAGACAAACTAAGGAGACTTTCCTATTTTTTAGACTGGTCTTTCAAATGTTGAAAAAAGGCTTTGTCATTTTGAGCCACCTTTTTGATAGGTGTTTAGTAGTTAAATGTAAAAGATTACCGTCGAATTATTACCCAAAGTTTCTCCACAAACAAGACATTTTGGGATTGGGCATGATTTGTCTCCGCAATATATAATAGTATATTATTATATGAGCATATAATGAGGGCTATTATTCACTAAGGTTAAGTTTGTCACGAGCGTAGCGAATGGCATCATTAACCTGAGTGAATAATAGCTCATTATATGTGAGTAGAATACTATACTTTGTCCACGACTATTGAAATTGATTCCATAAATTTATTTTTAAATAAATTTTTGTATAAAGTTTAAACGTCAATGTGACACAAATTCAATGTTACTAACTGTAACCAACTTCACACCAATTTGTCAAAATTAAATGTCAATTTTATAAAACGTAGTTTTTTTACGAAAATTAATTAATTTATGCTTAAATCATACGAAAAAAGGAATTTGTTCAGGTTTTTTTAATGTCAAACATTTAGAAACTCCTAAAAAATTAAATTAAATTGACGTTTTTTGAAATTTTAACATTTCAAATAATTATGATTAGTCTGTTACCCGTGAATAATGATTATTATTCACTCCGTGAAAAATGACTACCTTTTTGTTTTAGAAAACTCATTCATAAGGTATATGTATGTTATAAGGAAGTCGTGAACAAATAAACTTTTTTTTTTCGTGTCATCGAAGAAATTAAATTTACAGTTTCCTTTAAATTACAGTGCAATAACTAAAAATTAAAAAAAAGATATTTCTCCAATCCAAAACAATGGATCCATTAAATATTTCCGTATTAACAATTGGTATAATAAACATAATTATTTGTTTTTAAATACCAGAATAATAATACCCCGTAATTTAAATACCGCCTCTTAATTTACAGGAAACTGTAAATTTTATTTCTTCAACGATTCTAGATTTCGGCGGCGTTTAAAAATTTTTTTTTCTTTATAGGCTTCATAACACCTTACTTGAGTATTATTCATCATAATTTTAGGATCTGACTATTGCTCTACATATAGAGTATTTAATATTATAGGATCACCCACCCCATTTCGAGTTTGCCAAAGATTTAATTAGGTTAATAACTCCTTTACAGTCCTTAACTATTCTATTGACTTGTTCTTTCCAACTTAGTTTCTCATTGATATGAAATCCCAAGTACTTGAAGCTTGGTTATAAAAATTCTTACCATAAACGAAAATCGACTTTTTTTCTTCTAATTTATAGATATACAACAACTACAAAGAAAAACTTATCAAATCTTAAGCAACAATATTCGTAAATGGATCTTAAAGAAAAAATTTTATTTTAAATTAATCATTAAAGCTTACAAAATTGTGTTTGAAATGTTTTAACTTTTTTTTGTTGTTAATTTTGATTTTATAGATGGAAAAAATCTTTAGTTACGCATGGAAAGGTAAAAGAGGAATGGTAGTCGATGAAAAATACGATTTAAAATCCCCCGTCGAAGAACAATACGTCGACGACGAACAAGGTCTCCAACGAAAACACAACGTCGACACGACTTTAATCGTACATTTTTTCGGCTCGAAAGGCAAAAACACGTTGAATTTCGAAAATTTTCGCAAATTCATGTTGCATCTTCAAACGGAAGTTTTAGAACTCGAATTTAGTGAGTTTTCGCGGGGATTACCCACGATTTCCGAACTGGATTTTGCTCGGATTTTATTAAGATACACCTATTTGGATACGGACGAGTACGATAAATATTTAGAACGATTATTAGACCGTATTAAAGTCACAAAAGGAATCACTTTCGAAGAGTTTTTAGCGTTTTGTCAATTTTTAAATAACATGGAAGATTTTAGTATCGCTATGAGAATGTATACTTTAGCTGATCATCCCATTTCGAAAGGTAATACATAATTTAATCAGATTAATTTAATTCTAATAATTCGTTTTAGGAGAATTTTATCGTGCTGTTAAAATTTGTACTGGACAAAGTTTAAGTGGACATTTAGTCGATACTGTTTTTGCGATTTTTGATGTTGATGGTGATGGTTTGTTGAGTTACAGGGAGTTTCTTGCTATAATGAAGGATCGATTACATAGAGGGTTTAAGGTATTTTTTTTGTGTTGGATAACAAAATGTGTTTAATTAATTCATTTTTAGTCTACTCCTAAAGTTGAAGGTTGGGAAGCTTTTAAATCTTGTATTAAACAAGAAATGAAAACGCCGAGGTAAATTTAATGAGTTGTCTCCAATTTGTAAAATCTAAGTCATTGAAGCTGTGTTTGTTACTTCCTTATTAGTGATTAGATTTGTTGTTTTTACGAGAGTATATTGTTTGTTTTTAAGGTGAATAAGGTGCCAGTTAATTTTACCTCAATTTGTTTTAAATGTTGTTTTTGTATTTTTTTTTTTCGAATTTTCTTGATTGTTCTTCCAGATTTTCATCATTTTTGACTACATGTTCCAAATTTGAGGAAAAACTACGATCGCTTGTTTAGAATTTAAGATAATATTAAAACACTATGCCAAAGTTATTAAATTTTAATCTTATAGATTTATTGCTGCTTAATGAAAAATATTTAAACAAATAACTTTTTTATTCGTGAATTTCCAGATTCCTGAGTCCTACTCCCTCGAAAAATCCTATATTTGATGGTGCTTATTTATATTATTAAACTTTAATAAAAAGAAATCTTTGTATCTAGGTGTTAAGTTATTTATTAATAAAGCTTAATTTTTTTTAGTATAAATAAGTACTTAAAAATATCTTACAACTATACAACAACCATTAAATGGTTTCATTTGCATGTACACGTAATAGAAAAAAAGAAAAACACAAAAATAAATATTTTTTTAGAACTTATAATACTGTTTTAATAAAAAAATTATTTTGGGGTGCACTAAAATCAAATTATTTTTTTTGTACATCTTTTCGAATACGAATTTATATCTTACATAATTATTTATCTCTATTTTGAAAAATTTTTAAATACTGTTTTAATTTCTAGCGAAAAAATACATCTCACAGACAATAAATGCAAAAACCTTAGTGTAAATGATATATTGCCTAATTTCTATCATTTTTTTTTTTTGGTTAGCTTTCCTTAAATATTTACATTAGAGAAAATTGTCACAGTTAAAAAAGAACAATTATTTTAAGACTTAGGCGTATTTTTGCTTGAATCTACAAGGTGCAAATTTTAATTCAATAAATCTATACAACGCCCATAAAATTTTTGAAACAACAACAAATTAATTATAATTATTTTGATTTAAGAAAAAAAACTTAAACTTGAAAAACTTAACTCAAAAAAAAAATAAACAAGAAGAGAAGAAGCAAATAAAAAATTCTACTTTATATAACCGCATTACTTTTTACGAATTGCTTGCGTAGGACTATCAGGTGGTGTTTCCATGGACGTTTCCTGTCTTAATGAGCGTCTCGGAACACTCTTTAAACTCGTCGAAAGTTTCTTTAACGGCCGTGGTGATATACTCGTTGATTCGATGTTTTGCGAGACATCCGAATTATTAAACCAGACGCCTCGTCCTAAATCGGATGCTAAAACATAAATTAATCACATCAATTTACTTCTTATTAATTAATTAATTATTTTTATGGAATAAATAAACAAACACAAAAAGCACAAAAATTCTTACATCATTAATGTTAGTAATAAAATTAGTTCTGGAAATGTTTTGGGGGAATCAAATAGAGGAGATGGTGTGAAGATGATGGAATACTGGTTCTTGAAATACTACATGCTCATATAATCCTACAAATCAAAAGAATAGCAATAAATAATTTAACAATTTTTGTTTATACAGTAAAACCTCGATGTAATGTTATAGTTAAATGTCCGTTATATGAAAATTTTTGAACTATTTGGATAAAAAATTTAATGTATACCAATTCAGACCAAAACATGGCTAAATTCGAAACTTTCTAGTTCTAGAAATAGTTTTAGAACCACAGTTTTTAAAACCAGAACTATCATCCTTGATTTATGCATCATAGTGGAATAGAGCAACTTGGGAAGGAACAAGTGGTAGGGTGTGGAATACAGAGAAACGAAGAGGGAATCTAGAAGAAGATAGATACAGTGACAGTGAAGGGAGGTAGGGTTAGATAAAAATATAGAGAGGGCAGAAAAAAATAAAAAGAAAAATGCAAGAAAAAGAAAAGGGAGCTGAAGGAGAGAGGCGGAGCAGATTAGGGAGTTGAAAGAGGAAAATGATGTATGGAGATACTTAAAGAAGATGAGGAAGGGAACAGAAGAAGTCAGCAGCGATATACAAATGATGGAATGGAGAACCTATTTTATGGGATTGTTAGGAGGGGTGAAAGAGAGAGGAATAGGAGAGAGAGAGAGCGAGGGATGCAAGTGGGAGAGGAGTCGATTGAAGAGGAGAAGGGCGCCAGGAGAGGATGAGATCCAAAATGAGGCATGGTTGGAGGCGACGGAGATGGTGAAGAAAAAGCTATGGAAGGTAATAAACAACGTGTGGAGACAGGAAAGGTTTCCGGACAGGTGGAGAATTGGGATAATATGCCCACTGCATAAAAAGGGGGTAACGGGGTGGTGGACAATAATAGAGGGATCACCATGTTGGACACGACGTTTAAAATATATGCAAAGATACTGCTGGAAAGATTGGAAGAGAAAATGAAGAAGGGGGCAATGTTGCCGGATGGGCAGGCGGGATTTAAGACCGGAAGAAGGGCTGTTGACAATATATACTGTGATGATGTTGTCAAGAGATGGCGTTAATGCATTATCAAAATTAAAGTCCCTAGATTTACAAAGTACCGCGGTTCATGAAGCCTGTTTTCGAGCCAAAATGGCGGTTTGACAGCTTGTCACTGCATCTCACCACTTATTTACAAAAATATTGCCGCCTTGTTGCCTTTGGAGTTGCACAAATGGCAGTAAGAAGGACTTTCGACTCTTCAGAGTACCATGCGAAAAAAAGAAAGGAAATTTGGCGTAATGTTTTGGTTTGTAGTTTTAAATTTCCCAAGTTTTAAAAGTTGGGACTTTAATCAAAATTAAAGTCCATAGATTATCAAAGTACCGCGGTTTGCCGCCATTTAGGCTCGGATAGTCAAGCGAAATATTTAAAACACATCGTTCTGTTGATAAAATTACGGTAAATTTTCTTCTTTTTTCTCGTGGTACTCTGAAAAGCTGTCAAACCGCCATTTTGGCTCGAATATTTCGAATACACAGGCTTCATGAACCGCGGTACTTTGATAATCTAGGGACTTTAATCAAAATTAAAAATGAAAGAAAATTTAATTTGAATTTGAACTCCCAGCGAGAGTGGATCTCTCCGAATTATTATTTTTATAAAATAATTTGTATGTGATTCTGGAAGTTGAGTGTTGACGAATGTTACTTTGTGATGATAGCGCTGTGATCCTGAAAGTGGAGTTGTAACAGGAGTGTGAAATAAGACATTTGGCACCCAACAGTTTTTTTTTACAATTTTTTGTCAAATAAGTGACGTTTGTTTTTTTTTGTTGCTAAGAGACAATAAATTTTGGAAACATTACAATATTGTAACTAAGGACAGTAGAATCTAACAGGACTGCTACATCCATTGTTGTTTTGTTGCCTACTACTGGTTGATTGTCCGCACTCTACGTCACACTATTTGCCACGCCCAGTTAACTGTCATTGAGTTCTAATATTTTTAGAGGTTATATAATAGACATTAATACGTCTAAAAAAAATAAAAGTTCAAAAATAATATGAATACGTCTACGATATAACCTCTAAAAATACACAGCAAACGCATAGAACACAATAACAGCTGACTGGGCGTGGAAAATGGTGCGACGTAGTGTGTTGCCCCAACAATTGATGTAACAGTGCTGTTAGATTCTACTGCTCTTGATTGAAACATCTGGCAGGTAGGGAGTTAAACCAGAAGGGAAGAAAGTTGTATGCATTGTTCATAGACCTGAAGGAGCCCTTTTAATAAGGTGGATAGAGGAAAGATGTGGGAAGAAATGAGGAGGAGATGTATCACAAAACAGTTGATAGAAAGAGTGAAGGACGTACAGGGACGCGGTGGCCAAGGTTGCAGTGGGGGAAGAGTTAAGCGAGATATTCTGGAGGACGAGGGGATTGAGACAAAGGTGCCTGCTTAGACCTACACTATTAACGATGTATACGGCAGGCTTGAAAGAGAGACTTGGTGTATGCGCTGTCTTACGCGAATGACTTGGTGATCGTGGAAAGATATTTTAAGAAGAAGGGGCTGGAGGTAAACGTCGAGAAAACAAAAATCATGAAGTTCTGCAAGGAAGAAGAAAGAGGGAAGAATGGTTGTGGCAGATAAGAGAGATAGAAGACGTGAAAAAGTACACGTATTTGGGATATGTGTTCTCAGAGGATAATAAGGTTGAATCGCACGTGAGAACGATGACAAAAAGAGGGAAGAGGGTGATGGGGCAGGTTTGGCGACGGTTCTGTTTGGGCACAATGATGCACGGCGCAGAAGTATGGGGATGGAAAGAACAAGGGTTGCTGGAGGATGTACAAACAAGGTATTGGAGATGGATACTGAGGTTGGCGAAGGAAACTCCAGGGTATACAGGTGTTTGTAAATTGACGCGAAAGATTTCAAGATGTGATTTTTCAGCATAAATTAAGGAGGGTCTTTCATATAACTTTTTGTTCAAAACCCCTTCCTCACCAAGTTATAGCACTCTAAAATTAGAAAAAAAAATGTTTTTATCGCCAACCGGCAGCAAAACCATACTTTATGCTATCCGTTTGCGGCAGTAAAGTGACATTTTGTGCTACTGTCTAGTAAAGTGTGCAGTTAGCGGCAGGTAAAGTACCTTACCTGCCGCATATGCGGAAGGTAAAGTATTCTGTAAGATAGAGCTGGAATTTGATCCCGGTACCTTTTACATGAAAGCGCACTACCTTTCCAATATACTACCGCTCTTTGATACATAGTGTAACTTTACCGAGGTATATTAACAAAACAAATCGTTTATCACATGTCATATAATATTGGTAAGTTACAATATCTTCGTATCGTCAAATTTTGCGGTTTGCGATAAAATGTTGTATGCAACACGTCAGCAAAGTGTCTTTATCGAACTCGCCTGTTACTCGACTCGCAAACTCAGATTCGTTCGATAAAGCATCACTTTGCCGACTTGGTACATAAATAACTATTATTTAATAAATTCACTATGGAGGAGAAAAAAAATGACACTTTTTGACGATTTTTATAAAGGTTAAAATATTATTACAAGGGGGTGAAAAATCAACCCCTACAATACTTTGCATTAGAACTTTTTAAGGCGTCTACGGTTTTCTATTTAAACACTTGATTTAAATAGAGGGATTCAATACGCAACTTATTTGTCTCTTAATATTTTCTCCTAAAATTGTTAGTTTGATCATAAAAAAATAAAATAATACAAAGGCTCAAATGAATTAATTCAGAGATTATTAGTCAAAAAAATGAAGTTATGTCAAATTAATCTCAGCGTTACAGTGAGTTTAGACATGCATGGATTTAGTAGCGTCGATAAAAACTGGCGCGCCAGTAAAATTAAATTGCATGTGTAAACTTCAACTGGCGTGCAAGTTGAAATCATACATGCATGGATCAGAAAAGTCTGCAACCTTCTGAAATCACTGGCGCCAGTGAGTGGATGAGTATCCACAAAAACACAAAATTTGTTAATATCAAATTTAGGTTATGTTTCATTGCATTCAAATTAAATCCCAATTACGTTAAACACAAGATAACGTTTAATTATTCACATTAAACCTAGAATATATCTATTTTCGTTTCGGTTGAGGTCCTAATTTGTGTATATAGTTGTGGTACACTTTAAAAATGAAACTGGCGAGTCACTTATTTTTGTTTTCGCACATGTAGTGTAAACCTTCACTGGCGTGCAAATAGAACTGGCGCAACCACTGGCACCACTAAATCCATACATGTCTAAACTCACCTTTATTTTATTTTTTGTGATCAAACTAACAATTTGATAGTTGTAAAATATTAAGAGATAAAAAAGTTGTAGATTTTTTCCACTAACTTGCTATAACTTAGAGGAGAAGGGGTTGGGTTGGATTAATGTTTGCTGAAATATCACCTCTTAAAATCCTTCGCGTCAATTTAGAAACAGCCTGTATAGTGAGGGAAGAGGGTAAGGTGGATGGAATATGAGTGGAAGCGGGGAGAAGAGCAGTGAAGTACTAGGAAAGGATAGAAAGAGTAATAACCGCAATGCAGTATCTTGGAGAGAAAGTTGATACAGACAAAGAGATAGGGAAGGATTATTATTATATAAGAGTGGGATATTCACTAAGGGAATCGACAACAGAAGATTGGAATGAGATGAAATGGGAAGAGAACTGAGGAATTAGGAGCAGGGATATACAGAGGCAGGAGAGAAGGACACAGATACAGGAAGGGAGATATAATGAAAGATATGGGGAGACATAGACAAAAGATCTGCTAAAGTGTCTGTTTATGGAAGGGGACGAGGAAGGGAAAAGATTGCTGGCGAGTTTCCGCTCTGGAAACGAGGAAATAAGTATTTGGGTGAATAAGGACGAAAGGTGGTGTAGGCTGTGCAGGGAGGAAGTCGAGACGTTGGACCACATGTTGAAGGGATGCAGTGAGTTGAGGGAGGAGGCGATGTACCAGAGGCATATTTTGGGAAAGGGAGGTGAGGGCAAGAGATGGATGAGCGAGGTGGTTGGGCGATGAGCCGAGGGTGTGGAGGAGGATAGAAAGATTGGTAATATATATTGATATGAAATTGTAAACGTTGTTGCATGCAATAAAACGCTTACTGTAAAAAATAGATAATATTAATAGTATGACTTAAAAGTATTTTGTCAGTTATATTCGAATTTCCTTCTATTGAGGTTTTACTGTAGTAATCAAAAATCGTTAAGTTATCATCACCATGTAAGGCAGTTAATATTAATTAGATTAATCAAGAAAAAAAAAACAAAGATTTAAAGGTTAAAAAATTTTCCAAAATAATTCTAACCTCTAAATTTAGGTTCACGTTGTCCAACTTTTTGAGAATGCCCATGAGAATCTAAAAGGGCGCTACATAACATTGAAGCATCACCGCTTGCTGAACCTGAAGTACAAAAAGGGCTCGGAGTCGCAACTGGACTATAAACCCTCGAAATAAAATCTTCGAATGTAGTGTTATCTTTGTGTTTTGTTACGACGGTATCCAAAGATCGAGCTCTTTCTTCATAGCTTAAAAAAACAACACATTTTTATTTAAAAAAAAAATAATAATAATAATCATTTTTGTAACTTACTATTGTTGATAAAGTGGTAATGTACTTCGTTTCGCTCGGCTACCACAAATAACCGCAGCTCTTATAACCCCAGCAAGAATATTACTTTCAATGATCGCCTCGTCGTGTAAAATTCCAAAATAAGGTACCTCTCGTTTACAATTAATAGTAACTCGATTTAAATTGTTTCCTAACGGATAAACAACGATGAGGATATCACAAAATTCCGTTGGGATTATGTCCCGTCTGTAATCTCGGTTGTGTTCGGACCAAACGATGTGGACTTCATCGTTTCCAAGATGACGCGTCTACAAAATAAAAATAATAACAATTAATAAATCGTATAAAATTAAAATCTTTTTTTTTTCATTTGATTCAATTCATTTTTTGGAATTAGTTAACACTATTTCTCTGAAGTTTTGACGTCTATTTGGCGTTTTCAAAAACTGTTAACGCCATCTATGGAGTAAAATTATAGAATTCTGTGGTAAAGTCAAAAATTAAATTTGTTATCGCGTGAAGTCATTTTAAAATAAACTGTCAGATATCAAATAATGTTTTTTTTTAAATAATTTATCAAATTGTAAAACGAAGAAATGTTTAAATAGTATCTTAAAAAACAAGTTTGGTAAGACACGCTTGAAATGTACGAATTCAAGTTGAAAAACGAGTGGCTTTTTAATGAATGAGTGCTTTAAGTCTTATGAAACGTGTTTTTTATGCTATTTTTTATAATTCGCGTTTTTATCCTTTTTTTTTAACAAAAATAAAATAAATTTTGACAATGTAGGGAAATAGGTATATTCACCTGAAAAAAATGTTTCATGTACACGTCTCAAAATAAGAGAAATTGCTCAGAGTTCAATGTCCTCATCGTTGTGGACCTTGTATTCGATGCTAAGAACGAGTTTCATCCATTGACAAAAATTGTTACATTGACAACTAAAAAAATTAATGACCCAATGTCACCAACTTAAACTGGTTCCATAAAATGTTACTAAAATCTCATTAGAGCACCCGTTTGAGTACTGTAATAGCTTTCATTTCCGTCGCGAATTACAAAATAGTATATTATTATATGAGCATGTAATGAGGGCTATTATTCACTAAGATTAAGTTTGTCACGAGCATAGCGAGTAGCATAATTAATCTGAGTGAACAATAGCTCATTATATGTTATATGTTCACGACTATTGAAATTGATTCCATAAATTTATTTTTTAAATACATTTTTTTAAAGTTTAAACGTCAAATGTGACACAAATTCAATGTTACAACTGTAACCAACTTCACAACAATTTGTCAAAATTAAATGTCAATTTTATAAAACGTAGTTTTTTTTTACGAAAATTGATTAATTTATGGTTAAATCATACGAAAAACGGAATTTGTTTAGGTTTTTTAATGTAAAACCTTTAGAAACTCCTAAAAAATTGAATTAAATTGACGTTTTCTGAAATTTTAACGTTTCAAATAATTATTATTAGTCTGTCAAGTTGATTACCCGTGAATAATGATTATTATTCATTCCGTGAAAAATGACTTCCCTTTTGTTCTAGAAAACTCATTCATAAGGTATATATTATAAGGTAGTCGTGGACAAAAGTCTTTTTAAATCCAGCAATGACCTCGTTTACGCTTTCAATAATTATCTGTCGCCTTGCCTTATACCTGCAGAAATGCAGTCACCTTCATTTGTTCGCTTTATGAGTTCTCTTAGTATTCTTATGGATTTATCGTTCACGTTTCCTTTTGAACCTACTGAGGTTCGTTATGTTTCTTACCCTTACTGTATCGAAGGCTTGCTTCAAGTCTACAAATCAGAGTTCTATAAGTTGTGCAGGTCAAGACAACCAAGGAAACATCTATGACACACGGAGAAAAATCACCTGAGATAAATAAGAATAGAAAAGATAGATAAATAAGACTGCACCACGACAGGGTGTAAAAAGATAAACATTCTCAATCTCTGCCCTGAGTGTAGGCAGGTGACATCTTGATATGAGAAAGGCTGATAAAACGGCTGATCAACTATTCTAAGCAATTATGTCAGCAATTATTTCAAATTCACTATTTTTTTTTCTCGCCATTTACATTTTGCCAATGTTTATTGTTTATCTATCCTTTTTTTCCTTGCATCATAATTTTCTCTTTGTAGAATTTGTATTCTTTGTATACTTTCAGACAATTCATAGCATCAATGTGGTTGTTGGCATACATCAGCTCATAGAACTGCAATGTGGCTATCATATTCTCTTAAATTGAGTTAAAACATGTTACAGTCGGTACGATATTTGTTGATCCAAAATTGCCAGAAAGGAAAAAATCAATGACGTTCTATTCTCGGAGAGCAACAGTTATTCACGGCTTGATATTTGCAAGCAGTCCACGTTATTTCTCGAATATTTTTTGCACTTTTGGTGAATATCTAAGAAACTAATTAACGGATTTGCAGCAAGCTTTTATTGTGAAAAATTAAGTTATAAAAAAACGTAATAATTACGTATATTAGAAGCTGTAATAATTAAACTTTCTGTTGCCACATCAATTCGAACCTCGTTTTCTAAATAATTATTTTCAACTTTAACATTTTGACAACACTTCAACCAGTCTTCAACAGCAACCAACGAAAATTCTTCTTCTGTCAGAGTTTTCACAACGTTTAATTTAAATAATACATTTCTCTTCCCTACTTTATTTTTAACTTGAGCCCATATCATTTTAATCGAATTTAAATCGGGATGGTAGGGTGGGAGCTTTAAAGCCACATGTCCGTTTTCTTCTAGCAGACGACCGAATTTGTAAACAATGTGTTGTTTTTTATGATATTTAATAATATCATACTGCTGTGGCTTACGCAAATTCGGCGAAAAAGGTATATTTTTACTTAGCAACCAGTCTACGATATCTGCTTTTTTTGAATTGCAAGTAGGTGCTTTATGTATAGGGTGGTTCAAATTCGATGTCCGAATAGGCTATCTCGGAAACTATAAGAGTTAGAAGAAATGTAGCTTGCATGTCATGATCTCATTTTTCGAGAAACTGCTAATGCCGAAAACCTCAAAGCGCTATCGTCTTTTGTTTTTCTCCTAAAGGCCAAAATTGAAAATATCGTAAAACCAACAAGTGCAATTATCTTGGTTATTATTATAGGTGGAGTATTATAACTAAGACATTATATGGACACTTTTTTTTGGTTTTTAGATTTTGACATATCACGACAATTTTGATTTTTTTAAATGGAAACAACCACGATTATTCGCTTATTAAATTCGTTGTTTTTTTCTAATTACAAAAATATAGGGTTTGACAGGTCTATTTCTTATTGTTTTAGAATAAAGCTAAAAATAAACATTTTTTTTTTAGTATTGTCAAAGAAATTAAATTTACAGTTTCCTGTAAATTATAACTAAAAATTAAAAAAACATATTTCAGATATATGAAACAAACACATTTGTTGAACCATTTAATTTATATTTGTTTTACACAAAAGTTGGAATAGATTGCATTACTTCACATTTTTTATTAATATTTAATATTATTATTAAATGACTTGATAAATTATTGATAGATGGCGCTCATATATATATTTTCTTTATATTTTTTAATTCAAATAAACAGGAAAATTACGAAAAAGTTATCATGTTAGAATGTTACATATTAGAAAATAAAGTAAATTTTATATAAATTTTTAGTAGAATAATTTTTAGTTACAGTACCGACTTTACAGGAAACTGTAAATTTAATTTCTTTGACGACACTAAAAAAAAGCTCATTTTCAGCTTTATTCTAAAACAATAAGAAATAGACCTATCTAACCCCATATTTTTGTAATCAGAAAAAAGAACGAATTTAATAACCGAATAATGCTTGTTTCTAAAACCGAAAAATTTTTTTTGACTACGTCATCAAATTCTCTGTAAAAAAAGTGTCCATATAATGTCTTAGTTATAATATTCCACCTATAATAATAACCAAGATAATTGCACTTGCTGGTTTTATGATATTTTCAATTTTGGCCTCTAGGGGAAAAACAAAAGACGATAGCACTTTGAGGTTTTTGGCATTAGCAGTTTCTCGAAAAACGAGTTCATGACAGGTAAGCTACTTTTTTTCTAACTTTTATAGTTTCCGAGATAGCCTATTCGGACATCGAATTTGAACCATCCCCTGTACATTATGATAGGGTGCATTGTCACTTTCGACAACACATTTTGATGGAAGATTTGGAATTAGCTTCTTTGTAAGCCACTTCTCATAATTTTGCGAGTTCATGTCGCTATGATAATCTCCGCCTTTGGTTCCAGATTTAAAAATCAAGAGACAGTTAGGTACGAAACCCGTTTCACCACCAGCGTGAACAATAACTAATCGATTACCTTTAAATATGGGTGATAGTAAACCATTAGTGCTATTGTCTGTCCAACTATTGGAACTAGTATGACCTGCGCGAAATATTCTTCCTCTCATTATTCTCAAGTTGCGTAAATCAATTGCAATTCACGATAAATAAACGCTCATTGCAAGTATAAACACCTGACTTTCGGGGTGTCGGATGTTATAGATTTCAAGAATTTGGCTTTTTTGAGAAATTTGGCTCAACAAATATTGTACCAGCTATAATATCCATGAAGATTGACAGAACATGATAGTTTTACGACTCTCAGCAATGCAATCTCCCTACAGGTGATTATTAGCAAATTAGTCTCATATCAAGCTACAAAATCGTGTAAAAGAAATTTTTGTGGTCAACACTAACCTCTTACATAAATTCACCTCACTTATAATTTGTAAATCTATTTGATCAACAATTTTGATAAATGCCTTATTAAGTATTAATTTTAATTATAAAATAATTCAATTTGCTTACCTTACTAAGAACAGCTTCTGGGGTATCACCAGGCATTCTTGTAGCAACATGAAAAATAGCCTCCATAAAACTTGTCGCTATATACGGAGCAGTAAGTCCCGTTGATCCTTGCCTATGCAACCCCCCTAAAAACCCTGTATGTCCCTCCAATTCAACCTCCCACGCTAACGAAGCCAAAAACTGTTCGTACGCCGCACTCCCACCTTGATTCGATAAAATCGTATTTTTATCTTCTTGTCCCGCAGCGACATAAATCACCGCAACTTTATGGGTTTCCCGACATTGTTGGTTATCCAAATTCCTTAATTCTCGCAATAATCGCTCCGTTTTCGATAATAAATGAAGGTCCTTTCGACGTTCCCAACCCGATTGTCCTAATTGAGAGAAAAGTAATCGACATTGTTGGAATTCGTTGGAAGGGGTTGTAATTTCATTGTTTGATGATGTCGTCGAGGTAGTATCTCCTTGGGGGCTGCATCGACTATTGGGACGCGAAGCGGGTTGCGCGATCATTCCATCTTGGTGTTGGTTGGTTTTATTGTGGTCTATCTCAGAGTTTCGTTGACTAATCACTGAAGCTATAGCTTCTTGTTCTATTTCGATTGATACGGGTGATAAGGCGGGTTCGTTTAGTTTTTTATCGAAAGATTCGAGACATTCGGGGCTTGTATGTCCTAAATATTGTAAAAGCTAAAAAAAAAGATTAAATTTATATTTTGATTAAAATTTATGATTACTTACATCATCTAATTGGTCTAAATCTAACGCAGCATTTGAAGTATCAGGTAAGATATTCGGATTACGATGTCGCATAGCTCTTTGTGGTAAATGAGTTTGAGTTCCAACCATTAAACTTTCCGGTTGAATACTACCCAATCCCCATTTAACCCCACTTTCCTTAATGAAAGGAATATTTTCTTCTGGAACACTTTTTAAGCTATCCGGTGATCTATACAAAATAGACGCATCCCAACAAGCTTTCCCTGACAAATCCCTTAATAAAACTCGAACTTGTTTATTAGCAGTTGATAATCCGGCTGTTACTCCACCTCCAGGTAAATCTAAAGCGGGTAACTCAACCAAACTCGCCACCACGTTTGGATTTAACATAAATAACTGGATGTTTGGGGCGGTGAAAATATTTGCAGAGAGCTCATCCGATGTTAAATTGGGAACATCATCGTGTTCAGCGACTAAAGAACTCAACCTCGCCGCTCCAATAGCCATTGGAAAATGTCCTAAATGAGTTACTAAATGTGCTAAGATCGTTTTTGCGCAAAGCGTAACCGCTTTCTGGCAATGTTGCGATTTAGGCGATGGAGAATTACTTTGTGTGTTGTGATCGAAATTTTCTAAAAGTATATTTGGGTCAAAATCTTCATTGAAATTCGGTTGAGTTAAACCACCACATTCATCCAATGTATTTCCAGTTATTATTTTATGTAAAACGGTGAATATCAGCAATAATAAACACGTTCTATTATCACCATATTCCGAAATTGTTAATAACCTTTGAGGTCCAAGTTTCATGCACCACTCTCCTAAACATAATAATAAAGCAGTTCCTAATGCTTTATCCGTTTCCCCAGCTGTAGAACCCAAAGGTGCGTGCAAAAATAGGGCCGAACAAAGGGTTTGGATCACCGAATCAGCTATTCGAGGGTATTGAGACCATAATAATCCGGCGTAATCGCATAATAAGTATAATGTATTACTGGCTAACTGTACTATAACTTTGTTGTTGAACTAAAATTTAAAATGATTAATTTAAAATAATTTCAAAGTTAATTTATATTTACTTTGAGAGCTAATAGAATTACGTTCATGGCATCGACCACTTTAGGATGATAAGTTTGATTTGTTAATTCTCGATAAACGAATATTCCCAACGATGATAAAGCTATACAACGTGCCATTGCTGTGGATTCGCGACGTCCCGTTCGTAACAAAATATTTACAACGTGTTCCTATTAAAAAAAATAAAAGAATTCAAAAAAAAAGTTAATAAAATTAATAACTTACTTTTATATCAGGACATGAAATAATTTTAATATCCAAACTTGGTTCTAAAACCGATAGTTGAGTGAGATTATCGGGGGATGCAAGTAGAGCTCCAAGAATTGAAACGGCTTCCGCTCTAGGTGTCGATTTCGAAAAATCCGACGAATTTAAGATAACGTTACAGGCGTGGATTAAATCTAATATTAATAGGGAGAAACCGGGAAGTTTAAGAGACATAAATCGAGGGCCCAAATGTCGTAATGCTGTGTTTACGGCTGATTTCGATGCACTATTTAATGCTGAAAAAAAAGGATTATCACAAATTATTATGTAATAAAAAATTTGTTTCCTTTTTCAAACGGCAAAAGTTATTAAGTTTTAATTAATATTAAATTTTGATTGAAAAGCTATTATTGGCGATAACAACGTAGATTTATACAGGCTGTCTCACGTGACTGGTTCGTAAGAACTTTTTTACGTTCCACTATTCGTTTTAATAAATTTCCCAATACGAGGCAAACTACAATAAATAGATATAGGAATATTTATAGTAATTTATAGAGAATTAAATTCCCTTTCTGATAGGCTAAAAAAATATGAGGCATTCCATTTAAAATTTTCGACTTTCTCGCCATTGAATATGGAGAAACAGTAATACAATTTTTGACCATCCCGTATAAGATACTCCGATACAACAAGTGACAGCATTTGACAGCATCTGAAGAGTAATCGTGCCAATGTAGATCTTGTTTGAATGAACTTTGGCTGAGATATGGGGTTTTAAAGAGCATGTGGAAATTTACCAAATCAAGCTTAAAACCAAAATAACTCGAAAACGAAAAATGAAAAAGGTGTAATAAAAATTATAACATTCCATTTAATATAACGAAGTTATGGTCTACTTCCGGTAGACCGGAAGTGGCAGCCATCTTGAAAATATTTTAGTTCGAAAGTTCCGAATGAACAACCCATGCTAGCAAACTTTGAAATCTCTATGAACAGTGGAACCTGAAGAAGTTCTAACGAACCAGTTACGCGAGACACCCGTATTTAAAGAAGATCCAAAAACTTGAAATTCTGTATGTTTTCCTCATCTTGGTTCTTTACCATCTACGTAAGTGAGTATTTAGACTATTTTGTTAATTATGTAGTTGCAAATTTAGTCCTCTTCATTGTATGGTACATGAGCATGTTTAGTAATTAATTTTTATTATCTTTTAAACTTTCATTATAAACTGTTACTGGTAATATTTTTATTTTATTTTGTAGACTCAACGCACCTACCTACTGGAAAGTGAAAGGGACTGTAGTATGAAAGTGATCTTTAGGAACTTTGGAAGTGGGTGTCGTTGAAGAATTTAATGGTGTTAGTTTTAAGGTTTTAAAAGGGTTAATTTTAAGCGTTGTACGTTCTTCTGCGTTGTAAAGGATTAACGCAAAAGGAATGGCACCTCAGGGCACACATTCTTTTCTGAGGAAGGGGGTGATGTAACAAACCGCCCTGTATATTAAATTGCGTTTTGTATAATTATTTTGCTTAAGTCAGCTTTATCGCGTGAGGCGTTGATGCGCCACCGAGTTCGACTCGGGGAGTCGAGTACCAACTACCAAGGTAGATAGAAGTTACAGTCTTCCCCTTGAGTTCGCCCCATTTCATATTATTTTTAATTTAAAGTGTGGTTTGTGCTGGGTAATTTACTAGAGAAATCGAATCCTCAGATCGAAATTGTGCCTTGAAGCCAGTTCCTGAAACGTCCGAATCCTGGTGGAAGAGCGTCGTCGTGGCGTAGAATAAGTAAGCATAATTAATTACTATTGCTCTTGAAACTCATAATTATCGCTAGTATTTGTATCCATAATTAACGTTCCGTTATCCAAAATTTGTTTAATTAGTTTTCTTTTTTCTTCTTTAATATTTTAACTTAATTTTTTTTGATTGTTTTATTTTTCTATTTTTTTATATTTTAATTTCCTTAATTTAATATATTAATATTTTTTTTATATAAATTCTTGTTTCGTATTATTTCAATTTCAACACAAGGGCTACGATCCTCCCTCCTTTTACTCATTAACTTCTTAAACCGTTCGGCCAAGTACGTAACTTGCCTGGTGGCAGCATCTTAAAAATCTTCTATAATTTTTTCTCTTTTTCTGTAACTACACGCTACCGTACTTCTATCTTTTCCCGTCCGCATAACGTTGGTGGCGGTGTTCCTTCCCTCCGCCTACATTACATTGGTGGCGGTGGTGTTCTTCCCCATCTACATTACATTGGCGGCAGCGCCCGTTACATTAGTGGCGGGTGTCCCTTCCCTCCTCTAATATTACATACTTGCACAATGAGTAATCGCGAATTGTTGACAGCTAACTAAGGTAATTGACATCTGGTTGGATTCTGGACTTCGAACTTTTCGTTCATATCATGCTTCAGCTACAGAGTATCCACTGACTCTTGTTGAATTGTACACTTTCTTGGGCTCCCTATTCTTAAAATATTCTGTCCTGTGATTTTTCTTCTGCAGGCCAGGGGTCCGGTGACCCCACTTTCATAGGATACTATAAGGACCCGCGACAACTTGGATTACTTTAAATGTAACATATTCAAATAACATCAAATATATCTCAAATGAGCCGGTAGATATGACAGAGGAGGGGAGGGAGGGATGTCTGATTATTGGAGGGGACTTTAATACAAGAATAGGGGAAGAAGGGGGAAGAGGGAAGAAGGGGGAAGAGGGAAAATGGGGGACGAGGGAGAGGGGCGACGGTCCAAGGATAAGATTATGAATGGAGAAGGAAGGGAGATGCTGAGGTGGGTAGAGAATACCTTGCCAAATTAATTCTTGTTCGCTAATTGCCCCGGTGTGATATGACATACCAGTGTGATATCAATATCTTTCTGATATACTAAATATAATAGACTTAAGTAAAGCTCTACTGATATAAGAATGTAATTTCTTTTTAAGGTTTGGGTTCTTAATACGCTCTAGTATGCTTCGGGAATCTGTTATAATAATCGCTTCAGGGATTTCTCTTTCCAAAGTTAGTGCAATTGCTTTTAAGATGGCGTAAGCCTCCACAGAAAAAATAGTTGATTGATCTGGCAAGCGGTAGTATTCTTTAATCTCCAATGAAAGGGCATAAATCCCGCATGAAACACTTTTCGGCTCTTGAACCAGCGAACCGTCCGTACATATGCAATATGCATCCGGCCATGTGTTGTTTATATATTGCTCAATCTCCTTACCTACCACACTAATCACTCCACTGTTTCATCTCAAGCATTTATATGATCTAGGGACAAATGTTATCATCGGTACTAGCATTCTAACGTTATATTCCATGGTGTACATGTCATGCATTTGTTTTCTGTACAACCCAACTCAACCCAACTTTTCTGTACCCAACCCAACCTAATCCAACGGCCGTGAAATGAAGGTTTGCGAAATCCTATCTACTCTAAGACTTCTAATCAGATATCTAGTACACAACAGTCTTGCTTCGTCTAGCTTTAATAGATGTTTTACCTGCTTCAATCGTTAACGCATTTGTTGGATAAGATCTCAGGGCACCAGTATAGCTCTATAGGCTTTATAGCTAGCACGTTACCTGCAGTTTATTCATCATAATTTTAGGAATAGGCATTAGTATCCACAAACCATATTCAATTCTGGATCTGACTATTGCTCTATATAGAGTACTTAATATTATAGGATTCCACACCCCCAATATCGAGTTCGCGAAGGATTAATTAATTAGGTTAATACCTCCTTTACAGGCCATAACTATTGTATTGACTTGTTCTTTCCAACTTAGTTTCCTGTTGATATGAAATTCCAAGTACATGAAGCTCTCCACATACCCCATAGGGCTTGTCTAGAAAGGATTTTTCCACCTCTAGTGCTCGATTCATGTGATTCTCCGCAGTATCAATGTTATCAGATGTACAATATACTACTAAATCATCGGCATTGCTTATCGCAATTACATAAAGTTCAATTAGTTCTTGACTAAGGGAGGACAAATAGTAGTCGGCTATGAAATTGTAAGTCAAACTTGACAAATAGGTTATAAAATTATTTGACGACAAGGTTTTATAACCTATTTGTCAAGTTTGACGTACAATTTCACAGCCGACTACTGTATTTTCGATGATTTTAAGTAGCATTAACGAAATACGTGTTTACTTATTTGAGTTTTTCACGAAAACGACAACGTTTTTTAAAAAATAATAAGAGTAAAAAAAGTTGTAGAATTAAATTCCACATGAAATGAGGTAATACTGTATTAAATCCACTAAAAGGTTAAAAAAATCCGTCAAAATTTAGGGAACCATCACCTTTAATCAACTCTTTGAAATGCCTCAATTGGTCTCAACTTGCTGCCAGTTAATACCCTTGGTACACTCATAACGTATACCAAATTTCGTTTTCCTAGCTTAATACATCACGAAGATATTCAATATTTTAAACATTTAAGACTCCTTAGGGGTACAGCTTACTATAGAGATAAGTTGCGTTAAATCATCTTAATTTATTGTCTACTGCATGTCGGTTATTATTGTCTACCTGCTCTGTGTCGGTTCTTATGTGAATCACCCTGTATATATTGTATAAAATTGGACTTCAAGGAACTTTCCTGTGGGAGGCACCTGTAGCTTATTCTGTTCCCAACATTTTTTGTGTTATTTTTAAACTTAAGTATCTTCTCGGAGTAGTGTTGGTGAACAATCGTTTAAAAAAACGGAGGAGTATTTGTACCCTGCATAATCTAGATGAACGCAGGGGTATGGACATTATCATATGCAATAATTGGTGCAAACATATGATTATTTGTACGATTCCCGTTTATTTTTATACGTTGTATTTTAAAATTTAAGGATTTTAAGATTCCTTAACCAGTTAGTTGTGTTATTATATAAAACAGTTTCTCCTCAATGAATAACGATCTCAAGTAAATCAAAATCTATAATACATGTCAAAGTGTTGTTAAGTTGGTAAATTGTTGAATTTGAAATTATAATTTTTTACCGTTTGAAAAAAAAAAACTTTATAATATCACTTTATTCTTACCTAAATGTAAAGCTCTATAAAAATGAGCCATATAACCTCGATGTTGCGGTTCACAATTCAACGTAATCGTGCAAAGAAGTTGAAGTGCCGTCAACTTCCCGGCCTCGTAACTACTCGGTAACGTTAAAGCCCCAAAACACCATGGAACAATTAACGTTAACGGCGGAACCAATTCCGGCGGTTGGGGCGTACTTTGATTATCAAAAGAAACTCCTTGATTCAATTTCATTTTAATCAAAGTATCCGTCAACTTCACCAAGTACTCAAAAACTTGGGCGTGAAGTTTCGGATCGGAAATTTGGTTCACGTCACCCAAAGAACCCAACATCCTCCGCCATAAAATAACAGCAACATCCGGTAACCAACCGCGAACGGTTCCACCGCAAATAACTCCGCGGTATTCCCCGGATAATTCTTGGACGTTTCCGTCGGACAAAACATCAACAAGTTGTATTGGCGAATCTTTGATCGAGTTAGATTCTATTCCGCTTGATGGAGCTGGACTTGGTGATCTTGTACGATCCGTTGATTCATTATCCGCTTGTCTTAAATTATCCAACGAATGTGAACGCCTTTGACGATGCTAAAAACAACAAATATTAAAAGATTATTAATATATTTATTATTAAAATATCTCAAAAAAGTAACTAATATTTTTGTATTATAATTATTACCAATTTAAAATGAGGAAAATGTATATGAAACAACGAATGTCTCTTCATCTCTAACAACAATTAAGGTACACCCAAACTAAAATTATTTGTTTATCGTCCCAATTTATTTCCCACTTTAATTGCACAATAATTCACATCGTTACCAATTGCTTTAAAAAATTTCAAGTCTTAACGAACCGTCAAGGTGACCATAAAACACAAATTGATATAACGTTATAATCGAGATTACTTCAATTGAAGTTCAAACGGAATAAATGAAACGAAAACATCAAAACAACGCGACATAAACTCGTGCGCGAACTTCGAAAACCTAAAAGCGCTTTGGCACTTTGTCACGTTGAAAAAAAAAACGTAACAGTTTAAATTTAACTTTTGGAACTGAACGTGGTTCAAACGAGAGAATTTAAAAATTAAATTAAATCGAGCGTCGAAAAAGGTCGTTTTAGTGATAAAGACCACCACCATGTGGGTTTGTTCCAATTAGTTTTAATGCTTTTTAATGTGTGTAAATTGGATTAAATGTTTTATCGGGAAACAGGGTAATTATCAGTTTTTTTTTCTAATTTTATAGCGAGCGTTAAAAAAAAGTGAATTTTTATTGTATGTAATCGTGTAAATGGGGAATGATAGTAATACATTTCGTTAAAAATAGATAATGACTGTGACATGTGTTTGATAAAAGACGCAATTAGTAAAGGTATTAAATTTCATAAACTAAATAATTTAAAATGAATGTAAAGTTATGTTTTTATACAAAATTAAAGATTAAATGATTTTATCTTAAGAAGAAATCGATGTAGACCAGATTATGTATTAAATGAGTAAGGAAAACTTCCTCAACAAACAAGTGTTGACTTAAATATGCTTAGAAGCGGTCTCAAATATTTCATTACGTATCAATAACTTCGTTAAAATCGACAATGATTGGAAAGTTTAATGACAGTTAATCCTATTTGATTGAATGTATTACTTTATTTAAGACAAATTGGGTTAGATAGGCATAATTGAAAATCGTATTGGTAAACAATATTGTTGGGGCTTGCTAAGGATACTGCGTTGGTGTATTTATAAAGTTTCCTAAATTTAATGGTGTAACGATGGTTTTAAAATGCTTTAGACGGAAATGCTCCAATAGAAACAAGACAAATCAACATACAATATGTAACCCAAGACGAAATGACGTCTTTATAATCCATCATCTAGATTCTAGATTGAGTTTCCTCATCAACTTACTGCCTAAAATGATTCCTAGATATTTAACTTTAACAATGGTCCGTTTTTGAACCACTAATACCGAAGATGTCCTCAATGACCTATACTGATTATGTTAAGAAGACTATAATTAACTGGTCATTCATTATGATGGTAAGATTGCCAAAACGCTCTTAATCTTATAAGTCATTTTGACTGTAATACAAGAGTCCAAGCAACCTGGATTAACAAGAGTTTAAGATTAAATTTTGGGTTTAATCAAAATTAAAGAGAGAATATTTAGTATGAATTACATAACTGCATTGGTATTCAGGGTTGATCAAGAGGATTACAAAAAGATTCTATTAAAAAATAATACCGTGGTCTCTCTACAACGCAGAGTAAGCAGGAGCAGAGCTCTTATTTTAACATCTGTTCGGCTGTCAATAAGATTTGCGCCGTTACGTCAACTTATATATAGCTGCTAGCTCAACAGATTGTATCGAGAATCTATGAATACTCCTAATTAATGCAAAATACCATATTAACTCAAAAACTTATTACTACATATTAAAGCACCTCGCCCACAAACGATCTTACTAAATGTAAGATACCTACCGCAGTAATGGAAAATTGGTATTTCAGATCAGAAAGAGAAACATTTTTGAGAGTTAAATACGAATTGGAGGAAAAATTACCAAGGGATCGAAAACGTCGGTAAATGATCAGTGAGTTATCAAAAAAAAACAATACGATTTACGCGATCAATAAAAAGTTCTACTAATTGTTAAGCAGCGATGGCGAAGAACTTCCCACTTGCCATTGCGGATAGACATGAATGTTACATCAAAACATGCCTTCTACTGATAAATAAATACACCGTGAATTTCATTAAAGTCTGTTGAGATATCCTGCAGATATAGCAAAAAATATGATTTTTTTCAACAACTTTGTCCATCAATAACTGCCAAACGAGACACTTTTTCCCTATACTTTTTTAAACCAATCTTAATCTTTTGAACTAAAGAATCTCGTGGTACCATTTTCTGTACTTCTTTTTGGGACACCTGTATAATATGCATCCCTTCCACAAGCATTTTTCAATAGTGCAGGTGGTGTAAATTTGCATAATATGCGTTATTGGTTGAAGCAAATCCTACGTTGGACGCGGCAGGTAGAATATGAAAATCGCTGGAGTTTGATCGTAGAAAGGTTTTTGGAGGATTTTTAAACGTTTTCTTTCCCCCAATTTAAAAAAACGACTCCTTGGAAACAAGAAGTAACATGTAGTTCCAATTTGATGGTTTTCCAGTGCAATATGACCGAAATGTACAGTAGAGCCGAGCGCACACGAAACTCTTGACTCGTAGGCGCTCAGCTCAGCCCTTTTAGCCAGCGGCATGTCGAATCTCACAACAGCGCTTGACCTTAAGTGTGCATTTCCCAAGATCACGACTGTACATACGTCAACATTTAGATGAGCAATATCCGAATGATCCGAATCGCATTATTAGAAGAGGAAGTCTATTTCCGTAGGCGGCTCGTTCCCCGCATATAACTTGTTTAGATTTGTATCTATGGGGTAGACTAAAAGAACTGGTTTTTCAAGAACAAACCAACAATCAGAGAAAATATGACGGAGACAATATGAAATGTCATTAGAAACGTGCCTAGAGCTGACACTTAAGCGGCGGTTTTTTTCTACACAAACTAAATTAAATAAATGCATCGACATTGATGGAAAACATTTCGAACATGTGCGAACTATTTTTGGCTAAACTTTGAGTAATTCTAAGTGTTTTGGTTTATTTTGTTTTCTTGTCATTATTAATGTTTCCTTGGTCCGTTGGCCTTTAAACACGCATCAAAAAATGGTTTTGAACCAGTCCTAATCTTGAATAAAATGTGAAGGAAGGCTCTAGGTAATAATATTTTTGTGCTTTGTAATTTGTTTGCTAATGTAACTTGATCCGATTAATATATACGAATTTTTCACATTTTAAACATACGGTTTTCACTAAAATTAAGCAAATTTTATGGTGACTAAGAATCTGTCAAATAAACAGTACCGTTTCATTTAACTTTTTTTCAAAGATCACAAAAATATGTAATCGCTGCAGATAACGCCCTCTAGGTTATTTGTTATAAACCATATAGTCTCACTAAAAATATCTTTTAATAGAACTTAAAGTACTCTTTTAAACAAGAGCGAAAATATTTAAATCGATTGAATGGTCCAGGATATATTAAAATGTAAATATTTGAAAACGCATTCCCATATTATGACATACATAAGAAATGTCGCAAAACTAAAACGATACTTCAATATAATTTAAAGGTATTTCTCTTGCCCACTTTGCTGATAAGATTTTTTTTGCAAACCTAAGGTCTTACTATTCTCGAGATACAACCGCTTCGTGATTTTATCGGTATTCCCGGTATTGTGGAGCCTTGGTTTAACTCAGAACGTAGAATGTAGTATTTCACAATTAACCCTATATCCACCCAACACTGATTAACACATTTACAGCGCCTCGAAAGCAAGCGACCTTGGTTTAACTCAGGATGTAAGATGTAGTATTTTGTCTTATTAACTTCAGTAAAGTTTGCAGTCAGTTGCAGCTGATTAAATCGAGGTTTTACGATTAATATCATCACTTTAAAAACTAAAACGGATAGATCCAAAAACTTAGATGAAAAATGATGAGCTCCTAGATACGCAACTTTGCCTCCATTTAACCATTTCGGTATCTCTTATGGTTTCTGAGATTCCAATAGTGGGGGTCGAATTTGAATTACCCTGTATACTGTTTTATATGCGCTTATTTTAGTACCTGCTAAGAATATTTTCCTTAAACTGTTGTAGATCTTACATTTGCTTTCTCTATATGGTTGTTAATTTCACTTTGCTATCTTCCATCGTCTTAAAACATTGTATGTGCTTTACCTGTTCTATTGCTTCACTATCTAGTTGTAATTTTTTCGTTATCTTTTGATATGTTGGTGTTATATTGATATAGCTAACAAATTGTATTTTGTTGTTCTCCTATGCCTGTTTTATAATTTCATCCATAAGTGTTATAAATAGTAGAAGGCTACTGCACCCTCCCTGTCTCACTCCTTCATTAGGAACAAATTCTTCTGATAGTCGGTTGTTACTTATGACCTAAGTAGCCACCGAAATTTGAGCTATCTTTTATAATTTGAAAAACCGCATGCATTTGGCGACAATCAGTCAGCAGCCACGATTGCCTAATGCGCATCTAGCCTAAGGCATGCTCAGTTTTTTCCTTGATACACTGTCAAAAACTTGTTCTATATTGATAAAAGCTAGATACAGATTATTTCATTGAGTGTACATGACGTGGCTCTAACAGTTGCGGTTCTATAAATATTCTCAACCTCTTTTCCACGACATTTTCAAATATTTTTAGTCCTATGCTTAATAAAGAAATTCCTCTGCAACTACTGCAATGTTTGTATTTGTATCGTCATTTTGAGTATAGGCACTATTTGTGATACTGGCCAATCTTGTGGTATTCTTTTTTTTCTAGGCTTTATTACAAATTTTATACAGCAACTCTTCCGCATGCTTCACTATTTCCGCTGTGACGAAATCTTTTCTAGCTGCCCTTCCCAACTTCAGTCGTTTTATTGCGTTTAATTACTTCTTGTTTGGTAATTTCAATCCTGTCTGTTTCTTGTTTTTATGTTGAGATCTATGCCAGTAGTAGTTCTTGAAAATGTTGTTTATACTTCCTTATAACTTTCATATAATCAATTATTTGCCCGGATACAACATATTTGAATGATATATTACAATGTTTACTGCCACACTTTAAGTAATCACATTTCTTTATTGTTCGTCATTCAAAACTAAAATATGTACTATGTTATACTATGTATAAAAAATAGTTTAAGAATGAATGAATAGAATAGGACACAATAAAATTATTAATTAAGAAAGTAAATTGGTAGGACACTAGATTGTAAAGTAGGTAAATAATTCGAAGTTTAAATCTGTACCTTTAAACTGGTTTTTATTTATTTAATATAAGTCTAACTAGTTTCGGCCCCTGGCCATCTTCAGAGACTATTTCTATTGTTGTTAAAAAAATCACAAATAAAATTACTATTTTACAAAATTAAAGTTCAACAAAGAACTAATAAAGAACGTTCTTAAATTTTAACCTGTTAACGTGTAGCAATTCGTGCTTAAATTTTATTTTTAAAATTTGTTAAACTTCGATTTTGTAAAATAGTAATTAATAGTATGATCTTCAATTTTGATTTGTGATCTCTTTAACAATAGAAATAGTCTCTGAAGATGGCCAGGGGTCGAAACTAGTTAGACTTATATTAAATAAATAAAAACCAGTTTAAAAGTACAGATTCAAACTTCAACTTATTTACCTACTTTAAAATTAATAACCGGTAGAATGGATTTCAATCATAATTTACTAGATTGTACTTTAATTTAGTAACTATTAACATTTTTAAAATATACTTATAAAAATTCAAAAAATAAAATTGCGAAATTATATTGTACCTGATTTTTTGTACTTGATCGTCTCTTCACAGCCAAATTAGTCTCACTCAAACTCCTTGACATCCCATTTCGCGTAATTTTCGGCAAACAACCACCATCAGGTAAACTGGAATCTTGTCGAGACACCGTAACGTTACTACTACTCTCGCTTACACTTTCTGTACGATTTCCTTCCTGTTTACTTATAGCTCGAGGTCGATTTCTTTTCATTTTATAATCGATAACACGATCCAAAGGTAAATCCGTTAAATCAAGGTTATAGACGTGTCTTGCTAAGACTCGGGTTAAAGTTTCTAAAGTTTTCTAGAAATATTCAATTTTGAAATTTGTTCGATTCTATTTTTATTTTTAACTTACAGCCCATTCTTTTATCAATTCCTCCCAACCAGTTAATAATGTAAGAACGTTAAGAAATCGATCCCATAACTCTCGAGTAATTGTAACGTTCAAATTAGCTTTTATCCAGGTGACAATGAGAGTTTGAAAAATTGCGGGTGCTAATTTTCCACCTAAGGTGGCAACTTTTTTCTTTGGTGGAGATTCTCTTAGTACTAACGAAGTAATTTGTAATAATACTAATAATAATTGCTCCCTATAATATTATAAAAACGATAATATTAAGAATTAAAAGAATAATCTTTTTATTTTCTTACCAAGTCCCACTATCCATCCTAGTATGCATTACCATGTACCTATAGATATTAAGTACTCTTTTACAAGCATCAGTCTGTTCCTCTAATAACGTTGGAACATGAGAATTAACTTCCAACAAAAATACATTAGCGGCATGTGTCATAAATACTTGCAATAAATTCTAAAAATAATTATAATTAAATTTATTATTAACATTTATATTAAACAGATTATTTTTAAGAGAAATATGTCAAATTATTATTAATTTACTCAAAAATTTCTTTATATTTTTCAAAATCTTACTTGTAATCCTGCTCTAACCAACAAATTTTCTTTTTGAATAGCACCCAAATACGAATCATTTCGTAATCGTCCAGGTCGAAAACCTTCAGGAACGTTGTCATCTGATACCCGAGCTACCTCCTCCATTGGTTCTTGAGCGTACGGCGGCAACTCGGTGAGATTCATCTGTATAATATCTTTATAAACAGTGATCGCTTTTCGTATTGCTATGGCATGTGCGAAATTTAATAAAAATGCTTGCCGGTAAACTTCATGGATGAAATTAACATTATCGCGTGAATTGTATAAGACTTCGCGAACTATTCTTGATGCAAGTTCATCGTCAGTTGGTATTGATCTCATTTGTATTGAAACATCTAAAAAAACAATAGCAATAATAATAAAAAATAATAATAAAATCATTTTAATTAATTTACTTGAATCTAAACTGTGTTGTGCAGAATCATGTTGATGCTCATCATCTTGTTGAGATACATTTGTAACCATTGAAATCGAATTAGGTTGACTCTCACTTGATTTCTTAGTTTGATGCGTATAATTCGCGATCCATTTAATCAAAGAAACCCGGTAAGTAATAAATTCAGTATCCGCTTCCGGTTTTCTTAACATTGGCAACTCTAAATTTGGATTGTACAACGATGTTTCATAACAAAACTTAGGGCAAAGTTTCGGTAAATAGTACACTTTAAACATCTCCAATAAAAAATGGAAACAACGATGATGATGCGATACTTTATCATGCCATTCCAATCTAACAACAGTTGTCACCATAAATTCAAGAACTGTATCTAAATATAACCTCGTTGTTTGTTCCGGAACTCTTTCTGTGCTTGATGGTGGTAAAATTGGAAGAGATTCGACGGCGGTAACCGGATTTTGTAAACTTGTATCGTGAAAAATGCTACTTCCCCCAGCACCGGTCGTTGATTTTGACGAATTCGTTGTTTTCGGAAAAATTCCGGGTACCAAATTGGCGAACATAGCATGAACATAGTCCGGCGCATTATCATTTAACGCTTGATACCACATCAAAAAGTATCTTATTGCTTGTCTTCGCAGTTTTATAGAGTTTCCAGGATCGAGAAGTTTGGTTAATATATGTCCTAAAGAATGCATCTGCCATCGTTTGTGAATTAATTCCGGAAGCAACGAAAGAACTTGTTCCAAGATCCATAACGCACATTCTAATTCTTCTTTGTGAGCTTTATGAACTGAAAAGTTCAATGTTAATATTAAAAAGTGTGATTAACTAAATGAATTTATGTATAAAGTGACTTACCTAAATGAAATGACAGCTCTGTACAAAGAAAAAAGGAAAAAATAAACATTTATTAGCATATAAATAGGAAACATTAATTTATACAGATTTAAGAATTTTAATCACCTTTAACCTCAAATAGAATAAAATAGTAAAGTCCAAAATAGCAATCTTTACATAAAGCGAACATAAAGCAAAGTCAATAAAGCATTTTAAAGTTAAATATCACGGTTTTTATTAATAATAATGTTAACCCTTTAATGACCATCATGGGAACTTCTGGTAAAAACCTATTTCTTTAAATGTTTTCTTTTGAATAGTAAGTAAAGAATACACTCAGGAAACATTAACAATGTAGGTACACTAGAAATTAACTTAGTTTTGGAAAAAATTTTATTTATGGCACAAATATTTATAAAAGTAAACAAAATTTATAAAAATTCGTGGTATTCTGTGAAACAATTAAATTTATTATTGCAACATAGCGATACGTTGCATGCATTGCATCTTGAAAAAGGTTTGGATTGAATTCCTTTTGTAGAGCACATTTCGCAGCGAGCTCTGTTTTCAGAGGAAACCACGAAGTGTATTCCACATTCCCCAAACGAATTTCATCATTGATGCTGCAATTCAATCGACTTCGCTTTTTAACACAATTTTTCTTGGATTACTATATTCACTAATCCTTGGGCAAGCTTTCTGCGATATTCGATAGTCCGATATTCGCAGTTGGTCGGCGAGGTCTACATCCCCCCATCCATATTGGCATTGTAATTAATTATTACTGCAGGACATCGAACTTTTTGGCTTGTTCCATCTTTAGATTTTCTCTTCACACGTTTCCACACGTCGTTTCCACGGTAATTAGAAGCTAAGAAAATGGGTTTATCTATCCACTTGTAGCAACTTAATTTTTTCTTGCCATCTTATTTTTGGCATTTAGTCCTTAGGACCTCCCTTTCTATGTTCTCTTATCGTTCCAGATAATCCTGCTGATAATGCTCATTATAGCCCATGAAAAATTCAATTCTGCTTCAGATAAACCAAGCGATTTGCTCTTCTGAACTGCATATAAATTTGATTGATACATATGTCAATCAAAGATGATCCCAAAACTTTTAGAAAAATATCTATAGCTGTATGACAATTCTTAAAAATGTTCTTCCACCACACCAGTTGGTAACCTATAATCTGATATATTCATTGTATGATCATAGTTTTTCCATACACGATTATGCGTCTTATCGTGTATATTCATTTATCATAAATTAATTGCCGGAAACTAAAGTAGTAATAGATTTATGTTAATACTAGTGAAAACACTTCAACTCTTACTAAATAAAACGCACGGAACATCAATATGACCTTGAGGTTGCGCGCAATCCACCGCTACTTACGTCATGAAACACTCCCGCTCTTGCCCCTCGTCCACAAACTAAAATCAAAGTATTGTAGCATAGGAACCTAGACAACCTCTTATAAAAACCTTGCCTTTGGCACATTCAGGCAATATAATGTTAGTAAACGTTCTTAATGAATTTTAAAAGTGGCAGGACTTTATAGTACCAATGGTCATTAAAAGGTTAAACAAATTTTTATGTTAAAGGTTAGTATAAGAGCTAACAGATGTCCTACAGTAGCTCCAAGCCAAAGAAGAAGTAATAATACTTTCTTACTAAATAATATTTAAAGTAAAACAGCTAGGAAAAAGAAGTAAATTATTAATTACATATTCAAAAAACAAACACAAAATACAAAAATATATTCACTGTAATAAAAAAATATAAAAATAAACAAAAGCAGTACAAAAATGATGCACACGGTCAGTAAACAAAATTTAGAAAACGTAATAACTAATATTTAGTATGGAGGCCTTTGTTTTTTTGTAACCATTTTAAGCTGGTGAGGCATTGACTGTATCGATTTTTCGCAAAAAGTGGGTGGAATTTTCTCCCATTCTTCCAACAAGACGCTCTTTAACTCAGATTTATTAGAAACTTCATGTTCCCAAACTTTAATATCTAAATAATTCCATAAATTTTAATTTGGAATTTATGTCTAGGCTTTGGGGTGGCGTTTCCATTACATGAGGGCAATTATATAAGAGCCAAGAACATACTTTGTACGCCTCGTGTTTTGGATCGTTCTCTTGGTAGAATCGCCAGTCGCTGCCAAGAGGTAGTTTACCCACGCTGCAAGGTAAATTGGATTTAAAATATTGAGATGCGCATTTTGATCCATTATTCCCTCGATAAAATGCAAACATCCTAGTCCAGCAGCTGAAAATGACCCTCACACCATCACAGATCCGCCATGCCACCATGTTCCACAGTTGGTCTTAAATTTTTTAAATGCAGCTCCTCATTATTTCTTCTCCATACATATGGCTTACCATCAGATCCAAAAATATATTTACTTTCATCAGTAAATAGAACAATCAAAGCAAAATCTTTATTTTCGTGCTCTTTCACAAATATTAATCTGATGTTTTGACTCTTTTTACTGATTGACGGTTTTCTTCTTGCCTTTCTACCATGTACATTAGCCTTATGGATGTTTCTGATGATTGATGCACTAGCTTTTTTCCCTAGTTCATTCTCAATAATAGCCAGCTTTGGTGCGCTAAGAAATGGATCCCCTTTCATTTTTCTTATTAAATACCGTTCATCCGATTCAGTAAAAATTTTATTATGAGCGCTCTTTAGCTTGTTTGCCACCCGACTGAGGATACTGAAGCGCTTTATTATACCTTTTATTATAGCTTTATTATATTTATTATATATGAGCTTCTTATAAGGGAATGTTTAAGCACTAATTTTCTAATTTCAATAGTTATTTGGCTTCTTTGTCTAGTCATTTCGAATAAAAAGGTAGATTTCCGCGCGAACAGTACAAAAAAGTCAATTAGGGAATTCCCCTTGTCAACTGTTAAAACTTCTACAAGAAATTGTTTATAATTTTTACTTATGGCTGCCTTAATTTAGCGCTTAATTGGTTATTGTCTGAGTTTGGCTTGTGCCTAGTTTTATTTTTTTTATTAGTGAATAAATTTTTGTATTTTGAATTTGTTTTTTGAATATTTTTTGATAAGAAAGTATTATTACTCTACTGCCTGAGTTTGACTTGAAGCCACTGTATGTTAAGTATCAAACTATCTTTTTTAGGTTATTACTAAAAATTTATAACTCAAACATTTTTTATATGTAAATATGGAATTTGAAAATATATATATATATATATATATATATAGAAGTGTTTAATGTAAAAAATAACTTGATGAAAAAAGCACTGATTAAAGCTTTCTTTCACAAATGATATTATGTAGGTACATCAAGTTTTATTTAAAAGAATTTGAACTCACCCCGTTGTCGAAGATTATTTTCAGCTTGTATAAAACTTTCATATAAAATATGATAGATATGACTAAAATTAGCTTCAGAAAAACCTTTAGCCTCCGCAATATCGACAGTATCTGTAAACAAAAAAAAATAGATGAGTAAACTCAATTATGAATCCACTTGACACCATCATTTTAACCTATGTATAACCTAAATAACAATAAATAAAGGAAGAGTTAAACATGACTCATTCACAAATAAATGAGACAATTAACAGGTGGGATGTTTGTTTATAGATAGTTCGATATAAATAACTTTCTCAGTACCTAGGATGTTTTTTAAATGTTTGATTCTGGTCGCTAAATCCTTTTTCGAGTCCTGTATCTTCGACGTTGACTTCTTTACATCGGTGATTTTCTTGCTGAACATTTTCAATAATGATTGTTAGGGGCTGCATAATCCTTAAACGTTACAATCGCACATTTCGCGCAATAATAAACCAATTACACCTCCGGGTATGTTTTTATTTCGTGAATGTATCACATTTTCCTACACTTTTCGTGTTGACGTACACTTGCTCGCTATCCTCGTCTCTTTAAACGCCATCTATTGGGATAGTACAACATTACGCTTATTTGAGAATATTTTTATTTTTCGATGTTAAAAAATTAAAGAAAATTGTAATTAATATATTGCTATAAAACTTTCATTGATGTAAGAAGGAAAAATGTTAAAAATATCGAAAATTTCCTCAACCTAAAATACAAACATGTTAAAGTCCTTGTCTATTTTACCGGCATTTCGTTACCTGTCATAAAGTGTGTTTTATTTGAATTAAATATTTTTTTTCTTGCTGAACATTTTCAATAATGATTGTTAGGGGCTGCATAATCCTTAAACGTTATAATCGCACATTTCGCGCAATAATAAACCAATTACACCTCCGGGTATGTTTTTATTTCGTGAATGTATCACATTTTCCTACACTTTTCGTGTTGACGTACACTTGCTCGCTACCCTCGTCTCTTTACACGCCATCTATTGGGATATTACAACATTACGCTTATTTGAGAATATTTTTATTTTTCGATGTTGAAAAATTAAAGAAAATTATAATGAATACACTACTATAAAAGCTTCGTTGATGTAAGAAGGAAAAATGTTAAAAATTTCCTCAACCTAAAATACAAACATGTTAAAGTCTTTGTCTATTTTACCGGCATTTAGTTACCTGTCATAAAAGTGCGTTTTATTTAAATTAAACAATTTTCATAAATTTCGTTAATTAGCCCATAATGAGTCAAGTAAATATTGAAAAATTGCCCGAGGAAATAAAAAGTCGTTTAAGAAGCGATATTCAGATAAATACAATCACCCAATGCACCTTGGAACTGGTAAACTCATAATAATTCTTAATAATGTTGTAATATTTACAAACTTACTCTAATTATAAGGTTTTTAATAGTTTGGATGCAAAATCCAACTCGATTGCGATAAGATTGAACCTACCGACACATAAAATTCAAATAATCGATAATGGGGATGGAATAACATTGGAAAATTTCAAAAACATTGGAATACGATATATGACCAATAAATGTCTCTCGTTGGATAAATTCGAATCTAAACGTAAAACGTATGGTTTTAAAGGAGAATCTTTAGCTTCGATTATAAATGTTTCAAAAAAGGTACAGATTGCATCAAAATTTGGAGAAAATGGAACATATTTGAAGACATTTCTTAATGGTGAGGCAGAGAATGAAGTGATTAAAATAAAAAATAGACCCAGTAAAGGTACTACTGTTACAATTGACGATTTTTTATATAATTATCCGGTCCGACAAAGAAGAATCAATAAACTTGATTTGAATTCAGTCAAAAATATGTTGGAACAATTAACAATTATTTTTCCTAATGTTTCATTTAGTTTAAAAAATGAAGAAACTGACGAAGTAATTTTAAACTCACACAAAGAAATTAGTGTTTCCCACGTTCTTTGTACATTAAATAACACTTTAGATATAAAGAAGTTCGCTGAATTTAAAGTCGTTAAAGCGAGTATAAAAGTATCTGGAATTTTTTATATGACATCAACATCAATTAAGAACATGCAATATGTTTTTGTGAATAAATTCCCGGTTACTGCAGATGGGATACAAAAAGTTATCAAAAAATCTTTATACAATAAAATGGAAGATATTTTTTTGTCAAAACTCGCTTTTCCTGTTTATGTAGTTAATATACAATGTTCTTATTCGGAAGTTGTCGTTAATTTTGATTCAACGAAATTTCAAGCTGAATTCAAATCATGGCGTATGATTAAACAGTGTATAGAAAAAATGATTACCTTGTATATCAAAAAATATAATAAACAAAATGAAGGTAATACCGAAAAAACTAATGAGATTAATGGAGAAGATTTTCATACTCAAAAAAGAGTAATTAAAAATCCAAGGAAAAGATTAGGGATGAGATATGCAATAACAGATTATTGTGATAATAAAAAATCTGGATTAAGAAATAATAAACTTCAAAGTATTGAGAAAAAGAGAAGTAAAAAAGGCAATTTAAATGAGTCTTTTAGAAATAAACTTTTTGGGTTATTTGATGATCAATTTAATTCACAAGCAATGCATTTATCACCGGCATTGAAATCTTTGAAGATTGCTGAAAAACCAGTTGAAATTGATAATGAAGAAGAAGGTAAAAAGGTTATTTTGGGAACTTTTATGAAATCGCTTTCTTTGAGCCAAAAAAGTTTTGAGAATAAGTCACAACATATCAATCCGATATCTACTAATAAATCTGATAATAAAAATCAATCGACACCATCATCAAAAGTACGTTTTTAAAGTTTTAAGATAAATACACCAATTGTAGCCATCCACAGAGATTTTATTTACACTTAATGGGGCTGTTGCAGTTTTTTTTTATTGGCTTATTCGATAGTTTAGTAAAATTAAAGACTTCTATAATTTTTTATTTTTCAAAATGGGCTTTAGTTTTTCAAAAAAAAAATAATGGAAATTTAAAAAAACTTTGGTGACGTCACCGTCGTTTCGCACGCGGTTGGTTAAAATAAAAATCAATAAAAGGTGCATGAGCGAGATGCCACGACAATTTTATGCGCTAGAAGAAGAGATCTGAACGATGCACGTTTGTGTCTTCTTGATCTTACGCGAAAACGTTGTAAACGTCACCAAAGTTTTTATAGAGGGGATTTTAAATTTTAATATTAATTATTGCAAAAATTAAACTATTTTAATATCTGAAAATGTTACCAATCCTTCTATTTTTACATTATCTATTGAATTGAAAGTAACGGCCCAACTACAGAGTTTCTACTCTTTAATTTGTACAGGAAATGTTAACAAATAATTTTTTAATTCTTTGATGAATCACATTAATTTTTTTTATGTTTGTACCCAAGGACAGTAGAATCTAACAGGACTGCTACATCCATTGTATTTTTGTAGCCCACTATGGGTTGGTTGCCCGCATTCTACTGTCCTTGGTTCAAACCAGGTTTGAATCAAGGGCCAAGGTTCAAACCTGGTTTGAATCAAGGACAGTAGAATCTAATAGGACTATCCATTGTTGTGACAAGGTGTCCGCACACTACGTCACACTTACCACGCCCAGTCAACTGTTATTGGCCCTAATGAATAAAATTTTAGCAATTGCTTCACAAGTAAAAGCAATGGCTAGATCATCACATAAATATAATTTTTAAGCAAATGCTGCCGTTGCTACATCTCTATAGCAATTGCTTATTCGAACAGGTCTCAACCTGCAAATTTAGATAGTTCAACTTTTACTACTGTGTTGACGTTAATACAACATCATGAGATAAGCAACGTTAATAAAACAACATTCTGTGTCATGGCAGATTCTAGTGGAAGTGAGGAATTTAACAGTGATGAAGAAATTGACAAGCAATTAATATTTGTCCACAAATTGAAGGAACATAAAATTGTTCTTAACAAATCACAGGCTCCTCTAATTAAAATCGAAAAGGATGCCGCTTTCAACGTGTTACTGCAACAATATAAGGACATTTTTAATGTGTCACTTCAATCTCCGAACTCATGAAATTTTGGAATTCTAACATGTGTGCAGTCTATCGCACCGATGGCAGTTGGAAAATGGTATCTCTCTGACCATAATAGTTTAGCTTCTACAAAATCTTCAGCACTTCTAGGAAATCTAATGAAGATATTAGCTTTTTCCAAAACTGCATGCTTTACGGAAGTAAATGTCTTACAAACAGTACTCTGATGAATACCGAGTTCTTCAGCTACAGAATTTTGAAACCCCAGATCGGAACTGTCGCAGAAAGATTTTCATCTGCTGTATAGGTGATAATGCTGCACCTCGCCTATTGACCTTAACAACCTTTAAAATCGTCTCGGACATCCTTCTGTCGTCCCTGGCAGACCTCAACATCGTCTCGCCTACAATTCAATATCACCTGGTATCATTTAACATTTTAAGCACGTATCTTTAATATATGTAGCTACATTAAAGTTATTTCAAAGTCGCATAATCTTCCGAAATTCGATAACATTTGAATAACCTACACAATGATCTTTTATATCACAAACCACTTCAAAAGTAACACAAATTATACCATTTTTTCACCAATTTCATAGACTTATACATTCATGTATAGACAAAATGACAAAGGACAAATGAAGTCACCAATCGTTAAGGTTTGGGAATGAAGACTAAACTGTTGGCAACACTTCTGGCGAATGACAAACCAATATTAATCGTTTGCCATTTTAGTAAATGTAAAATTTAGAACGACAAGAACTAACCGAAAGGATTTAGACGACAAGGAGATTGAGACAGAGATGTCCACTTAGGTTCGTCACTTTTTTGCTTTGTACACTGCAGACATAAAAGACAGACTCGCCGGGAGACAGATAGGGGGTTGGTGATCGCCTGGGGGTAGGAAGGTGAGATGAGGGAAATGATGTCTCTGGAAAGGTACTTTAGAGGGAGGAATTTGGCGATGAACGTAGGCAAAACTTAGATGATGAAGTTTTGTGAGGGGGGTAGAAGGAAGACTTGAGGATTGCATAAGTACATATACTTGGGGTACAAATTTAGAGATAATAACAAGGAAGGCGGGCATATAAGAATGATGGCAGTGAAAACGAATAAGGTTATTGGACAGATCTGGGATGGGGAGAGAGGATATTTGGGAGAGATGTGGGAAAGTGAAGAATAATGTTTGAGAGCTTGATAAAATGCGTTATGATGCATGGGCTGGAGATATGGGGATGGAAGGAACAAGGGCTATTAGAGGATGCGCAGACGAGGTACTGAAGGTTGGCTAGGGAAGCACCGGGGTATATAGTCAAAGAAAAAACGAAGGCAGATAAGGTGAGGGTGGAGGCGAGTAAGCTAGTGGTGCTAGTTCACAGTTAAAGTATTGTTCTTATCTTTACACTGATGATTCCCAACTTTATCTCGATTTTGGATCTATAAAGTATTATTATTATTATTTCGCGAATAGTAATAAATCATAATAATAAACCCATTAAAAAGCTAGTTTATGTCAATGTTTTTTGATTAAAATGCTTTATTATATTATAAAATTGAATAGCTACAACAGGTGTTTTTACCTTTTATTGTTTATTTATTTATTATTTATTTTTTTTATAGGAATTTGAAAAAATTTGTGATGACAATTCAAACATGAAAAACTTTCAAGATCTTTCGTTATGTTTAAAAGAAACACCACAAGATATTCAAGCAAAAAAGCGACGAATCGATATGTTAAATAGCGTTGGAACAAACTTAATCGAAGAGAAATTAAAGCTACAGTCGCAACAACAATTAGAATTAGATAATCCAAAAGTTTTAATATCTACTTCAACTTCTCCTTTCATTTCATACCGGACAATAGCTTGTCAAACTGAAACCCCAAAAGAAAAGGAAGATAATACTATAAATTTGACTTCTGTATCACCATTAAAAAATGATGATGTAAGTTTTATGAATCGATTTTGGGATGATGACAAAATAAAAGAAAATGTGGAAGGAGTCGATAAAAATTTAATTATGAATGATCTGACGATTTTTGGTGATGAAAATTATAAAAATCATAACAATTTTAGAAAAAATAAGAGTAAAGAAAGCTTATTTTTTGAAAATCAAAGGAATAATGATGATGATTTGATTTTTGGAGGTTTAAATTTGAGAGGTGCGAAATCTAGAGTAAATAGGAGTAGAAATAATATTTTGAAAACTAATAGTTTAGAAGAAATGTTTTCTGAAACTAAAAAGAAAATTGAAAGTAATAAAACTAACCAAATAAATAATTTTGAGTTTCTTGAAACTAATAATTGGTGTGAAGATTTAATTTTTGATAATCAAAATTTAATAAATTCGAAGATAATGAGTAGAAAGAGTAGTAGAGAAGAAATATTTTGTGAAAATCAAAATAAAAACAAAACAAGATGTAGAGAAAGGAAAAGGAGTAAAGATTTGATTTATAGCGACCAAAATTTAAAAAATTATAAAAGAAGTACATCTCAAGAATTTTTAATATTTGAAAATCAAAGAGAAATTGAAATTAATAAGAATAATCAAAAAAATAACTGTGATTTCTTTGAATCTACCGACGAATTAATTAATTTGACTCAAAAAGATCTTTTATTTCAAGATAAACCTAAACATTTACGTTTAGAAAGTGACAAGAAAAAGGAATCGATTTTTTTTAAGAAAAATCTTGTAAATCAAAATAAAATTGAGGATAGAAATAATAGAAAAGTTAGAAAATATAAATCAGATAATGGAAATGAAATTTTTGGAAAACCAATTTCAAAAGAAGCCGATTTTGAACGCAGCCATATTTTTAAATCACCTCATAATGACTTATTTAACCAAAATACGACATTTAATAGTCACTATTTTCAAGTACAACAGAAAAAAACAAAATTAATTAAAAAATCAAAAAAAAACATTGAATTAAATACAAATAACACACTACACGATCTAACTTCAAGTTTGTTTAAAGGAAAAAACTTAAATAATGACATTAATAAATCGAAATTTTTTAATAATACCAGTTTTTTCGAACCTATTAAAAAGAAAATTCACAAAAAAGAATCAATTCTCGATACAAGCACCTTTCATTTTAAAACTCCCATTAAAAAGGATTCTAAAATAAATAACCAATTATTAACAGAATCTGAAATAAGTTTTAATCTTTTCAAACCGATGTGTTTCTCCTCGCAAAAAGACGATGAAAATAAATTTAAATTTGATTTTTTTGAAAATATTTCATTTGAAAAATCCGATAATAAAAAAGTGGATATTGATTTAAATATTTTAAACGATTCCGAAGAAGATTTAATTTCAACAAAAATTGAAGATAAATCAAAAAAAGAAAACATTTTTTTGATGCAAAAACGAATCGATTTCGTACCGAAAGGATTTTCTCCGATTTTAATAAAAGAGCACGTCCTCAATGTGACGTTAAGTCCTAATTCTAAAAAGAATTTAAATAATTTTATCGTAAAAAGTTACGAGGAAGAGTTAAATTTAGTTAAATGGACTGATTACATCGATAAAGAAAGTAAAAATATTTTATTTTTAAATAAACTAAATTTCTTTTTATTTTTCCTTTTTAGATCCGAAAGATTTTTTGGTTAATTTATATAACGAGAAAAAGAAATTAATTGAAAAGGACGTCCCAAGTGTAGAAAAAAACGTTAAAAACATGATCCCCATTCATTTTGATAAAAAACTTTTTAATACATCAAAAATTATTGGACAATTAGATCGAAAATTTATTGTTGTTGTTTCAAAAAATCAATTATTATTGTTTGATCAACATGCAGTTCATGAAAGAGTTCGTTTAGAAGGTTTATATCAAGGTATTTATCGTTCATTGCACAGATCAGCAAGGTCATTTCTGAAGTAATTTTCAGCGTGGAATCAGAATTGAATCATCACGTCAAGATTTTGAGTTATTTCACGTTATGTACAAAAAAATAGCTTTTTTAACTGGAAGTTTCTAGGTCTAATGTTAGTTCTAGTGATAGTACTAATGTTAGTTCTAGTTTTAGTTTAAAAATGATGGGTTTTTTGCAAAACTCGACCAAGAAGCATGCCAGTAATTTTCAAATCTCCACATATATTCCATTTGTACTGTTTAGATTTTATAGATTCAAGAATAGCTTTAACATTGTCATATGATTCTTTTAAGTCTAAGTGTACGGAGTTATGCAGCAAAAGTACTTTCAAACTCTAGATCAATCTTAGAGGACTCAATAAACAACCTCCAATTGGCAGGGTCATATAACAGTCCACATTTTTGCATGAGGACACTGACATCATTACAATAATCATAGCAACCACCTTAGAGAGAGAAGAACTCAATCCGTCTTTTCTCGATATCTATCCTAAGAGTAGGTAGTTCCAGGAGCAAGAAGATTTGTCGTGAACCTAACAGTTCAGATTTATCTTTAGGTAACCCAAAGATAACCTTGGCCAAATCTTTTAATGCAGCCTGATCATACAGAACCGGCAGAAATCTCTAATGTCAGAGCCGATATCGTCATCAAACAAGGATAATACAGAATGATGTAAATGATAAAATAGAGCAAAAAAATATTGTCCGTCCCGTACATATCTTCAAAAGTAGCCAAAAACATTCCAATTCTGAACTCGCATTAAGATTCTACACAAAAAATTACTTCGGAAATTACTCTCAGCTGACTGATAACAAAATCTTGCAGATCTGTCTTATTAATAAGATAATAACATAATAATAGTAATAAGATAATAATTTGTTACGAAGCCAAAAGTAAATAAGCGCAGCAAATTAATTGAGGCAATGAGAGCAAAAGTGGCGTTATTGTCAATGGAGTGATACAAGAACCTCTTATTTGTTAGTTGTTATTAGTTTATTTGTTGCCACAGTCGAGATTAGTGGGTTGTTTTTTTATGTGAATCATGGATAATAAATTTTTACCTGCATCTCCAGGGTTGGGTAGAAAAAAAAATTAAGAACCCAAATAATTGGAACTAAAATTACAGAGGCATTTTAATTTTATAGGCATGACACTGTCTATAAATGTCACCACACTGTCAACCTCTTCTAGGAGGAAAGGGTACATTTACAAACTCCATAAAAAAGACGTGAGGAAAAATTGTCACAAGTGGAGGAACAAGCGGGGTCGAGAACGGAATGAACATGCATGGATAATATCTACAATTTAAATCAAATCACAGAAAAGAAAGTAGTTACAAAAACAAGAATACCTCTCTTATTTGTTGATCTATGAAGTATTTGCTATAAACTTCTGCACCACTTTGAACCTACAATAGGGACAGAAAGGTGCATCCATAAAAATGGTCAGACAGTCGGGCCGCCCTAAAGGCAATTCAGGCCTACACTACTAGGCCTGACACTACTACTTACTCTATGGTGGGTTCCAGGTCACAAAGCCATTGAAGGCAATGAGAAGGCGGACAAGCTGGTCAAAGAGGCAGCGAAAACGCCCTTCATTGGACCCCAACCCGGTCGTGGACTACAAGAAAGCCACCTAAAACAAGTAATCAACAGTCTTACAGGTAACCTTACGCTGGAAAGAACTTCCAGGTCACAGACAAGCGAAGAGTATGTAACTCCGTCGCAAAGCAAAACCAAAGAGATTTTATGCCTCAGCTCTCAGATCTAAGGACGCTCTCAAGTTTCCTGACCCCTAAAATACTACCTCTTCCACATTGGACAAGCTGATTATCAAACTTGTCGACTTTGCAACGACGAGTCAGAAACGGCTGAACTTACACTGTGTAATTGCGTTTCCAGAGGCCGCCTAAGACACCTACCGACATAAAAGAACAAGACCTTGGAGCAATACTAAGGTTCATTAAGGATCTACATTTGCCCTAAACTTTTGTGGGGCTAAAGTTACAATAGATTTTATAGGTCGCAGTGACGAGAAGGCCGCTCCCCTCAGCCCGACAACAATAATAATAATAATATTTGTTCTAACCAAAACGTATCATACCACCCCTTAAAAAAATTGTAGGAAGTTGTAACACAAATATTAATGAATGACACATTAATTAAGGCAGTACAAGAACTTTACTAACTTCAACATCATAAAAAGCCTGTGGCAAGGGTGCACATTGTTACCTATACTACTTAAAATAAACATGCAAATCGCCTTTGGTTTACTAAAATTTACTCCGTTAAAAAGATAGAGGCTGAGGCTCTAATCTACTTCAGTTTAACAAGTATCAGCTGATTTATTACAATGTTATAAAAACAGAAGCTGCAGTCGCTTGCGGCAGAGACTCTACAATATAGTCCGTTAAAGAGACATATTAGTACAATGTCATAGAGGTAAAAACCGAGGTCGCTTTCGGCTGAGACTCTACAATTCACTCCGTTAAAGACATGTATTAGTTGATTTACTACAATATCAAAGAGGTAGAAGCCGAGGTCGTTTGCGGCCCAGGCTCTACAGTCTACTTCCTTCATTAAAAAGATATTAGTTAATTTAATGCAATGTTGCAAATGGAGGATGAAACAAAAAAAATCTGGTTCTCAACGATAACGCACCTCGGAAGAAAAATGGATGACTGTGGGAGATGTGAGACGGGAATACGACGTTGATTACAAAAGTGCAAAGACATATCAAAGCCAATAAACTCCCTTTTTTGGTAAAAAAATGTCTAAAACGAGAAAACAATAGTACAACTATTGTTTAACTTGAATATGTATAATAAAGCTGGTTCCACTGATCTTAATGTAAAAAACAACATAGATTTCGGATATGCTAAAACTACCGTGTGTTCCAAATGTCTAGAACTGACAGAAAGAATTAAAGTTGCCGATGACAAAGAAATTTAATGACAATTAAGAGGGTTCACAAGCTAAAACCAAAAGCATTCTTCACAATTTTTAAAGACTTCTTGCACAGTCTTTTGACTGCTAAAAAATATGTCACCTGCGATTTAAGCCAAAGTACATATTTTAATGGATATTTATTGCTGGAATGAAATAAAAAACCAAAAGGTTGCAATGAGTACTATTTTTCCACAATTATACGACACACTAAGTTTGTTTACTGATGGCCTAAACATGGGAGGTCGCCTAAACATAAAATTTTCGGAAAGATTTGCCTGACAAGCACATTAGCAATACTAAGGTTCATCAAGGAGGTAGATTTGCCCTAAATGTCTCATTGCTCTTATTACCTCAATTAGCCAACGAGAGCGCTTTAACCATGACTACTATCCCCTATGTAGTTTTATCAAAAAGATAGTAGAAGTGACCCTTAGATTGCAGATAGTGTATTTATAATTTCCAAGTTTATTTATTATTATTTCAGAATATATGACAAAAAGCAATACGAAATATCCTAAATTTAAATCGATACGTATCAATAAACTCATCAAAATGAATTTCGACGAAGAAAAATTGGCAATTTTAACAACATATAAAAATTTATTTTCCGAAATTGGTTTTGAATATGAAACTTTTTCATCGCACATTTTAATCAAGAAAATTCCCGAATGTTTGCACAGAAAAAACGTGGAAGATGTAAAGTTTAATAAGCATTAAAAAACGTTTCAACGTTTTTCCAATTTTTTAGCAATGCGACGATTTTTTTTGTAAATTCCTTGAGTCGGTGTTAACCGAAGAAATGACAATTTTAAAAGAAACTGGAGGTATTCGATCGAATATTCCACGGTTACTACAACACGTTATGAGCACAGAAGCTTGTAGAGGTGCATAAATAATCATATAAATCCACCAAATTATTTTAATTTTGATTTTAGGTGCGATCAAATTTGGCCGACAACTTACACAGGTGGAAAGTGAAAAATACATGAAAATGTTATCAAAATGCCAATTACCGTTTCAATGTGCTCATGGAAGACCCACATTATATCCTATTTTAGTTTTAAGTCCTTTAGTTAATGAAAATAAGAAAATTAATTTCAAAAAAATTTAAATTTATTATAAGATATACTTTATTTAGTTACTTTATTGAATAAATAATTATTTTAAATTTAATTTTATACGATTTATAAATTGACAAATTTGACCATACCGATGAAACGAACAGGGGATTCCCGGGGTTGTAAAATATATACATAAGGCTATTAGGTTCATGCAAGTACATAGTGCGAATTGACCTGGTAAGCATTTATAGTTTTTATGGTATCTTCATAGTTTGTGTACATTTTTTAAGGTTCTATAATGTCAAAGGATTTAAAGAAAAATCAAAATTTTAGAAACTAAAATTCAAATATTAGACCGTCTACGTAATAGAGAAAGAATAGAAAATGGCAAAAATGTTAGTGATATGGATAGAAGACCACACTCAAAAGCGAATCCTGATCGATACCAATGCTGTTACAAAAAAGCTTTAAAGGTTTATCAATCACTTCAGAGTCAATCGCCGTCGATTTCATCCGGTGAAAAGAAGAGTTCTTTTTCTGCAAGCCATGGGTAATTTGAGAGATTAAAACAAAGACATTCTTTACATTATCTGAGAATGAAAGGTGAAAGTATATCTGCTGATTCGGTTGTATCACAACAATATCCAGCAAAATTTGCTGAAATCATTGCCGCAAACTCCTACACTTCTGATCAGGGTTTCAATGCTGACCAGTCCGAATTATTCTGGAAAAAATGCCGAAAAAAAACCTTCATAGCCAAAGCTTACAAATCAGCTAGTGGTCATAAAGTAGCGGAAAGACGAATAACAGTTATTTTCTGTTGCAATGCTTCAGGCGAATATGATGAAACCATTGGTGATTAACAAATCAAAATCACCACGCTCATTCAAAGAAATAAATATCAAAAACCTTCCTGTCTATTGGATGGCTAATAAAAAAGCATGGATCACTGCCATCGTTTTCAATGAATGGTTCTTTGTTCCTGATGTCAAAAATTATTTAACTAATAAGGGATTGCCGTTTAAGGCTCTTCTATTAATTGATAATGCTCCAGATAATCTCCAGGTAATCTTCCAGATTTACAATACGAAAATGTAAAGGTTGTTTTTGTTCCGAAGAATAGAACTTCCTGATTACAGCCATTAGATCAAGGGACCATTTTAATCATCAATATAGCATTAATATTCGCAGATCACTGAGTTAGCCCATACTATGAGGAGAAGGTTTTGAAGATTTAGCTGAGGCAGATGAAGATGATTTAATTAACATAATTTATCATACAAAGAAACATGATGAAGACATGATTCAGATGAAAAGCAATCTGAACCAGTTGCGTTCACAGCAAGAATCATAAGCGTAACACTTGAATTAGGAAGAAAATTGGGCAACCAATTTCAGCGAGAACTTCGTAAATGCTTAAATCAATATGAAGAACTCTAAAAATTTAGCAAAAAAACATACGTAATTGTTAATTATTTTTGTTTTACTTAAATAAATAATTGAATCATGCACATTTTGATTTTTTTTCGTTTTACATGATGGTTTTGTACAAAACCTAACCGTGTAAATCGAGGGATGTGTATTTAAAATTTTCGAATTGACGCGGGAACCAGAAAGAAAAATCGCGCATGCGCCTTAGCTACTTTAAACTTCCACCAAACCAAATTCTATTTATGTTTAATTAATTATATTATTTTATTTAATTACCTTAAATAATTCAATAAAACCATTAAATTTATAAAATCAATAAGATTTACATTAATTTTAATAATATTTTCGTTACACCAATTATAATTATTTGTAGTTTTAATGTTGGCAACGTGGAAATCTTTCATTTCAGTGAACGTCAAAAATGGCTTCGTCTGACATTACCGCCGGTGTTGCTATATTCGAAAATGGATTAACTACAGGTTCAGAAAACGTAAGTATATTATTAACATATTCTACAATCTTTGGATAAAACGTAAATTTTGTGTCGAACGCGACCGGTATAAATCAATTTTAAAATGTACGAAGGAAAAAAATAAAAACCACTCTCGATTTCGACCGTTGTTGGGATCGCGTGTGTTGGTAGTTCCGGAATTAGTCGCACCACGCTTTTTAGGTTAGGTTATCGGGGGGGTGTTCCTTTGCGTTTTTGGGCGCGAATACAATTGGTATTGTAAAAACGTGGTTTGATTAATAAATCAATTTAAGGTAAATTTATTTTGGCTCTTAATAAAAGTAAAAATCTCTAAGAAAAAAGTTTATTTGTTAAGTAATGATAAGAAGGCATGGACTCAAATTTAATCATTTTTTGTTTTATAAGTAGATAGTGGGATGACTAAGAAATCAATTTTATTTAATAAAATGATTAATCCTTTGTTTAAACCTGTTTATATATAGAATTAAATAAAATAAATAATATAATTGTTACATACTGTATAAGGTTATCCAACTTCCTATGAACGTATCCCCCCGCAAAGGCCTTGTTGTGACGTCATTGGAAGAATTCACATTTCTACGTTTTTATTTATACAGTGAATTTCACTAGAAGTAATACACAAAAAATATATTTCCATAGAAACTAGAGCGTACCTACTTTGTCCATGTCAAATAATTTGACATTACAAACCTCGATGTAACGAATCAATATGAGAAACGCAGTGTTGGGTAGTGCTAGTGAAAAACTAGAACTAACACTAGACTTAGAACTAGAAACATTCGGGTTTAGCCGTGTATCTTCAGACGCACGTCTAAACTTATAATTGTTGTGTAGCGCTAGACCAAGAACTAGAATCATTCGGGTTTAGCCGTCTTGAGAGACGTGCGTCTAAACTCAAATGTTTCTAGTTATAGGTCTAATGTTAGTTCTAGTGACATTGCAAGTGTAAAACTAACACTATTCCTAGAACTAGAATCATTTGGGTTTAGCTGTCTTGAGAGACTTGCGGCTAAACCCAAATAATTCTAGTTCTAGGAATAGTGTTAGTTCTAGTGACAGTGCAAGTGTAAAACTAGAACCAACACTAGACCTAGAACTAGAATCATTTGGGTTTAGCCGCACGTCTCTCAAGACAGCTAAACCCAAATGATTCTAGTTCTAGGTCTAATGTTTGTTCTAGTGACATTGCAAGTGTAAAACTAACACTACACCTAGAACTAGAATCATTTGGGTTTAGCCGTCTTGAGAGACGAGCGGCTAAACCCAAATAATTCTAGTTCTAGGAATAATGTTAGTTCTAGTGACAGTGCAAGTGTAAAACTAACACTACACCTAGAACTAGAATCATTTGGGTTTAGCCGTCTTGAGAGACGAGCGGCTAAACCCAAATAATTCTAGTTCTAGGAATAATGTTAGTTCTAGTGACAGTGCAAGTGTAAAACTAACACTACACCTAGAACTAGAATCATTTGGGTTTAGCCGTCTTGAGAGACGTGCGGCTAAACCCAAATAATTCTAGTTCTAGGTATAGTGTTAGTTCTAGTGACAGTGCAAGTGTAAAACTAGAACTAACACTAGATCTAGAACTAGAATTATTTGGGTTTAGCCGTCTTGAGAGACGTGCGGCTAAACCCAAATGTTTCTATACCTCGAACTAGAATCATTCGAGTGTTAGTTCTAGTTTTAATTGTTATTAAGCGATAAATTGTTGTCTACACTAAAAGAAATAGATTGTACGAATCGTATTATAGAAAAAATGTTATACATGCAGCAATTCATTGTATTATATTCATTATATTTATTGTACTGAATACAATCTCGTCTCGCTGTCACTTTTCGTAGTAAAGTATTATACCTTATAGTATATTTTTAGTGCATAGTACAATCCATTTCTCTCAGTGTAGAATACTATACTTTGTCCACGACTATTGAAATTGATTCCATAAATTTATTTTTTAAATAAATTTTTGAATAAAGGTTAAACGTCAATGTGACACAAATTCAATGTCACTAACTGTAACCAACTTCACAACAATTTGTCAAAATTAAATGTCAATTTTATAAAACGTCGTTTTCTTTACGAAAATTAATTAATTTATGCTTAAATCATACGAAAATGATTATTATTCACTGCTTAAAAAGTGACTACCATTTTTTTTTAGGAAACTCATTCAAAAGGTATATATTATAAGGTAGTGGTGGACAAATATTATTATTATACATTATATTAATATTACATGTGTATTAGAAATTATAATATTATATTTTTCTTCCAATGACGTCACGTTACTACCTCACCCCGTCAACGTCAGTTTATTAGAGTTGGATAACCTTATATTATAACTAATACTCAGCAGACCTTGGATTTTGTAGTGAAATTAACATTTCAAATGTCAAATTATTCTAACCTTAAACGTCAAAAAAAAATGACACAATACATTAAGTTTTTTTAAATCTTGTTATAATTGTTTTATTTAGATGGATAAATCGAAATTGGAAACGATGGATATCACCCCAACGAAAGAAACGGTTTCTGCGGATGAAATGACATCGAGAGACTATTATTTTGATTCGTACGCTCATTTTGGTATACACGAGGAAATGTTAAAAGACGAAGTGCGCACGTTGACCTATCGTAACTCAATGTACCACAATAAACATCTTTTCAATGGTAAAATTGTGATGGATATCGGTTGTGGAACGGGAATTTTGAGCATGTTCGCCGCGAAAGCAGGTGCAAAACATGTTATAGCCGTTGAGTGTTCGAATATCGTTGATTACGCGAAAAAAATCGTTGAAACTAACAAATTGGATCATATTATAACGATTATTAAGGGTAAAGTTGAAGAAATTGATTTACCCGAAGGTATCGAAAAGGTTGATATAATTATATCGGAATGGATGGGTTATTGTTTGTTTTACGAAAGTATGTTGGATACAGTATTATACGCTCGTGATAAGTGGTTGAAACCGGACGGTGCGTTGTTTCCGGATCGTTGTTCATTATTTATAACGGCTATTGAAGATAGACAGTATAAAGATGAAAAAATTAATTGGTGGGATGACGTTTACGGTTTCGATATGAGTTCAATTAGGAAAGTGGCTATAAGCGAACCTCTCGTAGACGTCGTTGATCCAAAACAAGTCGTAACCAACGCGTGTTTGGTTAAAGAAGTTGATCTGTATACCGTTAAGAAGTCTGATTTGGATTTTTCGACGCCGTTTCATTTACAGGTTCGTCGAAACGATTACGTTCAAGCGCTGGTTACATTTTTTAATGTTGAATTTACAAAATGTCATAAAAGAATCGGGTTTAGTACGGCTCCCGAGGCACCTTATACTCATTGGAAACAGACTGTTTTTTATTTCGAAGAACATCTTACCGTTAAAAAGAGCGAGGAGATTTTCGGAAAGTTTGAGATGAAGCCGAATCCGCGTAATAACCGCGACTTGGACTTTGTGATTGAAATTGACTTCAACGGTGAATTGGGTGGTGTGCATGAAATAAATCGATACAGGATGCGTTAACGCGAAATTTACTTTTCATACTCTATTTTTTATTGTCTTCTTTTTAATTACGTCGATAAAAAATTTAGTAATCCACCCAGTTTCTTGTTTTTTTTTATTATTATTAAAAATAGTTTCAATTCATTTTTTTTGATTTTTCATTTTTCTTAGTATTCTTATCTTAATTAATCAGCCTTAATTAACTTATTTTGTTGTAGAACTAGTCGTTTTATAAAAAATAAGTAAAACGTGGTTTTGTTAATTAGTACTTTGCCTTTGATGATTTTGTGTCGCTACAATTTGAATCTCGCGTGACCAAATTTTTATAGGACTTCGATAAATCGTGTTCGAATAAACAGAAAGACATAGAATTGTTTAATAACCCCCGCCCCCTCCCGTTTTTGTCAGTTTCTATTTTGCATGTAATGAATCGAGTGCACTAAAATAAAGTAATTTAAAATAACGAAACGTGTAAACTAAATAAAACCTTTAGATCAAGATACATTTTATACATTATTACAACTGCTGGATTGAATTTTTTATAATCCAAAATCTGTTTAGTTTACCCTCATTAAAAACGTTTTTGTCTTCTTTGAAAAGTGGCTATAGTTGTCAATAAGAACTGTAAACAACAAAAAAAAATGGACTTGCAATAAAAAACAACAGTTTCACACCAGTTTCTTTTCCTTGTATTTATTTATTTACCCTATAAATTATCTTACAATTTAACCGCGTTATGCATCACTTGACTAAGCAATATTTTATCGTTTTTAGAGATTTTCATGGTGTCTGGTAGGTAAAAGTGTAACTTATCTTAGAAAAAATGCAGAATACCGAAAGACCTAAAATACTATTTGTTTTAAAGGATAAAGCTAAGCGCGTTATACGATTTCAAGTCCGATTTGCATCGTATGTCTAAGAACCGACTTAGATACACCAAGAAATTCTACAATAGAAAAAATAGATGAACCTACAATTTCGGGCCAGTGTCGTTTTCTAGATGTTAGTATAAAATTAAAAGTTTATGTCTTATTTTATATAGAATTTAAGTCTAACTAGTTTCTGCCCTTGGCCATCTTCAGAGACTCTACAAATAGATTAACATCTTTCATCTTATCCATTTTACAAACGACAGCAGTAGGTAGCGCTAGTTATTATAAGATATCACTATGTTGCATATTTTTATTACACTAAAACTAGAACTAACAAAATTTTCTAGGTCTTAGTGTTAGTTCTAGTTTTACACTATCACTAGAACTAACACAAATCCAAGAACTAGAATCACCAGAATGATTCCAGTTCTAGTTCTAATGACAGTGCAAGTGAAAAACTAGAACTAACAATATATCTAGAACTAGAATCATTCAGATTTGGCCATCTTTAGAAACGTGCGGCTAAACCCAAATGATACTAGGTTTAGTGTTAGTTTTACACTTACACTGTCACTAGAACAAACATTAAACCTAGAAACATTTCGGTTTAACTGTACGTCTCTTAAGAGTACTAGAGTGAATAATAGCGGTGAATAATCATTAAATAATAAACTTGACAGACTGATAATAATTATTAGAAACGTCAAAATTTCAGAAAACGTCAATTTAATTTAATTTTTTTAAGACTTTTTAAAGGTTTGACATTAAAAAGACGTAAACAAACTCCTTTTTACGTATGATTTAGGCATAAATTAATTAATTTTCGTAAAAAAAAATATGACGTTTCATAAAATTGACATTTAATTATGACAAATTGTTGTGAAGTTGGTTATATTGAATTTGTGTCACATTGACGTTTAAACTTTATTCAAAAAATAAATTTGTCCACGTCTAACTTATAATCTTTGATTATATATAATATAGATTGAGCCAACGAAAGAGATAGCTTGCGCAAGGTGATCGAACCGAGATAGATATAGAAGCGTACTGACATATAATGGGCGTGCGTTAATTTTGGCGGTAAATTTAAAACAAAATTAATAAATGAAAAAAGAAAAATAAAATAAAATTTCCTTATTATTTATAATACTTACAGGTGATGTGAAACTGTATTATCGCGAACTTTGCACACGAAACAATACATTTTTAAACATAACGGTGTGACTGGCTGTGACACAACAAAACGATAAACGTCAAATGGAAGAGGTTTGACACTTTTGTGCACATGCGCCCGTCTGTTTAGTACCTTTTTATGTCTATCTTTGTTACACTTTCACATTATCGCTTTCCATCGGCGTCTATTCACCTTGAGCCACATTTTTGTTAGTAGATATATTCAGTTAGCTCAATCCATATTATATATAATCAAAGTGAGGCACTCAATAAAAGTTAGAATAAAAAACATTAAACCCAAAGTTAGCAACAATAAAGATAGCAATTTAATTTTTAAATATTAATACCAACCTTAATTTTTTATTTTTTTTATTATATTATTTTTGTTTTTGTGACAAATATTAAGATATATAAAAATTAAGAATATGTCAAAATGACATTGACATTTCAAACCGGAAATTGAGTAATATTGGAATTAAACGTATCATGTTTGGACTCATTTTAATAGTTATTTAACCACCAAGTCTATTAATGAAGGCGATTAATTATCGAGATATTTTAACGCAATTTAATATACGAGTTAGTTACAATATTTTTCCGTTGACCGTCTTTTCAACAAAATAGAGAAAATCCATCGTTGAAAAATCTCCCAATTCTGCATATATATACTATCTCCTATATCGCTGACTCCCTATCTAAGCAATGAGTGGCGAGCGTTTCCATCAAAAGAAGACGGAATGATATATGTTTTGTCTTTGTCGTACCCCCGTGTCGCGAAAGCGCTAGCGCGAATCGTAAATTTTAAAGAGTTTGAAGTGTTTCGCGCGTATTTTATAGCTTTAAAATGCAATTATTATTATAGATGGTTTACTTTAACTATAAATTATCACTGATGCATCAAATAAATTAGAGTATTATGTACTCTAAATGTTTATAAAGAAAAATGTTTCAAGAAAAGGAGGACTTTGAATTCTTTTTTATTACACTGAGACCTTTCCTTCTACCTGCTTAACCAATTTTTAGGACCCAAAAATATCTCCACTACTCTTTTTCTTTTTTATTTTACTTTTAACACATTTGCTTCACTTTCTTAACAAATAACAATTACATTTTAAATTGCTTAGTCCTAAAATATGTTAATAATTATGTTATTATACACATGAAACCTATAATATACATAACTAAATATTTAGATTTTAGGTTATGTTTATGTCAAACATTTATTTGTTGATTTATAAACATCAAGGTCATCAGTTGCTATTAATTTTTAATTCACCGTCCAATAAGATAAAAGCGTACTCATCACGTGTTCACACATGTCTCTTGAGTCGACGGGGGTACGACAAAGACAGATATATATATATCTGCACTCTAGTGTTTACACTCTTTTGCTGCCTTAGTTAGCGATATAGAAGATAGTATATATATGCAATTCTGTCACTGGCAAAATAACCTCACTTTTAATGTGTCATAATTTATTTTTGTAGTCTTACCGAATAGATATAGTGGTCGGTTGGGTCGGTATTACAAATTTGATTGGAGAATATTTATTAAATTGACTACTATATTAGTTCGGTCGGACTTTCTTAAAATCGTTTATTAATAGAAAATCGTTTATTAATAGGTGTCATTAATGAATGATTTTGTATACATTTATAAATCATATAAATACACGGTCGACGGAAAAGAATTTTTCACGACGATTACAAATACGCATGGAAAACAAGCACAATGATTCTAATGTTCAAAACAGGAGATAAGAAAGAAACAACTACAGAGGCATAAACCTACTTATATTCAATAGCCTTCTCTATTACCTGCCTAACGACAAAAACCGCGTCAACAGTCGAACGATTCTTCTATGATGCGCTGACCCAGTATGCCAGTAAACAGATTCATAGAGGTGTTATATTTCTTATTACACACCAATTGTTACATTTATGGGTAGATGCAGATATGCAAATACCAAGTATTCCAACACTACAGTTAGTATTAAAAAAATTAAAGACTTTACTTATGTTAATTTGTAAATAACATTGTAGTAAATTCATAAGAAACTAAATTTTTGTTAAAATTAACCAAAATCGCATGTTATAACTTGTTAATACTTTGTTTTAATTAAATTAGTGTGTTATTAAAATTCAGTAAAAATAAAAACGGCTAGTTATCGTTTTTAAGGCTGAAAGTTTAATGTTAATTGTACAAAACAAAAAAATAATAACTCTCTCAAATTAAAATAAATTTATGATTTTAAATTCTTAATTTAAGTATTTTAGCATCACTTCTTAACTGGATAAAGCTGTTAACTATAGATGGATCCAAATCAACCTATTTTTAATTAAAAAAATTAATAATTTTATATTAGCAATAAATAAAACATCTTACTAATGAATCTTCTCGAACTTGATCCAAATTTTCTGGTTTAACCAATAATAAATTGCAAAGTGCGTGGAGTGTTTCAAAAAGTTTTGCAACTAAAGGACCCAATGGTTTTGTACATGACCTATATTCGTTTAAATCGCAAATTACAATCATACCACCTATAAAAAAAATGAATTAAATTATTTAAGCAGTTTAAATAAAACATAATTACCTAAGGTATTATATTGAAATTGTAAGAGGTGTTCATAAATAACTTTATGAAGTTTAATACCCAATTCTTGAAGAATAACAACAACGTTATTTCCATCTAAATTGTTTGTTATTTGACTTATTGTGTTGGTGATATATTGAGTAACTCCACGGCAAGCCTTAAATAAAATTTAAATAATAACCAACATAAAGAGAAAAAAATTAAATAATTACGTTTGACGCAACAGTATTTATATCATCCGTATCCGGTTTAAAATCACTTTTCTTTTGCTCACTTTGTAAATAAAGTTTGACCCACGTAACAATAGCGGTTAAACAACTAAAATGATTTAAACGTTAATTTAATAATTTGCCTAAAAATACAAAATATACCGATCAAAACCAATATTAACTTTCTTTTCAATCTCTTCCAATCTCTGTTTTTTCATTTGTAAGCATTCGCTGTACTTTTCCGGGCTTCTACATAAAAAAAATCATTTTAATCATCAAATTTTGGTTGTTTCATATTTTTTAATACTTAGTAACTAACGGAACCACCAAATCAACAAATTGTTTTTCCAACAAATGTATTATGTTATTACTTTGATGAATAACCGTAAAAAAATAGAAATTCGGAGGAATTTTTGGTCCTTCAACGACCGGAATTGATTGAAGACCCAATTCGATTGCGTAAGCAATATGATCAATCAATAAATATTTTTGTAATTCATCCAAAATTCTTACTGCGTTTGAAGCTTTCTCATCTGATTTTGATAACTAAAATATAAAATAAAAATTAACCTTTCGATAGTTATTTTAATTGAAAATATTTAACTGAATACAAACATTCGAAATTGTTAATAAGTAATAACAATTTTAATAAGTATTAAATAGTTGTTAAATTTGTGTATATAAGAGATAAATAAAAGCCTGTTTAGTCGTGTTAAGAGACGAATGGTTAAACCCAAATATTTCTAGTTCTATTTCTAGAGTTAGTTCAAAAAATATACAATCTAGCACAGTCTTTAGACCTAGAACTAAAAACATTCGGGTTTAGCCGTCTTAAGAGATGAATAGCTAAACTCGAATGTTTCTAGGTGTAGTGTTAGTTCTAGTGACAGTGTTAGGTAACACTAATTGTAAGTAATACTAGATAACGCTCGGTTGTAGTATATTTTTATTGCATTAAAACTAGAACTAACACTAGACCAAGAAATATTTAGTTCTAGATCTAGTGTTAGTTATAGTTTTATTATTCAGTGTAATTATTCAAGTAATAATCGTGCGGGCGCAAATAAACGCGGTGTTCCCCTTTGAAATTCCACCATTAAACTCCCACTATTGGAAAAAATAGATGTGGTGTACATTTTATATTATATTTTACAATATAAGTTGGGCAATTTACGTAGTGTGTTAGTCATTATCTGATCTTGGAGACGAATTGTACACCACAATTGTCAAAATTTTACAAAATGGAACGATGAAAAGGTTCGCGACAGAAACATCAGTCCGGTGAACTACGAAAGAATACGAGGAAGAAGAGAAAGGCACCAAAAAATCAACACCAAGCTGAGCAAGAGGAAATGAGTGTAAGCACAGCCGCAAAAAAAAAAGAAATTAAAAACAGTCCTGGAACTGTTTTTACTACTATATCTGAATGTGTGAAATGTAAATAGTCCACAATAGGCGAAGTCTCTCTTCAGCCCACAATCTAATCCTGTGTTTGGTCATCGCAAATGATACATCAACTGCTGGTTCTGGCCCCACAAACGCTTAATCTCTGCCCTCTCGTGCTAGCTCATCTGCCGCTTCATTGCCAGCAACCCCAGAGTGACTTGGGACCCAGATCAGAGAAACTCTGTTATCACAACTCAGTGTGTTTAATGTTCTCCTACTGTCATTAACCAGAGGCGACACCGTTTTCACGGCTTGCAGAAAAATCGTACTGTCATGTTCTTCACCCTTCTCTCAAGAAGGAATTCGATGCTACAAAATCCGGCAGATCGTTTATGTAGATCAAAAAAAAATCGTTCCAAGAACCGAACCTTGCGGAATTCCTGTTTCGACTCTCTTCCACTCCTATATTTCACCTTTCCAGTTTATTTGTTGTTGTCGCTGATCCAGATATGAAACTAACAGGTTAAGGGCCTTATCCCTTATTCCGTATTTGTTCAATTTCTTAGTCAGAATGTCATGATTTACAAGATCAAAAGCCTTGCTAAGATCACAAAAGGCTATTTGAGTATATTTTTGTTCATCAAAACCTCTTATGATCACTTGTAACATATTAAGCAATCAATTTCCAAAATTTTTGACATTGTGGGTACGACAGAGATTGGACGATAGTTATGCAGGTCGTTGGGATCTCCAGGTTTCTGTATTGGTATAATTTTCCCGTATTTTAGTTCTTTTGGAAAAGTTCCCTCTTTCATACATTTATTGGAAATGACTGTTAATTATTTAGAAACACAAGTTATTAGTTCTTTTAAGACTTTTGTTGATAATCCATATACAGGGTGTATCTAAATTGATGCGAAAGATTTTAAGGGGTGATTTTTCAGCGAAAATTAAGGGGTATTATTATTTATTTATTTTTTTTTTTTGATTAAATTAATTTTGGGAGAAACTGTTGTTAATATTTAAAAATTTGTCATTATGACATCAGCCTACTTGATATTTTTACATAAATAATAACCATACTGTGAATTTGTGTGAAATAGGTATTTTATTTTTTTATGGACAAACTAACAATTTAGGAGAAAATGTTAAGAGACAAAAAAGTTGCATATTGAACCCTCTATTTAAATAAATTTTTTAAATAGAAAAATGTAGACGCATTAAAAAGTTCTGATGCGAAGTATCATAGGGGTAGATTTTTTCACCCCTTTATAAAAACATATTAGGGACATAAAAATCGTCAAAAAATGTCACCTTACTAGTAATAGTTGTCTGCCAAATTTCATTCTTCCAAATTCTTCCATAGTGGATTTATTAAAGAAAAACCATTTTTTCCCCTAACTTTGGGCTGTAACTTGGAGGAGAAGTGGTTTTGACCAAAAAGTTATATGAAAGACCTTAATTTTAATTTTCGTTGAAAAATTACCCCTTAAAATCTTTCGCATCAATTTATATACACCTGTATAGTCATGTACTCGTTTTTTTCAGGTCTTTTACTATTTGTAGCAGTTACTCCTCCTGTCGAGTAGAAATGAATTTGTATTAGGTTAATTGTTGCTAGTCTAATTGTCTGCAGTTTACGAATGAGTCATTCAAAACGTTTATGTTTAAGTTAGAGAGCTTTTACGATTTATTTTCACCTTTTCCGTATTCTTCTTTTACAAGCTTCCAAGCGGCTGAAGCATATTTAACACGTTTAACACTTTGTGTCCCGACGATACTTTAAAGTACCGGTAGTTTTAAACAGTCATTTTAAGCTGTAGTTATCTATTCGGCGCATTTAGAGCTGTCGGTACTTTTTAATATACAAGAAAGAATCTATAAAAAACGTCGCAATCCGCACTGTAGGGTTTTTAGGTACATTTAAACTTATTCATCCAGATGTGAGGTTAGAAGTTTAGTGAAAAGTGGTGCTGTTGAATTTTGTTGTTCAAAAAGGTATTTCTTTGATAAATGGTTAGGTGTGATTATTACAGATCATTTTAAAAAGAAAACATTGAGGTTTAATTTAAAATAAGTTTCATTCCGTAATTTCAATAAATACGGCTTCCAGGAATTTTTAAATTAGCATCTTTTTTGACACTCTTAGGTTATAGGAAAATGTAAGTTTTATTTCAACATTTTTTTTCTCTATATTTTTCCAATCCAACCCAACAATTATTATACATTATTTTAAAAAGAAAGCTTTGAGCTTTAATTTAAAATAAGTCTCATTCCTTAATTTCAATAAATACGGGTTCCAGAAATTTTGAAATTAGCATCTTTTTTGACACTTTTAGGTTATACGAAAATGTAAGTTTTATTTCAACATTTTTTTTCTTAATATTTTTCCAATCCAACCCAACTATTATTATACATCATTTTAAAGAGAAAGCTTTGAGCTTTAATTTAAAATAAGTTTCATTCCTTAATTTCAATAAATACGGCTTCCAAGAATTTTTAAATTAGCGTCTTTTTTGACACTTTTAGGTTATACGAAAATGTAAGTTTTATTTCAACATTTTTTTTCTCTATATTTTTCCAATCCAACCCTACAATTATTATACATCATTTTAAAAAGGAAGCTTTGAGCTTTAATTTAAAATAAGTCTCATTCCTTAATTTCAATAAATACGGGTTCCAGAAAGTTTTAAATTAGCACCTTTTTTGACACTCTTAGGTTATACGAAAATGTTAGTTTTAACTCAATACTCTTTTTCTCAATATTTTTCTAATTCAACCCATCGATTATTATACATCGATTTAAAGAGAAAGTTTTAAGCTTCAATTTAAAATAAGTTTTATTTCTTAATTTCAATAAACACGGTTTCCAGGAATTTTTGAATTAGCATCTTTTTTGACACTTAGATTATGCGAAAATAGGGGGATTGCATATTTTGCTAACATTGATTCCAAAGGCCTTTACTGAGTGTATTTTGATAGCCTTTTAATTCTGTCACAGTTTCAAAAATTTTGACTTCTTGGGACACAAAGGGTTAAGCATATTGCTTATATCTGTAAATGGTAGTTTTAGCCACTTTCTCTATATGCAAATGCAAAGGAGATAGGCACCATTATTATTATAGTGAACTGTAATTTAACTTGTACACAACTGGTTGTTTGTAGTACAGTGCTATTGGGTTCGACCTGTTTTTGTACCCACAAAAAAAATATCGTCTGTATAATGTTTTAGGCATTCATGCAGATCCAAAGCTAGTATTTTTTATGCCACATTCAGCAGAGTATATATTAATGGATCTCCCTTCTTATTAAGGGGTACCAGCACCCTAATTTAATTGTTATTCTATATTGTTGTATATTTTTAATGAATTAAAACTAGAACTACCACTAGCTCAAGAACTAGAAATATTCGAGTTTAGCTTAGTCTTCAGACAACAAAAACTTTAAACATTAATTTAACCCACCAAAAGACATCTTTGAAACGCTAATTTACTATCTTGTAACACAGTAATGGCCAATTCTTCTGATAAAAATGTTTCGCCTCCATAATTTTCAATTTGAGCAATATTTAAGTTGGTTCTTGTACCGATTGCTGCTTGGATATCCCTCCTTAATTCTTGGAAACTTCACAAAACAACATTTAAGTTTTATTTTAACACTTTAAGTTTTATTCTTACCCCCCAGAATGTAACTGTCTCTTTTGATGATTCTTTGATTCATAATATTTCTTCAAAACGTCCGCGAGACGACCTTTTAAACAATCCAATTCTAAACTGAAACATTAAAAACGTTAAAATCACCTTAATTTCGTCACTTTAAATTATTTACTTGATGTAATTTTCAATGTACGATTTATAAATGTTGTTTGTAAGTTTTTCTAAGAAAGATTTATCGCTCATATTTGCTGATTCTAAATTGGAGGAGAGTTGAAGAGTCCTACAAACAATTTAAAATCAAAGATAGTTTTTAAAAAATTGATTTTTACCTCGAATAAAGATCATATAAAACTTTTAAATAATTATAAGTATCCAATTTAGTAATGGATAATCGTTCTTGTATGTACATTTGTAAATGGGAATGATACAAATTAAGAACATATTTAGAGATAACTTGTTCGGGGTTATTAAAAACTTGTTTAATGATTTCATAGCTGTTTTTGCACAAATTTAGCATATAAAGAAACACATCTTTATTTGATAAACAACCCTAAAACAAAAAAAAAGCATAAAAACAAATAAATCCTGAATTAAAATCACAACCTTTTGACTCTGAACAATGAATGAATCAACACAATCCGAATAGCTTTTAAATTGTGATAAAACCCCAGCAATTTCTTTCATTTTTTTATAATCATTTTTAGTTTGCGCCGTTCGAAAATCTTGTATTAACGCCTTTTCAACATCATCATATTGATTTTTTATCTGTTTAATTATAGAACCGAACCTTAAACATCCAAAATATTAAATTACGTAACAACAAACAAAATTTTTACCTGTCTGATGGCAAATCTTGAGATATAATTTGCAATTTTCGAATAATTTCAGCAACCTCTGTCAACTAAGCAACAAAAAAGGTAATACAAATAAATTAAAAAGTGTTTAATAGACATTACATTTGTGGAATCGTCAAATAAAGGTGAAGAATAATTGTTTGGAGATAAAAACCCGTTTAAATGAGTCATTAATTTTTGTGCTTCAACCACACGTTGTCTCGGGGCGTTTATATTATCTAATTGGTCGCCTAAATGTAAAACTTTCGCCCCAACTATGTTTATTTTACCATCTAATTCTTGAAATGTATCAATAGCATTCTGTGGAAATTATAAAAATTAATTTTAATAATCACTAGTTATTTTTTAAAACTGAACCTTGTTGCTATCTAATAATCCATGAATTTCTTTCCTGAATATTGCCTCATCATCCTGTACACGCGCCTCTAATCTTTCACATTTTTTTTGTTGCCGTTCTTGAAGTAATGTTAAATCCCTACAAATTTATTTAAAACAAGAATTACTTCAAAATTTCGTTGTGAATTATATAGGTGATTACTTTATAGCTTGCACGAAAGAATCGTGTAAAACCACCGGATTAAACTCTTCGTTTCCTCCTTCTTTCGTTTCGGCAATAGTTCGCCAAGCTAACCTTTCTACGAATTCTTCCGCATCAAATGGTTCCTAATAAAAAAACAAATTGTGTTGGATATAAATTTATCGTTTTTTCTTTTTTATTACTTGTTCTAATTCTTTTAGATATTGTTGCATCATTTTAAATAAGTACTTTCATAAACAGAGCTTGTAGAAATCAAGATTTTTTTAGGTTATGTATATTTTGACAGCTGTCATTTGGTTATTAAGGTTATTAAACAACATTGGGGATTTGGAGCATATTACAAAAAAACTTTTAGAACAAAAGTTGTAGCAAATTTTATTCTTAACAATATTGCTCTGTTGCATTTTTACTCTCAGACACATAGCTTTCGAGAAAAGTACGAAAATAATCAGTTTTCATGAATTTCGTTGCTTTACTCACTGCTAATGGTAACATTCGGGATTCGGAGAATATTACAAAAAAACTTTTAGAACAAAAGTTGTAGCACATTTTGTTCAGATAACGAGAAAAATACACAAATATTGAGATTTCATGAATTTCGTTGCTTTACTAGCTGCTAATGGTAATATTCGGGATTTGGGGCATATTTCAAAAAAAATTTTAGAACAAAAGTTGTGGCAAATTTTACTCTTAAGAATATTGCTCTGTTGCACTTTTACTCTCAGACACATAGATAGCGAGAAAAATACACAAATATTGAGATTTCATGAATTTCGTTGCTTTACTAGCTGCTAATGGTAACATTTGGGATTCAAAGCATATTACAAAAAAACTTTTAGAACAAAAGTTGTAGCATATTTTGTTCTTAACAACATTGCTCTTTTGCACTTTTGCTCTCAGACACATAGATAGCGAGAAAAATACAAAAATATTTGAGATAAATTTGGTTGCTTTACTAGCTGCTAATGGTAACATTTGGCATTCGGAGCATATTACAAAAAAACTTTTAGAACAAAAGTTGTAGCAAATTTTGTTCTTAATAATATTACTCTCTTGCACTTTTGCTCTCAGACACATAGATATCGAGAAAAATACAAAAATATTGAGATTTCACGAATTTCGTTGCTTTACTAATTGCTAATAGTAACATTTGGGATTCGGAGCATATTACAAAGAAACTTTTAGAACAAAACTTGTAGCACATTTTGTTCTTAACAATATTGCTCTTTAGCACTTTTACTCTCAGACACATAGATATCGAGAAAAATACGAAAATATTGAGATTTCATGAATTTCGTTGCTTACTAGCTGCTAATGGCAACATTCGGGATTTTGTAGCGAACCGTGGGGTCAATTAAATTTATTGTTTGATTGTGTTTTAATTTCCAATTTTGTAAAGGTTCTCTGTATGATTTCTCCCCTACTTTACTTTAGCGCGAACGTTTCAACTGTGCGAATTGCCGACCAATGGAACGATTGTTTAGATTGGTAACGTTCGGAAAGAAAGGGTTTAAGAATCTCAGACAGGAAAAAGAACAGTAGTCCGCAGTTGAGTCCAGTTTGGATAAGTTCGAGTTAAGTTCGAATCGGGCTCGAGTTGGAGTTCCAGTTGAGTGGAGTTTTTGGAAATGGATTCTTGAAAAAGAAGTTGGAAGCAGCAGAAGCTGTTCCAGAAGGTCAAGAAGTAGAAGAGTCAAAACGAAAATTGAGAAATAACATCGCTGGTCGGAAGAAACCAGTATCACAATGAGATTTTTAAACCTGTGTGAGTAACATTCTGTAAATTAATACTAATTGCTTTCGTTCTGTTGGTTGGTATGTGTTTTTGTATACCTAATTTGGTACGTTTTTGTTTGATAACTTTTGACCAATAATTTTTATTTGATAAGGTTCGTTCAATAATTTTTGTTTGGTTAATTTTGTTCAATAATTTTGTTTGTAGTTTTTATTTAATAAATTTTAAAAGTAAAGATTAAAATCTGAATTTTCTTTTATCTAATTTTTCCAAATTAATAATTGCGTGACAAATTTCTATTTGTCGCATACGCGTTGCACACCCACACATTTATGTAAAAGCCGCTCCTTACAATTTGGAGAATATTACAAAAACTTTTAGAACAAAAATTGTAGCAAATTGCTGCTAATGGTAACATTCGGGATGCGGAGCATATTACAAAACAACTTTTAGGACAAATGTTATAGCACATTTTGTTCTTAACAATATTGCTCTCTTACACTTTTGCTCTCAGACACGTCATAGATAGCGAGAAAATACGAAAACATTGAGATTTCATGAATTTTGTTGCTTTACTAGTTGCTAATGGTAATATTCGGAATTCGGAGCATATTACAAAAAAACTTTTAGAACAAATGTTATAGCAAATTTTGTTCTTAACAATATTGCTCTCTTGCACTTTTGCTCTCAGACACATAGATGTCGAGAAAAATATTGAGATTTCATAAATTTTGTTGCTTTACTTTAATTTTTATTAACGAAAAACAATAATTTTGTTTTAATTTTATTTAATATTAAATTGCAAGTTTTCCTAAATTGCTGCTTATCACAATAGGTTCTAAAGTTTCTGTAATAATTCCAGTTGCGACGGTAACATTATTCTCTCGTATCGTAAAAACTTGCCCCATTGTCATAACCATTTTCCATTGCGTCGTTAAATAAACTTGTCCATGATCCCCAGGCAAAATCATTTCGGTACCTTCAACTTAAAAATTAAAGAAATTAGTAATATTAATATTCGTTGGTTAAAAAATTCTAACCTAGATCTAATCGACAAGGAACATTCCAAGTTTTACTAAAAAGCTGTTGAATGTATTTACTAAGAACGGGTTTTGATCGTCCACCTTCCGATTTTGATAGAAAATAAATACTGGCTTTATAGCGATTACTTAATTTTTCACTACCCGGTTTACAAAGTAGCATTCCACGATCAACTTGTTTTAATCGGACACCTCGTAAAAGAGCACCAATATTATCACCAGCAGAAGCCTAAAAATAAAATTCATCAAAATAAATTTAAATATAGTGTTTTTTAATACATTTGGAACACTTTTTTTAAAAATTTGAATGTCATTTATCCCTGTTTTAACATCTGTATCAAATCCAAGAAGTTGAGCTTCATCATTTTTCTTCATAACACCTCTTGCTAAAGTACCAACAACTACAGTTCCTCTACCAGGAAGTAGAAACGCATTATCTATGGGTAGCATAAATGGAGATTTTAAATCTCTTTGTGGATCAGGAATATAATTATCTACAATATCTAGAAGTTGTCGTATTGATGGTTCCCCATATTGTGATTGATCCCCTTTTAAAGCTAATAATCCTGAACCATTGACAATTGGAGTGGCATCACCATCAAATCCAAAGTCTGTTAAAAGTTCTCTTATTTCAAGTTCGATTAAATCTAAAATCTAAATCAGGAGAATAACAAATTCTTTTTTGAAATATTTAAAATTTACTTCTTGATCAACTAAATCAGCTTTATTAACAAAAACGACTATTTTTTCTATCCCAACTTGTTTAGCTAATAATAAATGCTCTCTCGTTTGGGGCATTTGACCATCATCAGCAGCAACTACAAGAATAGCTCCATCCATTTGCGATGCCCCCGAGATCATATTTTTAACATAATCGGCATGTCCGGGACAATCTGTATGAGCATAGTGTCTCTTTTTTGTGCTATATCCAATATGAGCCGCATTTATAGTGATACCTAAAATAAATAAATTTTTGAATTGAATAAAAAGGATTAATAAAATTTTGTGCCTCGAGCTTTTTCTTCTGGTGCTCTATCAATTTGATCGTAAGAAACAAAATTTGCTAAACCATCTTTTTGTAATACTTTCGTAATCGCCGCTGTTAATGTGGTTTTACCGTGATCGACATGACCTATCGTTCCAACATTTACATGTTTTTTCTCGGTATTTTGTAGTTTTATTATGGTTGTAGAAATAAATTTTGAATTTCCCGCCAATTTGAAAGGAACTTTTTTTAGGTTATGTAGCGTCCCGTAACAATTTTGACAAGATTTGCTAATATTACGATAATTCTTAACGATATTCAAGGAATTCAACAATTTTACGTTACTTTTCATAGTTTTCAATGAGTTGAGCGCAAAGAAAAATGTATAATTCACCATTTTTTATTGGTTTTAGTAGCGCCGCATTGACAGTTGGATATGTTCACTTAAAATTGACCCTTATTGTAGTATTACATAAGTATTTTATTTGAAAATCGCAACAACCACAAGTAGCACCACTGCTTTTTAGTCGCCAGCAGTGACAAGGTTAGTAATAAAGTTATTTTATTTTCCTCCTACTCCCCAAAAAATCTTTAATAACTACCCCAAACCACCACAAAAACCTTCTTTAACATCAACGAATCCAATTGAATTCTAAATCGCATCGAAAATCATCCATTTTACCCGAATATCGACCTCTTACATAATACCCTAATAGGTTATGGTCTAAACTCTAATAATTTTTTTTATAGAAATTAAAACCTCCAAAAAAGATGTTGGGTCGATTTGGTAACGTCGTTCCAGTGCTGGTACAAAATGCCCCCCAAGCTCAACAGCAACGTGGCATGGCCACACTTAAAGCCATTTCCATTCGTCTTAAATCTGTAAAGAACATACAGAAAATTACTCAGTCCATGAAGATGGTATCAGCTGCCAAATATTCTAGGGCTGAAAGAGAATTAAAACAAGCCAGACCCATCGGTGTTGGAGCTCAACAATTTTACGAAAAGGCCGATGTTCAACCTCCTGCGGAAGCCCCTAAGAAGCTTATGATTGCTATGACATCAGATAGAGGTACAAAAAAAAATATTATAATTTTTCTTAAAAACATAACCTAAACATCATCATTTTGACATTTCACTGAATTAATTTGATTTTAAGTTGCTGATTTGACATTTCATATCTGTCAATTTTGAATTTTATTTTATATTGATTTTAATTTTTTAATCTTTTCATTAAGCTTTATGATTGCTATGACATCAGATAAAGGTACCAAAAAAAAATTTTATAGGTTATATTTAATTTTTCTAAAAAACATAACCTAAACATTTAAATGTAATTTGATTTGAAGTTGCTCATTTGACATTTCATATCTGTCAATTTAGAATTTTATTTTATATTAATTTTAATTGTTTGTATAATTTAGGTTTATGCGGTGCTGTTCATACAAGCGTTGTTCGTCAAATTCGTACCGAACTCGCCGAATCTGGTGAAAATACGAAAGTGATTTGCGTTGGTGATAAATCGCGCGCAATCCTTCAACGTTTATACGGCAAGAACATTATTTTGGTTGCAAACGAAATTGGACGTTTGCCCCCTACATTCACAGACGCCTCCCGTTTAGCGAAAGCCATTCTAACTTCTGGTTATGAGTTTACCTCTGGTAAGATTGTCTATAACCGATTCAAATCGGTCGTTTCTTATTCCACTCAACAGATGCCTGTGTTCAGTTTAGCTGCTGTTACTGTAAGAGTTTATTTTATTTATTATAATTAAGTTATTTAAAGAGAACATTTTTAGGCTGCTCCTAAATTGAGTATTTACGATTCGTTGGATAATGATGTGATTCAAAATTACTTGGAATTTTCTTTGGCTGCGTTGATTTTCTACGCATTGAAAGAGGGTGCTTGCAGCGAACAATCATCCCGTATGACTGCTATGGACAATGCTAGCAAGAACGCCGGGGAAATGATTGACAAATTAACCCTGACATTTAACCGTACAAGACAGGCAGTCATCACCAGAGAGTTGATTGAAATTATTTCTGGTGCTTCAGCATTGTAAATTAATTCAAAAAAAAACTATATAAAAAAGTAATATGAAAGGACTACCTAAAAAACGGTATTGATATCTAAGTAAAAAGTTTTTTTTGAAACCATTTAGAGAAACAGAAAATAATCTAGATAATCTTAAGTTTTAATTTTTATTTTAATTCCATCGGCATTGTATCAAGCAATTATAAACAAATAAAAAATTTGGAAATGGGGAGGTATGTGTAAAAGTTGAAATAGGCGGCAAAGCGGAAATTAGCCCCAAAAGTCACTGGATACAAAATCGACATCGACCGCTTTTTACTTCTATTTTATCTGTTGCATTATCGATCCCGGTAATTAGGCTTCATCATTTGTATTTTTTTTGTTGTTATATTGGAATAATAATAAAACATATTTGGTTGTCTTTATTTAAATTATTAATGCAATGTTCGCCATTTAAACCTTCATAATTCAATATTCTGGTGATACGAATGTGGGATTAAAAATATAATAATGTAAATAGGACATGGAAGCAGTTCAATATGGCCATAAACGTCGGTAAAAGGAAAGTAATGCTAATATCCCGCAACTCAAACGTCTCCATGCCTGTGAGAGTGGATGGAGTGAGATTGAACAGTGGTTGGATGTTACTATGCAGCTGAGACTGACAAAGTGTTATGTAGTAGAAACTTGGACTTTGAAGACTGTCAGTATAAATCGCATAGAAGCATTTGAAATGTGGAGGTACCAAGAATTCTAAAGATCCCATGGACGTCGCACACGAACTACGAGGAAGTGCTGAGAAGGTTGAGCAAGGATAGGGAGTTAATTCACGTAGTGAAAATGTGCCAAAGAAACAGTTATTAATCTCTAAATTCCTTTATTTGTAGGCGTATGTACTAAAAGTGTACAAAAACCAAAAGATTGAAATAATTCCTAAACTATTCAACTTTGTGTAAAGCATATTTGGCTTAATCAATTGCAAATGAGCTTTATAATAACGCATTTCAATATCCACGTTTATGTACCAGTCACCTGTATATTGGCAAAACAAACCATGAGATAGCGCACTCTGGAGTGGGCATTCTACTGCACAATAGATCTTCATTCAATTTTGAACAGTCTGTCTACTTTATCTGATTGAGAGATCATGGAATTATTATTGAAATGCAGATACTTGTTTATTTCTAAAAATCTGTTTTTGATATAAATCAGTACATTTGCTCTTGGGGTAAAGAGTAAACAAATTAAAATTGTATAATACAATTACAATATACTTTAACAAAGATTTATGAAGGATTAGTGAGGTTTAAAATATTCCTGCGCAAAATATTCAACCGGTGGAAAGGAATAAATAAAAATATTACATGGAATTAGTCGAGTATTATTCTGCAAAGGAAACTTTTAATAATTTCTTTGATGCAGAACGTTTCGATAAATTATTAATGCAGTTATTTAAAATGAACGCTGGTTTTAAACGATCAATGTTAACAATGTACTCTTGATTGTTTCTAAAAACAGCAACATTTTTGGAATGTTTTTTAACAACCTTAAAAGGTCCTTCATTTCTTGGTGATAATGAAGGCTTTATACTTTCAAGTCGAAAGAAAACAAAGTCTGAATCACGCAGTTGTTTATGTTCAAAAGGTTTTTCTGTGGAATGTAAAGAGGTTGGCGTTGGCTTCAAATTGGAAAATGTTTGTTGTAGGCTGATCAGTAAACCAGTTCTGCTGAGGAACAACCTAAATCATCTTTCAATGAAGACCTTACACCTAATAATATTATAGGAAGATCTTGTTTCCACCTATTAGTTTTACCTCTACCAATAATGGCAGTTTTCAAAGTTCTGTGAAACCTCTCTAAGATGCCATTACTTTGAGGATGGCAACAGGAAGTGTGAATTTGTTTTGAGCCAAACAATCAATTAAATTCTGTAAAAAGTTGTGATTCAAATTGTCTGTCCTGATCGTGTGGAATCGTGTGTGGTATTTCAAATCTTGAAAAGTAATGCGTCAATAGAGCAGTTGCAACAGTAGAACTTGACGTATTTTTGAGAGGATAAACTTCTAACCACTTTGTAAAATGGTCGATGACTGTAAGAACAAAAGAATAACCAAGCGAAGGCGTAAGGGTCAATGTGGATATGTTCAAAACGTCCAGACAGAATATCAAATTTATTGAGTGGAGATTTTGTATGTTTATGAATTTTAGACATTTAATGCAATATTTTGTCCACGTATAAATATCTTTGTTCATTTTTGGCCAATAAAATCGAGATTTAATAAGGTTATGAAGAAAGATTATGAAAATTTTCGAAAATTGCAAAATGATATTCAACAGGTATATAAATACGCGGTTTTGATGAAGAAATTTCACACCATAACGGTTGTTTTGATTGTGATATTTCTTTTTGTTCTAAAATGAACTTTGTATGAGAATGTAGTTGCTTATTTAAAAGAAAAGATAATTGTAAATCTTTTTCTTGCGCAGTTTTAACTTCCAAAAGATTAGGATATGAAATTTCAAGTGAGTCAATATCTATGCGCGACAAGGTATCTGCCACTATATTGGAGTCTCTCTTGATAAATTTGATATCCGAAGAAAATTGAGCGATGAAGTCTAAGAAAAAACTCCACATCAAAGTCATTATAACGACTTTGATGTGGAGTTTTTTCTGTTTTTGAATATAATGATATATAATAATTATTGGTTTATGATCTGTGTAGATAATAAATTGATTGCCTTCTAAAAAATGTCTGAAAAATTTAATGGATGAATAAATTGACAGCAATTCTCGATTAAAAGTCGAGTATTTTGCTTGACAAGGTGATAGTTTTTTTGAAAAATAAGCGATGGGTTGTGATAAATTATCAATTTTTTGCGATAATACTGCTCCAATATTGGAAGCGTCAGTAGATAAAGATAATTGACCAGTTTTACAAGGAAGAGCCAAAATAGTTGAATTTAATAGCTAATTGAGTTTTGGAGAGTTCAAAACTTTGATTACATTCTTCTGACCAATCTTCAATACTTACTTTGCTTTTATTTTTATAAAGTAAATTCGAAAGATGATATAAAGGTGCAAGTATATTTGTAAAATTTGGAACAAATCTATGGTAAAAGTTTATCATACCCAAAAATCTTTGTAGCTGTTTAAGAGTTTTTGGTATTGGAAATTCTTTAATAATTTTAATTCTATCATCTGAAGGACGAACGCCTTGAGGAGAAATGTGATGGCTCAAAAAATTTATGGATTGCACACCAAAAATGCATTTAGAAGGTTTAATTGAAATTCCAAAATCACCTATTCATCATTTCAAATTTTTTTTCTCTTTCAAATTTAGTTTGATGTCGCTTATCATTGAAGCGATTCGATTGAAAAACTTGACTATTTTTCTTCCCAGATGATGATAAAGTAACCTTTTTTTTCTTGGTTGGTTCCTGTGCAGTTTCTGATTCAATGATGTGTAATTTTACTTCACCACAAACATCTTTCAGCAAAGTATGTTGTAGTACATCTTCATCCAGGGCCTTGCAGTCTGACGCTGTATCTACCTTTTCTGGTGGTAATTCCACCTCATCAACGACTCCAAATCTTTGAAGAGCATATTTTGTATGCGTTAAAAATTTTGTTATTGTCATATTGCTACAAAAACTGTAACCAAAATATTTATTACAATAAAAAAGACAGTACATGCCAAGGTCCTCAATTTGAGACAGACACAAAAATCTATTTTCCTTTGTTGTACTGTAATACATTGTAACACAACCTCAGAATTAACACATGGACAGATCTCCAATAATAATAATAAGAAGAAAAATACAACAAAAAGTTTTAGATATTGCACTGAGAAAGAATCTGAAAACTAATTAATGTTTGTTGTGATAATTAAAAAGTAATTAGTAAAATACTGATTTATATTATCATTTAAATGCATATTTACATTAATACGTCCTTAAAGTTAACTAAAACACAATTTAACGTTTAGTACTTTTAAAATTACCTAAATTACGTTGTTTTCTTAAAAAATTCATTTCAATTGTAGCAACCTACAACAAAAAAATTAAAATAACCCAACAATTACATTAACTCAATAAGTAACCTCATCATCGAATTGTTCAGAAATATCATCAATTTTTGTCCGACTTTTTGTCAAACATACTTTTTGTTGTTTAACATATTTTTGTAAATTTTCAATCATATTTTTATTCCAAAGTTTTATCGTTTCCTATAATAAAAGAAATTTATATTAATTTATATAATTTTATAAAAAATAATAATTACTTCGCATTCTTTTTTAATAAGGTGATAAAGTTTGGAAGTTCCAACATCATAACTTTTAAGTTTATTCTCTAACTCATTGCAATGACCCATTATTTGTAAATTTTCTGTTAAAAGTTGTTTCTTTTCAATCTCCATATCCATAAATTTATCCCTCCAAGTCTCCAATAACCCAGCAACAGCATTTCTATCTTGTTTCATTTGTGATTTTAACCCCAAAATATTTTCGTCCTTATTATAACTAACCACCTCCAATTTTCTTAATTTGTGTAATAATTCCTCGCAATTTGTACATTTCTTAATCTCGACATTATTTGTTTGAAGTAATTTCTCAGCCAAATCATGTTCGATTTGTTCTAAACGCCGATCATAATCATTTTTAAGATTAACTCTTATTTCTAATTCGCGTTTAACAAAATCCGATTCATATTGTTTTTTAATTTCATCAATTTCATTATTTAAATCCTCAGTGTTTATTCCAATCGAAAATCGATCAGGATTTAATTGCTTTTCTTTAATAACTTTTTCAAATTGAGCTGCTTTTTCTTGCAAATTTCGAATTAAAGATTCCCTTTCCCTCTCTAATTTTGAAGAAATTTGGAGTTTCGAAATTTCATTTTCAGCAGATGTTAATTTTAAGTGTAATTGGGCAATTTCTTCATTCGCAATTAAAAGATCGTTTCGTAATTTTTGTTTTTCATCTAAATCAATTCATTAAAATCAATCTATTAATTAAAAATAATTAAAATTTACCATTTTCGTATTTTGAAGATTGACCAAAATTAAATGAAACTTGAGCAGAAGTATCTTGAGTTAATTTAATTTCGTACTGAGCTAAAGTTGCTTCTAACTCAATGATTTTATCTTCATAGTAACGTTGTTGATCTTCTAATTTACCCCTAAAAAGCTAAATTAAAACAATTTTGATAAAAAAAGGGCTATTTTTAACCTGTATCCTTGAATTTGTTTTTGAATTGAGCAAATTTCTTCATCAGCTTTACGAAAATTTTCTTCTAAGCTTGAATAATTCGATTTCCAAGTTTCCACTTCAATCTAAAATTAATAAATAAATTCTATCTTTTCCCTGCTTATTAATAAAATCAATAAAGACCTTATTTTTTTCTTTTTCCTCATTGGAATGCTTTAATTTTTGTTTTAAATCATTGCAAGTCCTCTCTATCAATTCAATATGATCTTGATGTTGTCGATGTTTATCTTGAGCTTTAGCTAATTCTTTTTGTAACGCGTTTATGTACTCCATTTTTTCAGTTAAATTCATAACTCGAGCTGAATCTTGTAGTTCACCTCAAAAAAAATTAATTTAAATAATTTTTTTTGTTACAATTTTTTTTATGATTTCTTACTTGAAGATAATTTTAAAGTTTTATTCTCTTGGGATACTTTATTAATAACTTCCAACAAATCATGACATTGTTGTTGAGCACTTTCTAAATTCTCTGCTAGCTTATTAATGATTGTTGTTTTCTCAACAACAATTTGGTCTTTTTCTTTCACAATTGCATTTAATTTCTCCACATAATCTTGACATTCTTTTTCCTAAAATTATAAAAGTTAAAGAAAGACAGATGATGCAAATAACATCAAAATTACCTTCCGATATAATTTTGTATTAGCAACATCTAATAAATGATGCATTTGAGACACTTCAGCATGATGTTGTTCTTTTAAAACACGATCAGATATTGTATTTGATGTTAAACCACTGTGCATAATTTCTAATTGATCCATAAGTTCTTTATTTGTTTGTTTACAAAGCGAATATTCCTCTGTAATCTTAAACACAAATAAAATAATCCTTTTTTATTATTAATATATTTTTTAACTTACAACATCAATTTGTTTCTCTAATTGTGCAACTTGACTTTGTAAATTAACAACTTCATGACCTAAACAATCAATTTCTTCACTTTTACTAAGTAAAAGTTTTTGAGATTGTTCCAATGAAATTTTAGCTTTATTTTTATCAGCTTCAAGCAAAATACATTTTTTCGAATGGATATCTTTTTGTTTTTCTATATCCATCTCCAATTTTCCAACCTTTTCCATTAACTCTTTCACTTCTTTTACTCTAATTTCATACAAAACTTTTAATTGATCATCAAGATTCGTATTTCTAGTATATTTATTAAAAAGGACATTTTCTTCCTGATTTTCAACCGGATGATAACCATTATCAACAGAAACATTTGTTGATGAATGTATTGTGCTTTGATCATCATAATTGAATTCGTCCATCGCTTTTGTTAGAAAATTTTGAATCTACAATTAATAAAAATTAAAATTTTTAATTATAACCTAACAAAATTTTAACCTCTTCTTGACGCCGTTTTTGATCTTCAAGATCTTCATCTTCCTCTTGATTTTGAAGGGCGCTATCTATATTCAATCCGTTCCCTTGAAATAAACTTATTCCTGGGTTATCATCCATATATCCTAATATTTAAACACTTTAATCAACTTTGAACAATTTACTTCTTTGACAGTTGACGTTTTTAAAAAAAACGTTCAATAACTGAAATACCAACATTTATAAAACATTTTATGATAACTTAAAATAAATGTATAAAAATTAAATAAAAAAATCAATATTTATCTTTTTTAATTAAAAATTAAAGCTTTTAAAAGGATTATTAAATTAGAAAATCCTGCCATCTAGTTATTTTAACCCAAATTAATTTGACAAGTTTGCCAAATTGACAAGTTTGATGTCAATAAAGGTTATGTTGTAAAAGCAATAAATAAGATTAAAAAACTTTCCAATAACAATGAATAAATCATTGGAAGAAGGAGAGGTAATTAATAAATAAACACATAACATCTATTTAACGTTTAAATTTATAGTTAAGTGACGATAGCGATTGTTACACTCCACTACAACGTCCAGAAAACTACTCAAGTTTTTCTTCATCCATAATAAAACCTCAAGCACCCTGCAATGATTCAGAATCTGATTATAAAAAAACATCGAGCGACTCAAACAGTGATTCTGACGAAGGTATAAAACAAAAGCGCCCCAAATTAAAACCAAGACCCAGGCTGTTAGCAGCAACAAAACCGGTAAATCATAAATATAACATTTGGAATAATCGAATTCAAGAAGAGGTGCTTGTTGACACATTAAATACGTGTGATGTTACTAAAAAAAATCGATCGAGGGATGTTGAATCTTACGATTTTCCCGTTCGCGAGAATTTTAATGAAAACTTTAATGGAAGGAGAGATTTACGGGAGATTTTAACCAGGAAAAATAAAGAAAAAGGTGATGTTAAAGCAAATGAAAGGGTGAATAATAAAAGAAATAGGAAGGATCGTAAAAATAAAAATTTGAGGTTAATTGGAAAACAGGAGGAGGAGGATGATGAAGATGGAAGAGGCGCTCCAAGAATTTTAATGGATTTGATTATAAATGAAGGAAATACTTGTGAAGAAATTGCAAGGGAGTTGGCTAATAAGTTATCAGAAACTAAAGAGGATTTATTGCGTATGTAAAACATTTTTATTAATCTAATATCATTAATTTTCTCATTTTTAGTAAAAATCGTAAATGTATTAGGTGTTGAAAAATCCGTAAAAATTTTTATGGAAGTTAAAAGAATCGAAGCAGAGGGAGGAATGTTAATTATGGTAAATATAACAAAAAAAATGAGATCTATATTACAATTACATTCTCAATGTTTATTTAGAATCAATCACGAAGACGAACTCCAGGTGGAGTTTATCTTTTCTTAGTTAAACATGATGACAATTTAACTCGAGAACAAAGAGACACAATTTTTGAAGAGGAACGTCAAAAATCAAAGCAACTAATTAATATGCAAAAGAAGAAAAAATATAAAGAAATGAAAATGAAAAGTGGTAAATGATATCATTTATTTTCTTTTCATATAATTTACATTCAAATTGTAGGAATTAAAGTACCTGAATTATTAACAGCAGATAAATTGTGTATAGAAAAAATGACCAAGGAATGGAATAATGAAAGAGATGAAACTGAACATGAAGAGGTTGAAAATCCACCACCAACCCCAGAAACCGATTACAATGATACCACAGATGATCAAAAAGTTATCAATGAAATCTCGGGAAGACAACCTCAAGAATATGATGAAGAGTTTTTGGATTTAGGGGGTGCCAATGACATGGACTTTTTTTGATTAATTTAAAATATGTATTTTTAAGTTAAAGTAACACCTTATTCAAGAATATTTTTTGTAATCCTCGTTTATCTTAGATCATAATAAATAATGACACTGCCATCTATCAATTTTAGTATAGTACTAATTTTAAGGAAAATCAAGCATCTAAAATGAAAAAAAAATAAAGATATTAATCAAAATAAAACATCAAATAATAAACACCATCTGCACTAAAATAAATTCCACATCATCTAATGTAATCTTGGTTCTATTCTGCTTTTTAGCTTGCTTAGTAGCTCGAAGAGCACATTCAATCACCATTATTTTCAATAATCTACAAATAGCATCGCTTACTTCATCATTTAGTTTCATTTTTGAATTATTAGCTTGCATTTTAAAGACTTCTTTTATTATTGTCTAAATAAGGTGATAAAATAACTTATTTTTTAGGTTATAATTATAATTATGCATACCGGCTTAAATTCTGAAACTATTTGTGAATAAATAGAAATTTCTGATGAAGAAGAACTTTCAGCCATTTCATTTATTTACTTTTTATTACGTTTCGTTCCTTTTTACAAGATTTTATAAATTATTATAACTGCAAAATAGGTTAGGTTTTTTTTTAATTTAACCAATTCTTAATTCTTATTACATTAGCGCCATCTACATTTGGTTATTTTAAAAATATATGATTAATTAATTAAAAATTATTATTAATAAATATTATTATTAAGATATATTAGAAATTTGTATAATTTGAATTAATTGATATAAATAATTTTAGTATTTATATAAAATATTTTAAATTATATTAAAGCGCCATCTATATTTGATTTAATAAATATAATTTATTTACTTTCTCAAACATAAGATAGATATTGATAATTCTAATTATCGTGTAATTATTATATTTATAACTTTTTATACATTCACAATTATTGAATTTAATAATTATTAACGAATTTGTTTAAAACGTAGTAAAAGTTAGGTTGGTATTGCGCATGCGCGAGTTTAGTCGAGGCGATGAAACGAACTCATGCGTAGTTGAAGGATGGCAGGTAAATCGACAGTGTTATCGTTGTGTGTTTCAACATGGCCACCAACGATAGCAAAGCTCCGCTTAGAAATGTTAAAAAGGTGCAATTTGGGATACTTAGCCCGGATGAAATAGTAAGTTCCGTTCGTTTTTTATTTCTCCACATTATTTCGATAAAATCAGTTACTGAAATATCGAAATTAACCTATATTTCTTATTTATGTTTTTGTGTAGACATTTGTCCCTCAACAAAAATTTTGCGAGCTTGTTGCACTTGCATCATCATTAAAAAAATGTTAATTTTTTTAACTTTTATGTTTAAAATGTACCGATTTATGATAGAAAGATGATTATTTTTTACAATTTTTAGCGACGCATGTCAGTTACGGAAGGGGGCATACGCTTTCCCGAAACAATGGAAGCTGGACGCCCAAAACTTGGTGGCCTTATGGATCCGAGACAAGGGGTGATCGATAGAAGTTCTCGATGCCAAACTTGTGCAGGAAATATGACTGAATGTCCGGGACACTTTGGCCACATTGATCTTTCAAAACCTGTCTTTCATGTTGGGTTTATTACAAAAACCATCAAAATATTAAGATGCGTTTGCTTTTATTGCAGCAAATTATTAGTCAGCCCAGTAAGTTTTTAATTAAAAAAAAATCGTACATATATTTTTATTTATAAGTTGTTATTTTGAAATTCCAATTTTTATAAATTGAGGTTATGTTTTATTTATTGCTAAAGAGGTATTGTGATACAATAAAGAAAGTCTATATAGACCCAGAAAATGATAATATCTCAGTTCCTAAAATGTAATTCAATGAAATTTCTAAAGGAAGGATATTAGAAGTCTGTATTATTTTATATAAAAATGTATAACTTATTTATTTCTCCCAAGTGGGTACAGAAACAGGTCAACCCTGTATCACAAACAACCAGTTGTACACAAGTTAAATTACAGTTCACAGTAATAATGATGAATTAACCCTTTAAGGTTGGGATATATTTATGCTTAGTAGACTTTATTGTTGAGTAAATTAATTTAAATGACTAAATCTTTAATTATAACATACTCCAACAATAATATGAAGAAACACTAAAATGATAATAGTAATAATATACAATAACATACATATGTTATTTAAAAATGTAAATAGAGTTTATAACATGAACCATGGGCGGTAAATGATCTAAATAATGTTGCTCCATAACGGAAGACGCTGATGTGCGATCTAAATTTCCTACACCATTTCTTCTGGGTGTTGTTGTAGTCAGAGTGTCATGGTGCTCTAAGATTTTGTATATCAATTTTCTGTGAAATTAACGTAGAGGCACATATCCCCCCGTTTTTACCTTATATAAATTGTAGCAGTTCAAAACACACAAATCTATCTAATGGCAAAATAATTTTTTATGCTACTTGATGATTTTTGTACGCATTGAATTGTGGTTATCTGCATATCCGCTTTATTTATCAAGCGCATATTCTATGAGTAATCCATTACACCTCTTCACACCCTCTTCATCTGTAGTACATTGTTGTTGACATCTGTTTGTCTTTATCACAAGAAGCTCCATAATTTTCCCATCAAAAAAATTTACAAAATAAGCATAGGGATTACAACTGTCTTCTACCACAAAATTTTCTATAATCCCACAATTTGTACTATCAAAGTCGTAAACTGTGGGTTGAAAGTTATTATGACTTTGGGTTCATTTCCAAGTATTACTGATGTTTTCATTGTCACCATCAGTTCCATCATCGTCACTATTACTACAATTACTCGCGCTAAAATTAGGTTCATTATCACTAAACAGTTCTACTTCATCATTGTTGTGTAATATTCAAGCAAATTACTCTCAACTGAGCTACCAGCAAAAAACCATGTTGTCTGTAATTGATTTTAGACTTAAGGGTTAAGAATAGATGTGGTGAAACCATCTTCTCAAACACTTCTATAAATACTGGCAAAGAAGATATGGGGTGGTAATCAGATATAACACCACAATCCGCAGATTTAAAAATGGGAACAAAAAAAACCTGCTTCCACTATGAAAGAAAGATACACATTACTAATGAAGCGTTAAATGAAATAATTAAAGGAAGGGACAGAAGAGTGTGAACATTCCTTGATTAAAATTGATGGATACCATCAGTACTAATACTGTCAGTAACCCTGATGGCCTCCTCAACCTCAATCATGTCAAACTGCATCGGACACAAAGGAAGGGCATCTGTTTCCACACAATCCACATTCTGTTGGATTGGAGAAGGATCAACAAAAACTGAAGAAAAGAAATCAGCTAACAATGAGCATACTCCGACACCGTCACCGACATCAGTTCCATTTTATGTCATCTGCACTCTTCTTAGACTTAGTAAAAGCCCAAAACACCTTTAGGTCAGATTGGATATTGCTTTCAGCTCTTATACTATACTTCATGTAAAAAAAACTGTCTACAAGTGAACCTAAATCTTTATGGCAATACTATTAGATTACTATGGCATAACTATAATGATATCATTGGTACTCTTTGTTCATCATCAAACCAAGCCAATGGAGAAAAAATTGCCACAAATTGTGCAAATTAATGCATTTTTGAATTTACCTGTAATAGACAGAAGTTCTGATCCAATTGTTTGGTGGAAAATAAACATAGCTCGAAAGTATTTGTTACGCCCTTTAAGCAAGTTTTTATGTAGGTTACTCAAATATTCCAAACATTCAAAAAGTAAAGCACTATTTTCTTCCCAGACACAAAAAACATCATTCATATCTGACCCAGCTGTGGATATTTTCTTTAAAAGGGTTATTATTATTAATAATAGCTAGTAGACTTGATAGGGAAAATCCCATACGAAGTCCTTTAATTTTATAAAATTAATTCTTAAAGGTGCAAAAGTTATTATATGTTTGACTATGGTATAGTGATAAATTGTATCATATTTCTTAAAAAAAAAAGAAGGAAATAGTTGATTGGTTATATTTAAACTGATGTCTATGGCACATTAGAGTACAGATTAGTAACATCAAATGAAACCAATATTTTATTGTTGTAATTGATGTGTTTAGTTCTTTCTATGAATTGAAGAGAATTTTGAACTGAGTATGTAGGTTTGAAATTGATTACTTCAAATATATTAAGCATAAAATTAGCTACTTTATGTGTAGGCAATTTTAAAAAGGATGTTATTGGACGTATTCTTTCTTTATGTAGTTTGGATGATAGTTTGATTGTTAATGATATAGTATGTATAAGAGTAACCTACTGTATGTAGACTTTTTTGAGTTAGAGATATAATAATTATATGGTTAATAATGATTATGTTTTGACTTCTCCATGGATAATAATAACTTATATAGTTTTTATGTGAAATATTGAAATAATATAGATCTTTTGTTAAAATATTTCATTTAATTACATTTCGGATTATCATTTTCTGCTGTGTATTTAGACTTTATTGTATTTAGACAACCAGTAGTGTCGCCTGTTAAATTGTACCTTAACTGAAATTTATCAATATTTTTTTCTTTTTACTTACAATTAGAATAATCCAAAAATAAAAGAAGTTGTAATGAAAACAAAGGGTCAACCTCGTAAACGTTTGGCTTTCGTTTACGAATTATGTAAAGGTAAAAATATCTGCGAAGGCGGTGATGAAATGGATGTTGGAAAAGAAGGTGAAGACCCAAATAGTCAAAAAAAACAAGGTCACGGTGGGTGCGGCCGTTACCAACCAAATTTGCGGCGATCCGGTTTGGATTTAACAGCCGAATGGAAACACGTTAATGAAGATTCGCAAGAGAAAAAAATATCTGTATCCGCAGAACGAGTTTGGGAAATTTTAAAACATATCACGGATGAGGAATGTTTTATTTTGGGCATGGATCCGAAATTTGCACGCCCCGATTGGATGATTGTCACAGTTTTACCAGTTCCACCATTACCTGTAAGACCAGCTGTTGTTATGTATGGTTCAGCAAAAAATCAAGATGATTTAACACATAAATTAGCCGATATTATTAAATCAAATAATGAGTTGCAAAGAAATGAGAGTTCCGGGGCGGCTGCTCATGTGATATCAGAAAACATCAAAATGTTGCAGTTTCATGTCGCAACGTTAGTTGATAATGATATGCCCGGAATGCCACGGTAATCAATTTCTGATTTAAAAAAAACCGATTTAATTTAAATTTCATGTATTATAGTGCCATGCAAAAATCTGGGAAACCATTAAAAGCGGTTAAAGCTCGATTAAAAGGCAAAGAAGGTAGGATTCGAGGTAATCTCATGGGAAAACGTGTTGATTTCTCAGCACGTACTGTAATCACACCAGATCCCAATTTGAGAATTGATCAAGTTGGAGTTCCAAGAAGTATTGCTCAAAATCTAACGTTCCCGGAAATTGTTACTCCATTTAATTTTGATAAGTAAGGAATTAATAAGAAAATAAGATTTATTTTTAATTTTTATTAATTTAAGAATGATGGAATTAGTACAACGTGGTAATTCTCAATATCCCGGTGCTAAATATATTGTTCGTGATAATGGTGAGAGAATCGATCTTAGATTTCATCCAAAACCGTCAGATTTACATCTTCAATGCGGTTACAAGTAAGTTTCAAAAATTAATTATTATAAATTTTTAATTAATTTCCCTAACAGAGTTGAGAGACACATTCGCGATGGCGATTTAGTAATTTTCAATCGTCAGCCAACCCTTCACAAGATGAGTATGATGGGTCATCGAGTTAAAGTTCTTCCATGGTCAACATTTCGCATGAATTTAAGTTGTACGTCGCCGTATAACGCCGATTTTGATGGCGACGAAATGAATTTGCACGTTCCGCAAAGTATGGAAACGAGGGCTGAAGTCGAAAACTTACATATCACTCCCCGTCAGATTATAACCCCGCAAGCGAATAAACCCGTCATGGGCATTGTACAGGACACTTTAACGGCAGTTCGAAAAATGACCAAAAGAGATGTGTTTATTGAAAAGGAGCAAATGATGAATTTATTGATGTTTTTGCCAATTTGGGATGGAAAAATGCCTCGACCCGCTATTTTAAAACCTAAACCTTTATGGACGGGGAAACAATTGTTTTCATTGATTATTCCTGGAAATGTAAATATGATTAGAACGCATTCAACACATCCTGATGAAGAGGATGATGGTCCTTATAAATGGATTTCACCAGGAGATACAAAAGTATGTAAATCTTTATCTATATAAGTCTTTATGACTTTACAGCCCAAATCGGGTTTTGTCCTCCCTCAATTTTCCCTGTCTCTGGCCTCTCTCTTCAAGATTTTGCCCCTTATCATATTTTTTTTTGTCCTAGTTGACTGCATCCTCCCATCCCATCCTTGGTCACACTTCTTGCATCCTCCTCCTTTATCTGGGCAATGATGCCTGAGCTACTTAACACGTTCGCTGCAGCGTGGGGCGACATCCATGCCTCATAAATTTATGTCTTTGTGCGGCGTGGTGCAACTCGTGTGCCACATGTTGAACTTACCTTTCATGCATCACTAGATGAGTGGAAGTGCCATTCTGTCCCTATATTATATAACGGACCTAAATTCGACGTGACAAGACAAGCATTTTCATATATTTGGCCTCAGAGAAAAATCTGTTCATTTCGATTTAATAAGTAAAAAACTAGTTTAATCTTTTTTCTTAATAAAAAACGAATGTCAATAATACATAGTGCATTTATTTATGATATATAAATAAAACATTTATTTATTTTTGAGCTGCATAGTGGTTTTGAATGAAGCAAGTAACGCAATATTTTTTTTACAAATCATACAACTCCAATGCGATCTTGCAGTTTTTGTTCTGGGCTTCTTTTCTGCCAAATTCTTCCTGCATATTTTTGTAGCACATGGAGCATTGTATATGTTTACTTGTATATTCCATCTGGTGATTATCTGTGGAGTCTTCACAGTCACACTCCTCATTTGCTTCAATAGTTTTTCCATGTTTGAGAAGTAATTCTATAAGTTTCTCCCTGAAATCAGTGATTGTCATTTTATCTTTCTATGGTAAGGTTATTGGGTGTAGCGATCAGTACAAGAAAAAACGAGAACTACATTTTTCTTTGCTATATTTCGAAACTAATTGTTTCTTCTACAGGCAAAAACTGAACAAACGTACCAAATTAACACGCAAAACAAAAAGGAGAAAGATAAGGAGATGAATACATTTAGTGTTTTTCAAATACGTCTACAGCACTGCGGAAAAGAAACATCATATTTCGACCAACATTTTTCAGTTCGTGTTCTGGAAGCATTCCTTTGTAATGGCACATTTGTTATATGTCTACCACTTTGAAATGTGTTAGTCTGGTCTAAGCTTTTTAGACACGCATAAAATTTTTGCAACATACTTGTAATGGACCATAGCTCATTTTCCAACGCTCTTAAATGAAGCCAAAGCGTAATCACCTTCCTGCAGGTCTGTAACTCCATACATATTAATTGTTTCTTGATTTTTTGTCTTAATATCGTCTAAGTTGCTCCCGCTTTCATTCCACTCTTCTAAACAGTTTTCCTTAGTCTTCTTCGTCTTCTTTGCCTTTTGCGCTTCCTCTACTTTATTTTTCTGAATTAACCTTTTTTTCTTTCTCTCCATCTTCAGCTCTTCTTGAATTTTCTTCTCATATGTACTCATATGAACGATTGTATTTAAATACATTGCGCTTATAAATCACGCGTCAGATTTTTGTTATGTGAACAGGGCCTTAATGAATGGAGAGTACTGGAACCGTTTCTGTTTATTTTTCTCAGCCATGGCAACAGAGTCTTGTAAATAAAACAAAGTTGTTCAAAATCCATTAAAGCATCAAATTTAACAGAATAGCCATAACTGCGTTTACGCTAATTCACTTATGGCCACATCATGGCTATAGCTGGCAAACTTCACAAAATTCGCTCTACTTATGGCCACGTAATCAAAAACACGCTTAACCTCAATTTATGGTTATAATATTATTAAATACTTTGAAACTAACATATTTGTGATCATTAGAGCTCGGATTTTTATGCAGTCAAATTATAGGAAATATGCAAGCTTTTTATTCAAAATATGCAAAAATATGTGGATATATGCAAACATATACCTTTTTCATAGTTGTTATCAATCTATTTCTATCACATTTTTATATATGTTTTGCACTTTTCACATGTTGTTCTATTTATTTTCTTCCTCTGACACGTTATCTTAAAAAAAAATAATTCAAAAAGTTAGCCATAGATACTCTAACTGATGAAAATTTAATTCTGAGATTATAAAACAGATTCGTATTTTTTATTGTCGATTGTCTAGAAACATATGTAAAAACATGTATCCAAGAAGATGGGACATCAAATTTAATATTGTTAAATTATATAGTTTTAATTTAACATCTTTCCATTTTTTTAACTCCTAGTGTAAAAGTCTATGAGAAAAACGATTTCGGAACAAACCATTGGCAACTCCTCTGAAAACTCTAATTTTTAACTTAAATCGTTGGCTAAAACGTAACGTCATAATTTTTAAAAAAATACTTACAACTTTGGCACAAGTTTTACAAAATAATTCCTCATTATTTAAATTTAGTTCGGGATAACTTTTTATCCACTGGGACACAAGACACATTAGGCATTGTTGTTATGGATTAGTAGATTAATGTTCACACACACTGAACACAGCCACAGTAACTATGGTTGGGGATTTCCTTAAACTTAAACTCAACTGCGCTAGGGATTCCCCGCATGTTTCTGTGAATCGTTGAAAACCAGAAGAAACCAACCAGCAATCAAAAAGTATCCTGTACTGTGCTTTAAACTAAAAGGTATGTTCGCATATTTAAAAATCACGCAGTCACTATATTTTATTTTATTAAGCAACAAGAAACAAATCTAGTAAAATGACAAAATATGCGAAAATATGCAGTAAAAGGCTAATTTATGCAACAATCAAAAAAATTGTAAAAATATGCAAAATATGCAATTTTTTTATTGTATCATCTGCCTTATTTTTATGTAATTCGCACAGAAACCAATTTTGAAAAAAATATTCCAGAAAATAAAGAAGATGCATTTTGCATAAAATCCGAGCCCTAGTGATCATATACTTCATAGGCTAAAATAATAAAAGATTAAACAACACATCAGCTAAAACATGGAAACCTTTTTCAAATTGTTTCAATATCGGAATCGCTATCTAACACCGTCTGTGTTGAATTAGGGTCTGACAGAGTTCTGTAATGCACTTACTTTTCAAGTACTGTCTATTAGAATCTTAATGCGCAACGACTTTATCTGAAATGGCCATAAACGGTGCTCATACCCTAATCTATGTTAGGGGGCAGACGCTCTAATTCTATCAAAAGTAACACACCGAAAAGATACTTCAATTTCTTTATTATTTGCTGGTTGCCATGCATGAATTGTTGGTCCCTGCGGATGTAACTGTTGTGTATATCGATTTGTCTCGATTATGATATAGTTCAAAATTTCTTCACTGATAAACAATTTGAAGAAGTCGTATGGGGATTTGTCGAAATATTGCTCTAATATATCTTGGCGACTCCTTGTACGATATTCTTTGAAATCAAATTTTGTCAAACTTGCTTTTATCATCAATTTGAATCCATTCTGAAATTTCATTCTTTTCATCAATGTTTCTGGCCTTGTTTTCGTGGTTATCCAAATAGCGTAATATTTCTTCATTAATGGTTCTATCCGCAGCCTCTGCTTCCCTATAGTCGTGAACTAGCCCTGTGAAGAACTATGAGCAGAAATACCTTGTTGCTATTTTTGTTGATGGTTTGTTAGGCTTTTTTTTGCTTAGATGCTGTATTTATAATATGTGATTTTGTTGCAACCACTTTTCTTGTGATTTGAGATTTCCTTTTCTTCATCACTTGAGGAACTGGGGGAATAATTATCGGATGTTGCATCATTTTGTAACTGGTCTTCATCCGACATGAATTTATCCCAAAGCGCTTGCAATTTCTTTTGCTCGTCTTCGTAACTCATGTTTACCCAGCATTCACAAAACGTAGAAGTAAAGATAACCTCTTTTCAAGGATTTGTTACTAATGCTCAAATACAAACAGTGACTGGACTATGTTTCACCCTGAAGCGCATGGCACAGACAGCATTCCATACAGAATAAGTGAGCTTATAGGAACAATATAAGTTCCCTCTAGTGACAACTGAATCTATAACCAGTGACAACAAAAATCGGCGGCATATAAGGTCGGTTGATGGTCCACTATTGACGGCAGCGAACGTGTTAATCTACCCATTCCTCATCACCATTGTAGTTATATCTGATCATTATCTATAATTTTTTTTTTAATTTATAGGTAATGGTAGAACATGGTGAATTAATAATGGGAATTTTATGTAAAAAAACATTGGGAACATCAGCCGGTTCTCTTCTTCATATTTGTATGTTAGAATTAGGACATGAAGTTTGCGGTAGATTCTACGGTAACATTCAAACTGTAATTAATAATTGGCTTTTATATGAAGGTCACAGTATCGGTATTGGAGATACAATCGCCGATCCTCAAACTTACTTAGAAATTCAGAAAGCGATCAAAAAAGCCAAAGAAGATGTAATAGAGGTTATTCAAAAAGCCCACAACATGGAACTCGAACCGACTCCCGGTAACACTTTAAGGCAAACCTTCGAAAATCAAGTAAACAGAATCCTAAACGACGCTCGTGACAAAACTGGCGGTTCGGCTAAAAAATCTTTAACGGAATATAATAATTTAAAAGCTATGGTAGTTTCCGGGTCGAAAGGTTCGAATATTAATATTTCGCAAGTTATTGCTTGCGTGGGGCAACAAAACGTTGAAGGTAAACGAATTCCGTTTGGATTTCGTAAAAGGACGCTTCCTCATTTTATTAAAGACGACTACGGTCCTGAATCAAGAGGCTTCGTTGAAAACTCATATTTAGCCGGGTTAACACCATCAGAATTTTATTTCCACGCTATGGGTGGTCGTGAAGGTTTAATTGATACAGCTGTAAAAACAGCCGAAACAGGTTACATTCAACGTCGATTGATAAAAGCCATGGAATCCGTTATGGTAAACTACGACGGGACCGTACGTAACTCCGTCGGGCAATTAATTCAGTTAAGATACGGCGAAGACGGGCTTTGTGGTGAAATGGTCGAATTCCAAACGCTCCCAACAATTAAGTTAAGCAATAAATCGTTTGAAAGAAAGTTTCGATTTGATCCAAGCAATGAACGTTATTTGCGAAGAGTATTTAATGAGGATGTTATAAGAGAATTGATGGGTTCAGGTGAAGTCATATCAGAATTAGAAAGGGAATGGGATCAATTGCAAAAAGATAGGGAAGCTTTAAGACAAATCTTTCCAAACGGAGAATCAAAAGTCGTACTCCCATGTAATTTACAACGAATGATTTGGAACGTGCAAAAAATCTTTCATATTAATAAAAGAGCCCCAACAGATTTATCCCCGTTACGGGTCATACACGGAGTTCGCGACCTCCTAACAAAATGTATCATCGTCGCTGGTGATGATCGCCTTTCAAAACAAGCAAACGAAAACGCCACTTTATTATTCCAATGTTTAGTTCGATCCACTTTATGCACTAAATGTGTTTCAGAAGAATTTCGATTAAACATAGCCGCTTTCGAATGGTTAATTGGTGAAATTGAAACTCGTTTTCAACAAGCTCAAGCAAACCCCGGTGAGATGGTTGGCGCTTTAGCAGCTCAATCCCTCGGAGAACCCGCCACTCAAATGACATTAAACACTTTCCACTTCGCCGGTGTATCATCAAAGAACGTAACGTTGGGTGTCCCGAGATTAAAAGAAATTATTAATATCTCGAAAAAACCTAAAGCCCCATCTCTAACCGTTTTCTTAACCGGTGCCGCCGCTCGCGATGCCGAAAAAGCCAAAAATGTTTTATGCAGATTAGAACACACAACTTTAAGGAAAGTAACCGCGAATACAGCTATTTATTACGACCCCGATCCCCAGAATACCGTGATTCCGGAAGATCAAGAATTCGTTAATGTTTACTATGAAATGCCTGATTTTGACCCAACTAGAATTTCGCCGTGGTTACTTCGTATTGAATTGGACCGAAAACGAATGACCGATAAAAAATTAACGATGGAACAAATAGCTGAAAAAATCAACGCAGGTTTTGGAGATGATTTAAATTGCATTTTTAACGATGATAACGCGGAAAAATTAGTTTTACGTATTCGAATAATGAACAGTGACGATGGAAAATTCGGCGAAGGAGGTGACGAAGATATTGACAAAATGGACGACGACATGTTCTTAAGATGTATCGAAGCGAATATGTTGAGTGACATGACATTGCAAGGGATCGAAGCCATTTCAAAAGTATACATGCATTTACCACAAACTGACGCTAAAAAACGTATTGTGATCACAGAAGCTGGCGAATTTAAAGCAATTGGAGAATGGTTATTAGAAACTGATGGAACGAGTATGATGAAAGTTTTATCTGAACGAGATGTAGATCCAGTACGAACATTCTCCAACGATATTTGCGAAATATTCGCTGTACTTGGTATCGAAGCCGTACGTAAATCGGTCGAAAAAGAAATGAACGCCGTTTTACAATTTTACGGTTTGTACGTAAACTACCGCCATCTTGCGTTACTTTGTGACGTAATGACCGCTAAAGGTCATTTGATGGCGATTACGCGTCACGGAATTAATAGACAAGATACTGGTGCTTTGATGAGATGTTCTTTTGAAGAAACTGTTGATGTATTAATGGATGCAGCTTCGCACGCGGAAGTCGATCCAATGAGAGGTGTGTCTGAGAATATTATAATGGGACAATTGCCGAGAATGGGAACGGGATGTTTCGATTTGTTATTGGACGCCGATAAATGTAAAATGGGAATTGCTATTCCTCAAGCTCACGCTGGTGATTTGATGTCATCGGGAATGTTCTTTGGATCTGCTGCTACACCGAGTATGAGTCCTAGTGGTGGGATGACTCCGTGGAATCAAGCGCAAACTCCGTTTGCTGGAGGAAGTGTTTGGTCGCCACAAAATTTGCTTGGAAGTGGTATGACACCAGGTGGTCCTGCATTTTCGCCATCGGCTGCATCAGACGCATCGGGAATGTCGCCGGCTTATGGTGCTGGGTGGTCTCCAACACCTCAATCTCCAGCAATGTCACCTTACGTGCCATCTCCATGCGCGCAATCTCCTTCTTATAGCCCTTCAAGTCCGGCATTCCAACCGGCTTCGCCATCTTTGACTCCGGTTTCTTCTGGATACTCGCCGAGTTCTCCTGGTTATTCGCCAACCAGTCCTAATTATAGTCCAACGTCACCAAATTATTCTCCAACCTCACCTAGTTATTCACCGACGTCGCCGAGTTACTCTCCGACTTCGCCGAGTTATTCTCCGACCTCTCCGAGTTATTCGCCGACTTCTCCGAGTTATTCTCCTACTTCACCGAGTTATTCTCCCACAAGTCCGGGTTATTCCCCAACTTCACCTAATTACTCGCGTACATCTCCAAGTTATTCACCAACTTCGCCGAGTTATTCCCCGACTTCTCCGAATTATTCTCCAACGTCACCGGGATATTCCCCAACATCTCCAAGTTATTCTCCAACTTCTCCAAGTTACTCCCCTACTTCTAGAACTTATTCACCATCGTCGCCTAATTATTCACCAACTTCTCCAAATTATTCACCATCTTCTCCACGTTACACTCCAGATTCTCCGAACTACTCGCCTAGTAGTCCAAGTTATTCACCTGCTTCTCGTTCATATTCTCCAGCTTCGCCTAAATATTCACCAACGTCTCCCAGTTATTCGCCGACTTCTCCGTCGTTCGCTGGAGGAAGTCCGCAATACTCGCCTACTTCACCTGGTTATTCCCCTTCTTCACCAAATTACTCACCATCATCTCCGCAACATACCCCAGCGGCAAGTTCAAGGTATTCACCGTCTTCGCCTAATTATTCCCCGACTTCACCTAATTATTCTCCTACTTCCCCACAATATTCACCGCACAGTACAAAATATTCACCTACTTCACCGACGTATACACCAACTTCACCTAGTTATTCTCCTGCGAGTCCTGCTTATTCACCACAACCGCCTAGATATTCGCCGTCGTCTCCGGGTTATTCACCTACAAGTCCTAATCCGGATCAAGATTAAAAGAAATAATGAAGAAATTGATGTTGAATTAATTAAAGGAGAGTGAAGAAATTTTTTATATAAGTAGTGTTATTGTTAAGGGTAAAATTAAAATGTATTTTTTAGTTTTTTTCTTAAATATAAAATGTTTTGAAAAATTGTATTGTTTAATTGGACCGCGTTATGCATCACTTAACTAAGCGACAAATGAATAATGTTCAGAAAAACGAGATTTTCGTTTTCATCTCAGCAGGAGGAGGGTTACAGTAACCTTTATAACCAAAGAATGGAAAAGAGGCCCAAAGGATCCTAAAGCCTGTCGTCCCATTAGTCTCTCATCTTTACTTTAAAGACACTTGAAAGACTATGAGATCATTACATTTGAGAAAATGTACTTAAAGCGTTTCCTTTGTATTTGCATTAGCATGCTTACATCAAAGATAAATCTGTGGATATGGCCCTACACATGGTGGTGGGGCGCATTGAGCAAGAACTCGATTCGAAGGAGTCTATATTGGGAGATTTCCTTGACATAGAGGGAGCGTTTGACAAAACCATCCTTAGAAGACAACAGATATTAGGGGGTAAGTGTATGCCCCAATCTCAGCTTGACAATAAGCGTAAAGAAATGATGTGACACAAAAGGCGTCGTTTTATACCAAGGAATTTTTTATATTGTTTGTTGACATCACGGTTCTATTTGATCTTATCCATTATTATTCCCATTCTTGGTTTAATTCATTTTTGATTTGTTGATATAACTCTTCTCCATGGATCATTATTTTGAGAGTTTCTTCGCTGCCCTTAATTCCAATATGCATCAAAACCTAGATCAGTGTTACCTCCATGTCTAGTAGGTATTTGTATATAATAATTTTATGGCCTCTGTTATGTAGGGATGTAATTTAGTTCTATAATTATAGTTTCAGTAATGATCACCGCCTTGGGGATCGATTTCTCTTTTACTAATAGTATATGATTAGTGATGTACCTAAGTATTGAATATGCTTGGGCTGAAAATATAGATAGCTGATCAGATAGATGATAATACTCCTCTATCCCTACGATAGGAGCATATATCCCGATGAGACACTTCTTTTCGGAACATGCACCTGTGATACATCTGTATATATGTTGAAAATCTAGTCATTTCTCTCTGAAGTAAAATTCCTGGTTCCCTTAAACCACTCTACAATAGACCAGATACACAGGATTACAAATAGTATTGAAAAGTCTTTAGAGGGAAAGGAAGTCTGTTCTGCAATATTGCTTGATGTAGCCCAAGCTTTTGATAAAGTCTGGCACGAAGTGTTATGGATCTTGCCACAACCGCAGTCTTAATTAATAAAATCATATCTTACAGGAAGATGTTTTAGAATAAAGCAGAAGGAGGCCTATTCTAACTTAAGAAATATCCAGGCTGGAGTGCCACAAAGTAGTGTGCTCGGCACAGTACTCTACTTGTTATACACTAGTGGTATTTCTGATCTTAAACGTGACACAGCTATCATGGCAATAAGAAAAAATCATGGAGAGGTGGCAGAAAAGTTGCAATCCTCTATGGACAAAATAAATATTTGGACCAGAACATGGCGTATCAAGTTGAATGAAAGCCAGTCTGTACATATAGACTTCACCATTAAATTAAAACAGCATATACACATGCTAACTCGGCGAAATACCTGGGCATGACCTTAGACGCAAGGCTACGCTGGAAAGCCCATGTGAAGAAGTGTATAATATAGACAAATGTACTAATTGCTCCAAAGAAGTCCAAGATACCCACAATAAACTGCTCCTTTATAAGTAAGTACTAAAGCCAGTATGGTTATACAGCCTACAACTTTGGGTCTGTGCTAATAAAAGTAATATTCAAATCATTTAACGACTACAAAACGCACTGAGAGACATGGTCGACGCACGTAGTAAATAAGGACCTATATTGGTTCAAACACCAAATTTTCTTAGATACGAAGAAAGAAGAACTGGACCGCGCTATGCATCACTTGGCTAAGCGACAAATGAACAATGTTGAGAAAAACGGGATTTTCGTTTTCATCTCTCTAAAAATATGACTTCTCAGAATAGGCAGGCTCAAACTATTGAAAATTCTTTGGTGCCTATCTAGTTTTATTACCGAACACTGATGACAGCCATCACAAGCACAGATCCGCTTGGTCAGTCGTTTTACGATTATACAGGCTGTTTCTGTAAGTCGTCGCATAAATTTAATCACAAATACTAGAGTCAAAATGATGTTTCATGTAAAAAATTTTTGAATTTAAGTCTAACTAGTTTCGGCCTTTGGCCATCTTCAGAGACTCTACAAATAGATTAACATCTCTTATCTGATCCATTTTACAAACAAGTTTCTTAATATTTCTTTTTGTTTTGTTAAAAAAGTTCACATATCAAAGTCTGTATGATTAAAGTTAGTTAAGATTATTAAAAGAAATATTAAGAAACTTGGGAAAAATTCATGAATCAGTATGTGGCTTAAAAATCGACGATTTTCTTTAATCAATGTGAAATCAGCCAAAAAACACATTAAAAATAAAAAGAAAGTGCGGAAAAGTGACTAACACCAGGTTAACTTCAGTTATAAAACTTCTATTATATGATAACTAACTTCAGGTTTAAAATGTCAACGTCAATTTTGACATATTTGTAATCGACGTGAAAAATCCTTTAAAATTAATTCAAACATGATACGTTTAATTGCAATATTACTCGAGATATAAGCAATTTCCGGTTTGAAATGTCGAATGTCATTTTGACATATTCTTAATTTTTATAAAATGTCTTAATATTTATCACAAAAATATAATAAAAAATTAAGGTTGGTATTAATATTTAAAATTGAATTGCTATCTTCACGACTAAACCCGACTGTTTCTAATTCTCGTTCTAGTTTTTGTTCAATGAAAATATACAACATACATAGTAATATCTTATGCTAAATAGGGCTACTTACCACTCCCACTAGAACTAACACTAGACCGAAAACTAGAAACATTCGGATTTAGCCCCACGTCTCTCAAGACGGCTAAACCTGAATGATTCTTGTTCTAGGTCTTGTGGTAGTTCTAGTTTTAGCTTTATCCTTTAAAACAAATAGTATTTTAGGTCTTTCGGTATTCTAGACAGCATGAAAATCTCTAAAAACGATAAAATGTCGCTTAGTTAAGTGATGTATAACGCGGTCCAATTATTTTGAGTTTTAACATTTCCTCTATTCAAACATAGATGGCGACAAAATTTACCGACTAAAACAAACTTCACACCAAACATCCTAACCTTAAAAACTTAACGTTTGCAAAGTCATTACTTGTCATTATTATTACAAATCAAAAACCGAAGAAGTCGAAATGGAGTGTATAATTGGAATTAAATTTAAAGACTTCGTGATGATCGCGACCGATATGACCACCGCTCACAGCATTATGGTTATGAAGTCCGGTAATTATATTTATTAATTTTGTATCGTTTCTATCTTTTTAAAACATCGTTCTTTTACAGACGAAAATAAGCTTTTTCCGTTATCAAAAAAGCTTGTTATGGCAATTGTTGGTGAAAAAGGTGATACAACTCAATTTGCTGAATATATCGCGAAAAATATTCAATTATACAAAATGAGGAATGGTTATGAATTAAGTCCTAGCGCCGCGGCAAACTTTACTCGAAGAAATTTAGCTGAAGCTTTAAGGAGTAGAGTAAGTTGATTTATTTAACATGTTTGTTTAAAAAGTTGTTTTAATATTTTTTTATAGAGTGCATATCAAGTTAATTTGATGTTGGCTGGCTTCGATGATCAAACAGGACCACAACTTTATTATATGGATTATTTAGCATCACTTGCTTCTGTCAGGTATGCAGCTCATGGGTATGGAGGATTCTTTTCATTAGCGATTATGGATCGTTATCATTTGGACTCATTAACAAAGGAACAAGCTTATGATTTAATGAAAAAGTGTGTTATAGAAATTCAACAAAGGCTTATCGTTAATTTGCCAAACTTTAAAGTTCAAATTATTGATACTGATGGTATTCATGATTGTCCGGATATAACTGCTAAAAACATAGCTTTGGGAAAATAATTTTATTTTTTGTATAATCTGTATTTTTTTTTCTCTTTCAATGTAATTAAAAATGTGTTTTTCATGGATAAATAGCCTTTTTTGTTAGGTAAAATAATTAATCTTAAAATTTAATACATTTCTGATAAAATATTCAGAATTAATTTTATTATTTATTGCAAATTTCCTTTTTTTAACAATTATCTATTTATAAATTTTTTACCTAATATTAGACAATTAAATAATAACAAAATTATATAAATCCTCTATCACAAAAATGCACAATAATATCTCGAACCCGTTTTTTATAATCAGTATTTTTTGGTTCATACGATAAAGCATCCAATATACTCTCCTTTTCGCTCGTTTTTGCGAAATCAGGAACCTCATCAGATTCGCTGGTCATCATTTTAATCATGAACATAGCAACGTTTATTCCATTACTACAATATTTCTTCCAATGAGCGTTGAATACCGATTTTGGATAAGTTTTTTCAGGATCACTTCCAAGTTTTTTGATAAAATCCGATAATGTTTCATAATACATGTTTATGTAATGTTCTAGATTATCTTGATCTTCTTTTGAACTTGATGTGTAAAAGAAATGGGTGAAATCGTGTATGGGTGTGTTGTAGTTGATTATTTGGAAATCCAAAAAGCAAATATCTAAGGGTTTTGAATTATTTGTTGAATCCTAAAAGAAAAAGAAAATATTTAATAGATTAGAAATAAGAAAATTGTCATAAAATCCAGAATTATTACTATGTATCTGGAATTTGGAAGAAAAGTAAGGTCGATACAGATGTGTGCTCCAACAGAGAATGCAGATGTGAGAGATAAAGACAAGTTTTAAGAATTTGTAAATGGCAATGGAAAGAGCTTGAACCGGATGGAAGGTGGATGAGGGATATGGAGCGTTGATTTTTGTAATAAAAACCAGCTTTTAATAGGCAATTTACCTTCTACAATCATAAAACAATACACAAAATAACCTTTGAAGCTGAAGGAAGAGCACAAAAATCAATAATAGATTATATAACATACACAAGATCAATGAGATATGCAGTAGGTGATATTGAAGTCATTAGAGGATCAGAGTTAAACAAAGATTACTAATACCAGATACAACATTTACAACACCAAAAACACAAACCTGAATAAAACAGACGACTTAAGATTGCGGAGTTGGAGAAGACCAAAAAACAGGAAGAGTACCAAAGGAAGATAATGGATAACCTAATTACAATGGAACAACAATGGAATAGACAAGACGCGTGAAATGGCAAAAGAGAAAAGAAACCATAATTAAAATGGCTGAGGAGGGATACGGAACGAAAACCGTTAATTATAATCAGAAATGAAAAAATTGGTGAAACGACATATTAAATGAAAAGGTACAGGAGAAGAAACGAGCATGGATTAGATACAAGTAATGCAGAACGCAACAAATTAAAGAGGAATATCAGCGAAAACGAAATGAGGCAAAGGAAATTATAAAGCAAGAAGCAAATTCAGATTCCTGGGAAAGGTTTGAGAAAAAGATGGAAGAATCAATTCTGGAATACGATTAAGAGATTGAAAGAAAGCCAAAGAAAATAGATAAGGAACATCAAAGATCAAAAGGCCAAAAACATCAAATAACGAAATATTAAGGGTGTGGAAAGAACATCAAAGCGCAAAATTTAAGGAAGAGGAAAGGATATAAACCCTACATGGAAATGAAGATGATGAGGTTGAAGATAAGGAAGGAATGGTGGAAAAGGAAATAGGGATGGAAGAAGTAGAAGAGGCTCTAAAGACAATGAGAAATGGAAAGGCGGCGGGAAGGGATAATATAGCTCTATATTAGCTAATATAGCAGAGCAATGTCGGTAGCTCTAAAAAATACACAAAAATATTAGAAAAACGCCTAAGAAAGAAAGCAGAAGATAAATTGGAGGAGGAACAAGCGACGTTTCGACCCACCAGGCAGACACAAGACCATATATACAATTAGAACTTTAATAGATAAAACATTTGTAGACCTAACAGCAGCCTTTGATACAGTACCAAAAGAAGAAATATGGTCTGATGCGGAAGATACGGGACATGGTGTATAGTAAGGTAAAAGGTGCGTCAGGCTAAGTGGAGAAGTATCCAAAAACTTTAATATGGAGAAGGGTATAAAACTGGAGAACAACCTCATCCTACTACTGTTTGTGGTTTTTATGGATCAAATAATTAAAAAGTGTAAAACAAGAACAAGACCTTCTACTATAGGTTATTACAAATTAACACCAATGAAGACCTTTAACCTAGTGTATGCAGATGATATAATGCTGATAGCAAGTATGAATACAGAACTACACAGAAAAATTGCCACCTGGAAAATCTGTTTGGAAGAAAGTGGAATGCAGATAAATATAGGGAAAATCAAGATTAAGCATATAATTAAAGGGGAAAAGGGGAAAAACATAAATATAATGATATGTGGGGGGAGATTGGAAATTATGTAATTTATAATTTTTTTGATACATTCATTCTTTACTTATTAAATTTTTATAGGCGGTCTAATCACAATGTCAGCTACAAAACAAATAAAAAGAAAAGCTATTTCTGTGGAAGTCTCAACGTTGTCTCAAAAACGAATGGCATTAAGCAGATGGCATTAAAGATTTACAACTAGATTAAAGAAGCGGAACCACAATCATGCGAGAAAAAAAGAAAATTTTAATTTTCTGCAAGTATGGGATGGTTTTCTACAACGACACGCGCTACGTAATATAAAAATAACGGGTGAAATAGCATCTGGAGATGATCTGGCAGCTAAAGAATTTCCAGCAAAACTGTCTAAAATAATTGAAAAAGCTAGTTATTACACTCCAGGTCAGGTATGGAAAGTGGACGAATAAGTCCTTTTCTGGAAGCGTATGTCAAATAGAACATACGTAGCTAAATCCCAGAAAACTGCCAGTGTGTTTAAGGCAGCCAAAAACCGCGTAACCTTTTTATTTTGGTCTAATGCGTCTGGAGATGGAATGTTAAAACAATAGCTTGTTAATCAAGCTCGAAAACCACGATCTATAAAAGGTGTAAATTTAGACACCTTATCAGTTTACTTTTCAGCTGATAAAAAAGCCTGGGTGACTAAAGAAATTTTTAACGAATGGTTTGTCAAACATTTTATCACACATAGAGCACCCGAATGAACGACGATTTAGAACAAACACCGCTGGTAACTGAAATAGAAAACAAACAGCTGAGCTGGTATGGACACCTAGTCAGAATGCCAGAAGAGAGCATTTCCAGAAGAATAATGGAAATGGGAGTAGTTGGAAACCTGTTGCAAATGTTGTTTAGATGTTTAGATCTCCTTCAATGTACGAACCACATTAAGAAAATTGTTAATGTAGTGAAAATTCATCGCCAAACTACGGATGCCATTATGAAAGATCTCTTTGCTTCTGCCAATAGGATTGCGGAAGAAATACAAATAGAACTCTTCATCCATCCAGAATAGTAAAGCACCAATAGCATCGGTCAAACACTCCTGCAGATTCACCTGCTGACTATTGGAAACGTATGATACTTATTCCATACCTGGACTATTTAACGTCAGCGTTGGAGAACAGATTTTCTGTAGAAAACGTACCGGTCATTTCTATATTATCCCTACATAAATGCTAAATTTGAAATTAATTCGAAATTTAAAATTAAAATTAAAATTTATTATAAACTCTCTATCGCAAATAAGGCATTCAATATCTGCAGAATTGCTAGTAGCGTTCAAATCTCGCATTTTACAGCGACGAACACATTTGTGGCAGGTACTTCAGTACCTACAAAGAGGATTACAGGAAGACGGTGAAATATTTCGTCGAATATCTAAGGCTACCATCGCGAAAATAATTATAAGACTAATTCAACGGCTTTTGCGAGTAAAATCGCATGAAGAAACATATAACCAAGAAGAGCCTTGTTCATCTACTAATAATGAAACTATCGTCTTAATAAATACCTCTATGTCTAAGCATGACCAGTTAAAGCGAAAACTGCAGGCGGCAATAGAGGAAATACTTACATCTCAGCCTACGATTAAAAAAATACAAGGTTAAAAACTGGATTTATTGACCATTACACCGACAAGTGTGGAGTCTGAAAGAGCAGTTTCTGCGACAGGTCGGTACCTTATGTTTTTTAAGAGCACATTTTAACAAAAAAAAATTTTATGGAATACAACAAACCTTTTTTTTTTTTAATTTTCGTATCTTTAAAATTTACTATTTGTTTGTAACCCTTAATACCGGTTTTAATATATTTTTTTAATAATAATAATAATATTCCTTTATTACCCAACAGGCATAGCCCAAAAAAGGATAACAATATATATTACATAATGTAATAATACAATAATATGTATCTGTATGTGAGAAAAAAAAACAAAAATTACAAAAAATTCAAGAAATTAACAATTGACCGAATTATAAAGAAAATAAAAATAAAAACTAAATAAGTGAATTTACATGCAGGTGATCACTGATTGTCTGGAATCCTGTTGCCCACTTTACAGAGAGTGTATGTTGGCGCCCGTCTCATAATGTTTGTCCTAGCATAAGGAATGACGAATACGCAGCTATATCTTGAGTTACTCCTTGGAACAACAAACCCTAGTCGCTCAAGAATGAAAGGGCAATCGATGTTATATTCGATAAGCCTTTGTAGAAACCTTTCATAAAACGCGTTTCTTCTGTCCATCAAGGAAATCATATTGTGTCGTGCAAGCAAATCATTTTGTGGTATACCTCGCTCAGGGTAAATTCCATCAGATTTGTAAGAAAGAAATTTTAAGAATCTACGATGGACTCGATCAAGGCTTAAGAACTCACATGCATATAAGGGACTCCAAATCAGGCAAGCGTATTCTAACTTACTCAGAACGTAAGCACAATACAAGGTCTTTAATAAGCTGACACTTGTGAAATATTTAGACATACGCATCACAAAACCTAGGGACCTAAAGGCCTCCGAACACACATTATTGATATGTTTTTTAAAATTAAGACTTGCATCAAACAGGACCCCCAAATCCCTGTACTCCTCAACACGACTTAAAGTGCTGCCAGCAATATTGTAAGGATATATGCATGGTGACGAGCATCGGCTATAAGTAAGTACACAACATTTATCTATATTAAGGTTAAGTTTGTAGGTCTTACACCATTGCACTATTGTGTTTAAGTTGTGCTGCAGCTTATCTGCATCTGCCATCGATGAGACTTCGGCATAGATCTTGATATCATCAGCATATCCCAACATCCGACAATCAATTTTTAGAAGTAAGTCATTTATGAAAAGAACAAATAATAGAGGGCCCAAATTTGATCCCTGTGGAACCCCTGAGGTATATATGTTTAGTAACATATTAGTATATGTTTAATAAATTTTGAATACCGAATACCGGTATTGAGATTTTGGTCCGATATTGCAAGCCCTACACACAGGGCTTCATCTGAAAAAATAGCCTGCTGTAAACCAATCTTTCAAAGATTTTTCCCATTATTGATAAAATAGATATAGGACGGTAATTAGTTACAAGACTACTAATATGGTAAGGAACAGACGTAGTTGTAGAAGATGGATAGAGGATCCCAACAACACCCCAACGTTGTGATGGCATCTAGAAGAAATGATAAAGAAGAAGAAATTGTCAAATAACTTTTCGCAATAAATCCATTTTTTTGAATGGTTGATGTAGAAGTAGGTAAATTCTGAAATCGCTTTGTTTCCAATTCATTTCTTAAATCTGCCATTTATGACAGCATCTAAAGAGTTCTTTTTTGTTACAAAGCTTTACGTGCAGAAAAATAGCAATGTAGCAAGTCTCAAAAAAAATTATTTAAAAATAACTCATAACAAAAAAGAAAGCAGATTTCCTAATTTGATGAGTTTACCCAAAAAGAGACAACCTTATCTTGATTAAAACACATCAAGGCAAATCTTATTTTCCGTTATAATTCAACACATATTCTAAGTATAGAATAAATACATTTTAATAATAATTAACAAGATCCTATTAAGTTTCAAGGACGTTTATCTCGAATTATCAACGAACACACTTGTAAATAATTTTACACAATAATAAGTGACATTTATCACAAAATATTCTGCAAATTTAGTATGATACAAAGTTCATGGGATAAAAACCGAATAGTTTTCAACATCCTCATTTTACAATTAATTGTAACAACAGCAATTTTAAGTAATTGTTTCTGTTGCCTTGAATGTAACTGCGTTCAACACCCATTCAATTGAGCACTTATTTTAAAATCATTTTTTGTCATTTAACAACTTAATTAGATAAAAATTAATTAATTTACCTCGTATTTATACATCATGTTATTACACCAACCATCCCCGTGTATTACAACTCCATATTCGTCCATATTTTTGCTATAAAACAAGCCGCTAGTATCTTTCATCGATTGTAAATAATTAACAAATTTCTCAAGATACTTTTTATCTTTAATTGGATCAAAATAACTGGTAACGCCTTCTGCCATTTTTTGAAAAGACTCTTTACTCACAGAGTTTCTGTCATATAATTCAAACACATCGTGCATTCTAGTTTTGTATTCGAGGAATTTCTCTTTATGCTGATCTTTAAACGCGATACTCAACGCGTGGAATTTAGCGTAACCTTTTAAGGTGATTTCAAGATGATTTCGGTCCATGGGTATCATTCTATTCCAAAGTTGAAATCCTTTTACTTTTAAATTTTCCAAAACCAAACCTTCCCTTTCGTTCATCATCGTCGAAGCGTAACACTTTGGGGCGAATATAAACGGTTTTTCAATACTTTTAGATTTTTGGAATTCATGGAACGACGTTAAAATTTCGTGATAAAACATAATTTCGTTCTCAAATAATTCTTTTGTGAACGCTTGTTCGCGAAAACTCTTATTTTCCGGGGAAAGTTTTACAATGACACTAACTTTTTTATTTTTTTCATTTCTTTCATCTTCATTTGTGCTTGTAATCGTTGCATTGTAAATCACGCTCATATAACCGTCGCCTTTTTTATTTGTAGATGATACGTCGAATTTAGGATTCGTTATATTGAGTTGTTTTGATGCCTCATTTAATAAATCGAATATTTTTGAATTATCTTTTGCGGAACTACAATTCGACATTTCAATGTTTACTTTAAACGAGAACTGTTTGAAATTGAGAAGGACAAAACTGAATGAGATTTGCCAAACGATAGCGGTCGCTAATAATAATGTGTTTTGCAAGGTTGCAACAGAATTTTTGGTGGGGGGTATTTAAATGCAATTTTACAGCATCATAGTTAAAAAATGTATGGAAATACTGATTAGATTTTGAATTATTTATACAGGTGTCTAAACAACACTTAAAAAACTAAGTTTTGCATTAACAAATTCCAATTCATAAAATTATTAGTAATTTTCCTCTTCCAGATTGATTTTTAAGCTTGTTAGATAAATCTTTGATAAATTCCTCCTAATCTGAATGGATTTATCTAACCAAACTTTCTCTTCTGGAGGGTCTTAATTAACCCATGCCTTGTTTAGTTAGTATATTGATCATCCTTTATATGAATACTTTTCAAATGAATCATCTCCAAACGAATATTTTATCATTTCTATGATCTAATTCATTTTGACCTCTAGAAATAAAACATTATTATTTAATTTGATATAACTTTTAAAACATGTATCGTGGCAGCCTCAAGAATTTCATCAATCATATCATTTTCCTTAGGCTTTTGGCATAATCATATTTATAACATTTTGCTGAGCCCCAGGGATCTTAGATAGAAGATAGGAGAACTTGGGACTGATTGTATGTCGAAATCCCACCGTAAGATGGCATTAGCGTCTATACTGAAATAATTTAATTAAACTAACAATTTTATTATTAATAGTGGGAATGATTAGAGACAGCAATAACAATTATTACCAGTATCATTCTTTTAATTTAAAAAGTATAGATTTCAAATTTTTAAATTTGCCGCTAACTTCACCTTTTAAAAGTTGAAGTTTGTAGTTTGTTCAGAATGACAGATGAAAACGTCATTTTAAAGTTAAAGTGATTTTTCGGTAAGAGTCAAGTATAATAAAATAATAATGGTATGATTAAACAATTAGATTATAATTGACATTATAGCTTTGTTTCAGTTAATGTTCGTTATAACTGGTTGGAAGCTCGTCAGATGCAATCTCACATGTCCTATGATGCAGTAATATTCAAATGTGGTGGCATTATTTGACAAGTGTAATTGCCGTAGGTAATTGCATCTGAGGAATTTCCAACCAGTCGGAACGTTAAGTGGAGCCACATAGTGGCTCCAAACACTTTTCAAACAGTTATTCTGTGCTTGGAGCTTTTATATATAAACCCAATCCAACCTGTATTCTAGTGGTTCAGTTCTTAGCTGAATAATTTCAAAATATCCCCAACAGATGGCGCCACATGCGTTCCATTTTTAGTACGAAGTTTTTGTTTAGAGAGTTGCATTTCTACGAAGTTATTTTCTAAGGTATATTTCACTTAAGAAGCAATATCCGAAAATATAAAAAAAAGAAAACAAAATTAAAAAAATATAAAGCGAAACATTAACGGTTATAATTTTATTATTGTTAGGTTATCCAACTTGACTCGGTTACCATGGTGATTAAGATCCAAATATTGCAAGTGCTTGTCAAAATTGAAATTTCATTTAAGTTTTTTTAAAGAAAAAGTCTTATTTAATTGGTTTAAAAGGCTGTACTTAACTCAAAATTGGTTTATCTAGGGTATTATAAATAAGGTAAGTAGATTAAATTAAAAAAAAAGATATTTTTAATTAGGTTAGAATTGATAAAAAAATCGGAATAAAATTTTATTATTTTAAGGTTATCCAACTTGACTCGGTTACCATGGCGATTAAGATCCAAATATTGCAGTTGCTTGTCAAAATCACAGTCAAAATTGACGTTGAATTTAAGTTTTTTAATGAAAATCAAATAATTAATTGGATTTAAAGGTTGAATCTAATTCAAAATGGATGAAATTATAAGCAAGGTAAGTGAATTAAATCAAAAAAGAATATTTTTAGATCAATTAAAATGTACAAGAATTTAAGGTTAAATAACAATTAAAACTAACACTAGACCTAGCACTAGAAAGTTTTAGGTTTAGCCGGACGTCTTAGACAAGAACTTAGAAAAGTCTGAAGACACACGGCTAAACCCGAATATTTCTAGTTCTAGGTCTAGTGAGTTCTAGTTTTACACTATCATTAGAACTAACACAAAACCTAGAACTAGAAACAGTCGGGTATACTCGTGAAAAAAACTTACAGTTCTCAATGTCAACTTTAATTTTATTATTATATTCGTAATCTTCATAAAATAACCTTTAAAGTGAGTCTAAACTTGACGCATTTATCTCAAAAATACAAAAAGTTAGAATAAAAGACGTTAAACCCGAAGTTAGCAACTATGAAGATAGTAATTTAATTTTTAAATATTAATACCAACCTTAATTTTTTATTTTTTTTATTATATTCTTGTTTTTGTGATAAATTTTAAGACATTTTATAAAAATTAAGAATTTGTTAAAATGACATTGATATTTCAAACCGGAAGTTGCTTATATCTTGATTGATCTTGTTGATTTTCACGACTATTACAAATATGTCAAAAATGACGTTGACATTTCTAACAAGAAGTTGACCATAATTTCATTAATATTGAAGATAAATATGTCGTGTTTGTACTCATTTTAAAGGATTTTTCATGAAGATTACAAATATGTCAAAATTGACATTTTAAATCTGAAGTTAGTTATCATATAATAGACAAATGGACAACTTCATGGTGTTCTTTTATGATGTATTCTTTATTAAAGAGAACCATTAAAATGAGTCCAAACATGATGTTGCTAGATATCACTATATTGTAGTAGTATATTTTTATTGCGCTAAAACTAGAACTAACACTAGACCTAGAACTAGAAAAATTCGGGTTTAGTTCTACGTCTAGTGTTAGTTCTAGTTTTAATTGTTACTAAGCATTAAATTGTTGTGTATTTTTACTGAAATAGAATACATTAGACCTAGAACTGGAATCATTCAGGTTTAGCCGCACGTCTCTAAAGACGGTTAAACCAGAATGTTTCATCCATCAACAGTCCATCAATAATCCATTTACAGGATGCCCTCCTTTTCTCTCGAATTATTTAAGACACAAAGTTTCATCGTTACATTAATCGTCAGAAATATAAAATCAATTAAGTTTTCTTTTAAAGTTACTTCCAACACGTAATATGTATTGCCTAATTAATTAGTTTATACTCCATCTCCATGCATGTTTATTAGTCATCTTGATCTCGGTCAAACCAAAGTATGATTAGTTTTTCTCATCATTGTCAAAGTCTTTTTTTCTCTTGATTTATTTTATTTTTACCGATTAATTACCGAACGAAAACTATAAAATGGAATCATATTACTTTACGATACTTGTAATGGTATTAATTTTTAACTTAATTTTTGCTATTTACGCATTTTTACGCTATTTTGGTAAGTATCATTTACAAGACGTAGGTTTTTATTTATGCTTTAATGTATTTCAAGGATACATAAGAGGATGCGATAGACTTCCTATTTTACAAAGAAACACGCAAATTCCAGAAATATCGAATAACAAAAAATAAGATACACTTCATTATTAAAACTGTATCTTTCTAAAAACATGTTATGGTATTAAAAATAAATAAAGAATACAATTAAAATAAAAATAACTTAAAATAATTTACAACAACAACAACCTTGACTAATTTTAAGATGTTCTTTTTCAGTATCTTCGTCCTCAAAATTTTCTTTGTACATCGTTAATTTTCTGGCCAAATTGTCGAAAACCACATCAACACTACATCCGGTTTTTGCGGAAGTTTCAAAGAATAAGTACCCCCAAGATTTCGCTAAATCGAGTCCTTCCTCGTACTCGACGCTCCTTTCAACATCCATATCGCTTTTATTTCCAACTAAAGCAACGGTTGTTACAGAATTCGCCATGCGAAGTTCCCTAATCCAATAATGAATTTTTTCGAAACTCTCTCTGTTCGTGATATCGTAAACTAAAATCACAGCGTTTGCTCTTTTATAATATAACGGCGCTATAACGTGATAATTTTCAGCGCCGGCGGTGTCCCAAATGTCTAATTTTACGTTAAATTTGGGAAAATAGAGGGTTTTGCTTAAAAAAGCCGCCCCAACCGTGCTTTCTTCGTATGGATTGAAAAATTCCTTTACGAATCTAACCGCTAAGCACGATTTTCCCACCGCAGATTCGCCTAATAAGACGGTTTTGTATTGATAAAGTTGTTTTGATGATTCCAATCCGTGCTCTTCCGGTTTATTTAAATTGGGCGAAATATCTTTTCTAAACTAAACGTTTATCCATTTAATAACGATTTAGATTTTTATTTTTACTTACCACTCTTCGAAATATTCGGTTTAAACGTTGATCTTGATGAAACATTTTTCACACCACAAAGTTGTAACAAACCCACCGATTGCTATTAGTAAATAACTTTATTTTGAACGATAACAAACTTACGTTATTAGTTCATTACACAAAATTGTTCACATTATTTTAATATAATAAATTGTAATCATTCAAAAAACTCAAAAACCCTGCTTTATGTTAACTCTTAACGTCGGGATTATTATTGAGACTACTTAGGTGCCTTTTGGAATGAATCGTTATTTTGTTCTTATTGTTAGTGTAAGCAAATTGTAAACACCACATATGCTGAGTAAAGTGCAATAATGATAAGGCGTTGTCCTTGAACTTGCTGCATTTATGGGTGTTACTTTCATTCGTTATTAAACGCAACGAAATTTTTTGCTTAATAACATTTAATTATTAGTAAAAAATAATTCTATATCTATGTTTATAAATGTGTTATATTTTAATGAGTTTATTGTTGCCTCTTTGATAATAATATACTTCATGCTTCTTAGTTCTACCACGTCTAGAGCATTCTTCTCAACTTCTAAAGGACGCATATCCTTCTCCGAATTGATACTATACTTTGGTCAGGCGAGATTGTTTCGACACTACTCATCTAGAATGACCCAAAAATATATAAAAGTAGAGTTTAGGTGTTGTTATTCTTTATCAAGACATTTATGAAGTACCAGGGCTTAGCCCTCAACTTCTAATAGTAACTTTTTGCTTCTTTGTCTTTATTTAATGCTTCGTAGTTCATTGCATCGACTATTTATGTATTGCAATTCTTTGATAGTCAAAGATTAAGGTCAAATTAAGGAATTATCGCCAATCTTCAGATTTTATTATTACCTGAACCCAAGTATAGTTGCAAAAGAGATTGTTTTATTTTCATTACTGCTCCTAAGGCAACGAATCCGGAAAAAATCCATCTTTCAGGTGTTGTTGATGGAAGATTTTAAACGACATCGAAAGCCGCTCTCTAAAACGCAGAATCCTGTTGTACTAAATCTAAATACTCCACCACACATACGCTTCTACAAAGCAGCGTTCTTAACCCACTTGAAATTTGATCGTTATAGGTGCAATGTAGTTCTAAGTAATTTACACTGCGCGTCATACATCTTTTTAAATATTAGAACACATCAACGGATTTTTGCATCTGGTCCTTATCACCGACGGCCCGATATGGGTGTTGAAAGAGAAACAACAGCCAGAAGAGATCGTTTTGTTTTGATCTCTGTTTTGATGGAACGCAAACCGGTGAATGAAGCAGCTTTCGGCAAGCTCAAGGAACAGCTATTCCAGTTTCCAAGATTCCACTGTTCGAATAAGGTTAAGGAAACGTGGTGTAATAGCTTGCAATCACGTTATAAATCTTTGCTTGCTGCAGTTCATAAAAGATGTAGACTTGCTTCCACCAGAGAGCACATTAATTGGACAGTTGAGTGCAGAATCTGTCTTTATGGCAAAAATTGTCGAAATAAGGTATACAGAAAAGATAGAAAACTTTTCGACTAAATTCTAACATTCTTCCGACATGGTCTCTCCGTCCGTTGCTCTCTACACATTCTTCCCTAATGCTTTTAATGCGGTCTAGTAATATTAAAGTTTTTCAATCATTTTCAAAAATCCATAATAAATCGGGATATCAATAAATCATTAAATATTTACTTGTTATGCAATTTATAAGCTTGCCAATGACAGAAACTGATTTTCAAATTATCTTTTAGTTTTGGAAATATTAACTTTTAAACACAATAAGGCATTTCCTCTTTTTCAATATAAACAATTATATTAAAAAAATCGTAACAAATCGTGGTTATAATAAATTCTTATCAAATTATCAGCATTTATTCTACAAATTGTAAGCTTTCCAATGAAAGGAGCGAATTTTCAATATATCTTTTAGTTTTTGAGATATTAACTTTTAAACACAATAAGGCATTTCCCAATTTTTCGATATAAACAACCATTTTCAACAATTCATAATAAATCGCGGTTATAATATATCATTATGAAATTATCAGCATTTGGTCTACAAATAGTAAGCTTTTCAATGAAAGAAACGGATTTTTAAAATGTCCTTTAGTTTTTAAGATATTAACTTTTAAACACAATAAGGCATTTCTCTATTTTTCGATATAAACAATCATTTTCAAAAAATCGTGATAAATCGTAGTTTTAATAAATTCTTATCAAATTATCAGCATTTATTATACAAATTATAAGCTTTCCAATGAAAGAAACGGATTTTCAAAATATCTTTTAGTTTTTGAGATATTAACTTATAAACACAATAAGGTATTTCCCCATTTTTCGATATAAACAACCATTTTCAAAAATTCATAATAAATCGGGGTTATAATAAATCATTATGAAATTATCAGCATTAGTTATACAAATTATAAGCTTCCCAATGAAAGAAACGGATTTTCAAAATATCTTTTAGATTTTGGGATATTAATTTTTAAACATAATAAAGCATTTTCTCATTATCAGGTTAAGCAACTATTTTCTCTCATTTTCAAAAAATCATAATAAATCGAGATTTTTATAAATCATTATGAAATTATCAGCATTTGTTCTACAAATTGTAAACTTTCCAATGAAAGAAACAGGTTTTCAAAATGTCTTTTAGTTTTTGAGATATTAACTTTTAGACAAATCCACATTTTTTGGGATAAACAGTCATTTTCAAAAAATCGTAATAAATCGTAGTTTCAATAAATTCGTATCAAATTCTCAGCACTTATCATACAAATTGTAACCTTTCAAATGAAAGAAACGGATTTTTAAAATGTCTATTAGTTTTTGAGATATTAACTTATAAACACAATAAGGATTTCCCCATTTTTCGATATAAACAATCGTTTTTAAAAAATCGTAATAAATCGTAGTTTTAATAAATTTTTATCAAATTATCAGCATTTATAATACAAATTATAAGCTTTCCAATGAATGAAACGGATTTTCAAAATATCGTTTAGATTTTGAGATATTCATGTTTAAACATAATAAAGCATTTTCTCATTATCAGATTAAGCAACTATTTTCGCTCATTTTCAAAAAATCATAATAAATCGAGATTTTTATAAATCATTATGAAATTATCAGCATTTGTTCTACAAATTGTAAACTTTCCAATGAAAGAAACGGATTTTCAAAATATCTTTTAGATTTTGAGATATTAATTTTTAAACATAATAAGGCATTTTCCCATTTTTCGATATAAACAATCATTTTCAAAAAATCATAACAAATCGTAGTTTTAATAAAATCTTATCAAATTATTAACACTTATCATACAAATTGTAACCTTTCAAGTGAAAGAAACGGATTTTTAAAATGTCTATTACTTTTTGAGATATTAACTTTTAAACAATAAGGCATTTCCCCATTTTTCGATATAAACAATCGTTTTAAAAAAATCGTAATTAATCGTAGTTTTAATAATTTTTTATCAAATTATCAGCATTTATAATACATATTATAAGCTTTCCAATGAAAGAAACGGATTTTCAAAATATTGTTTAGATTTTGAGATATTCATGTTTAAACATAATAAAGCATTTTCTCATTATCACGTTAAGCAACTATTTTCTCTCATTTTCAAAAAATTATAATAAATCGAGATTCTAATAAATCATAATGAAATTGTCAGCATTTGTCCTACAAATTGTAAACTTTCCAATGAAAGAAATGGATTTTCAAAATATCTTTTAGATTTTGAGATATTAATTTTTAAACATAATAAGGCATTTCCCCATTTTGCGATGTAAACAATCATTTTCAAAAAATCATAACAAATCGTAGTTTTAATAAAATCTTATCAAATTATTAACACTTATCATACAAATTGTAACCTTTCAAGTGAAAGAAACGGATTTTTAAAATGTCTATTACTTTTTGAGATATTAACTTTTAAACAATAAGGCATTTCCCCATTTTTCGATATAAACAATCGTTTTAAAAAAATCGTAATAAATCGTAGTTTTAATAAATTTTTATCAAATTATCAGCATTTATAATACAAATTATAAGCTTTCCAATGAACGAAACGGATTTCCAAAATATCGTTTAGATTTTGAGATATTCATGTTTAAACATAATAAAGCATTTTCTCATTATCAGGTTAAGCAACTATGTTCGCTCATTTTCAAAAAATCATAATAAATCGAGATTTTAATAAATTATTATGAAATTATCAGCTTTTGTTCTAGAAATTGTAAACTTGCCAATGAAAAAAACAGGTTTTCAAAATGTCTTTTCGTTTTTGAGATATTAACTTTTAGACAAATCCCCATTTTTTGGGATAAACAATCATTTTCAAAAAATCATAATAAATCGTAGTTTTAATAAATTCTTATCAAATTACCAGCACTTATTATACAAAGTATAAGCTTTCCAATAACAGAAACGGATTTTCAAAATATCCTTTAGTTTTTGAGATATTAATTTTTAATCAATTCATTTTTCGAATATACTCAGAAATTCTTAAAAATGCTTTGTATTTTTAATTTTTGTTTGTATTTTTTAACAATTTTGTTTTTATTTTTTATCTTACAAACAAAAATAATTAAAACACACCCTTTACGTTTTTATTTGCATTCAGCAGAAGAATTTATTAGAAGAATTTAGAAGCAACAAAAAAACAACATAATACCCTACAATAATACATACTTACACAAAGATAAATCTTTATTGCGTTTCACCCCAACAACCAATTAATACATATAGGCAATAAATAACAACAAACAAAAATAAACAACTTCTTAAAAGTATATATTCATAAATACAAACAATTTATTCCTTAATAACTTTAGTCTTCTTGGTTATCTTGACGATGTTAAAACCAGATTTACTTTCTTTAGTGCGAACCTTAGACTTTTTAGGAATATCGGCTTCAACATCGAATTTTTCCATTTCGGGTTCTAATTCGTGTTTATCTTTATTGTCCTCTTCCGGGGGGGAATACGAAAAGTCTTTAGTGTAGGGGTCATTATGTTGGTATTCATCCCTAGTGTACTTCATCGGTTCGTATTCTTCTTTACTTCCGATATCTCTAGTTTTTCTAGAAACAACAAATCGTTTATAATAACCTTTCACTTGTTTTTCTTCGTCCTCTGGCACGAATTTCGAAGATTTCTTTTCACGCTTAATCGCATCAACCGATTTCTTAACTTTCGTGTATCTCCTTTTAAATTTTTGCGGTGCCCTAAAACTCGATGTCGTTCTCTCTTCCATTCTCACCTCGTTACTCGTTTCTTCGGAACTCGATTCGCGACTTTCTTGTTCTTCCTCTTGAATATCCTCCGATTTTGGATTATCCGATTCATCGAAATAATTTTGAGCGTTATCTTGTTCTTTACCATCTTCACTTCTTAAATTTTCGCTCCACGGGGAAGTTTCCCAAAACTTCCTTATTGATTGTCTAAAATCGGCGTTTAATTTTCTTTGGGAAGGCTCGTTAAGTTGATTTAAATTAGCAAGGTTATTAAGATTGTTAATCGATTGGGGTGGAACATCAAAGTTTTCTATTTGAGAATTAACTTCTTGGTTTTGCGGTTGATTTATTAAAGCTGCCGATTGAGGCATTTGTTGCAATTGTTGTTGAGGTGCAATTGTGGTTTGGACTTGAATTGGTACTTGAATTAAAGCGGCCGAATTCGGGGGTTCTACATCTCTATTCCAGTTCAAATTTAAATTAAACGTTCTTCTAATCGCTTCCGATCTTGGCGATTCTAAAAGATTTAAACGCGTTGGACCCGAATCGAAGGATACGTTTAATCCTGATGGAGTTAAAGATGCTGAAACATAACAAAGATAAAAAGCGTTAATGGTGAATGGAACTCGCTTTGTGAGAAAGTGGAAATGAAAGTTCTGGTTTAAATAAATGTTATTTGAAGAATTTAAATTAAAATGGGATTTATCGGATTTTATAGAAAGATTTGATTAAGTAAGTATTTGAAACGTGCATAACTTGAAGTTATGTAATTTTAATGGCTGTTAAGAACCTGGTTTTAGCAATTTCTCGATTTTTTATGGTTCGTTTCACGGCCCGGTTCTTTCTTGTAAAAATAAATGAATACCAAAAAAATGTGAGATTATTTGCTCAATAAATATATGATTGATATTAAGAGCATTTACTTTTCCATTATAGGCGTTAAAAGAAACTTAACGTTATCTTATGCAACTTTATCTATTTGCTAAGGTGAACCTGATTTTACAATTGCAATTTTTTCCGGTTGTATTCACGGTCCACATTTTAAAACTGTTTTTGTTTAACCTGAGCTCTTTATTTGGCAAAGTGGCAATGTGACAAATTTAATTTTACACCGATTAACCGTGGTAATCGTTTGCTTGCTTAATCAAACCTTAATTTATCAAAAATTATAGAGGCTAATAATTACCTGTTGGTTGAGGAGCCGGAATTTGAGCTTGATTTTGTTGAGCCAAAGCATTTTCTTGTTGTTGTCCTATAACAGGTGCCAAAGCAACAATTTGCCACGGCAAACCAATTTGTGCCGAATCCGGTTTTGCTGTTGTCGAAGATATTTGACGAGAAACTCCAGATTGAACTCCTTGTACCGCTACATTTTGTTGTTGTTGTGGTTGTTGAACTTGAATTAGTTGTGGTTGTATTTGCTGAGGTTGTAATTGTTGTGGTTGTAATTGTTGTGGTTGTAATTGTTGTGGTTGTAATTGTTGTGGTTGTAATTGTTGTGGTTGTAATTGTTGTGGTTGTATTTGCTGAGGTTGTAATTGCTGAGGTTGTAATTGTTGTGGTTGTAATTGTTGTGTTTGTTGAGAACTTTGTACATTTTGAGACCCAACTGGAGCAGTTAAAAGAGAAGCAAGAGGAAGAATAATAGCACCTTGTGGTAAAACTAAATTTTCTTTACTATTATTATCATTATTAATTGGAGCAGCAAATAAATTATTCTGTTCTTGTTGTCTTTGTTGTTCTTGTTGCTGTTGTAATTGTAAAATAATTCTGGAATAGCTTCCTGAAGGTAGTGGCCCAACTGCTGGCGGGAAAAACGTTGGTCTTGGAGTTGTTGCGACTTGTCGTAAAATTTGAGGACTTGATACTCTTCTGATAACGTCGTATCCAAAGACATCGCCGACTCCACGGAGGAACAAATCGACGGTTCGTTTATCCCGTTTGGTGGTTTGGTCATTTGCTTGAGTGGAAACGACGAGAATTAATAAACACAAAACGATAAAGTTTCGCGATACCATGGTGACTCTTTTAAAAAGGAACTTTTTATTAATTATTCAGACCGAAGGCACATTCTCTCTTCTGGTTCAAATTTTCAACTGAAACTGAACTGTTTTCTTAAATTTACCTAACCGGTTCGTTTTATGGGGTTACAGTAAAGTAATAGAAGGAGAAAGGAACTTTTTATGTTTAACCAATTTATTATGCTATTTTTTTGGTTCTTTGCGTTGCGTAAAGTTTATTTCAAGAAGTTTACTGTGCTTTTTTTGATTGTAAGTTTCAAAAATTTCTCTTGAATTATTATTAAGTGTTTTAGTAATCGTCTTTAGTTGAATTTCTCTTAATTTTTTAGGTATATTTAATTAAAATTGATTAAATCCATGTTACCAGTGAAGAGTTCCGCGGCTACTCCTCTCTCCTTCTTTTTGCATAATTCCTTATATCCAATTCCCTTAATTTTTTAAACAACTTAGAATCCCAATTTAACTAACTATCTTTCCTTTTACCCCTTTCAAGAACCCTTACACACTTATTGTTTTTGTTTTTGTAAGTGGATTCTCAACCTACATTGTTACCAATGTTTTTATAATGTTTAATAACATATTAATTTAAATTTATTAAAAATAAATTTAAAAACAGTTTAATTAATTTTTCAATTTTCAAATTAAATATCAGATGTTCAATACAGTTTTCTACTTTTCAACTTTCAAAATTTCAAACCTAATCTCGTCTTTCTCTACATCATATAGCATACTCTGTCTAATACGGAGATTTTTTTGTTTCTCAAAACCTGCTTGATGAGTTTTCATTTCATTTTTAACAACGACGTAGTTCAACCATTTTTATAAACTGTAACATGCTCGTCTTTAATTTTAAAAAGTTTAACTAATTTTATGGTACATTTCGGAATTAAGAAATGTTCTACAACATTTCTTAATTAAGAAATGTTAATTATAGGATTGACAGATTATGTCAATCCTATAATTATTTTCTGATAAGATGGATGTAACTTCACATTTTTAACGAGTAAGTAATTGTTGTAAATTTTTGATTAGTTTAAGTTTGGATTAGTAAAACAAATATTTCTCAATGTAGAGTCTCTGAAGATGCCTATAAGGCGAAACTAGTCAGACGAAAAATAAAATTTTACAACCAGTTAAAGTACATTGAAGCTGTTTTTCATTTTTGACCATATTTAATTAACACTAGTGATGGATCCGGCCATTATGGTTATAATTTCTATTGCATTTCTGAAGTGATGTAGTATATTGCCACATTATTGCGATATTTGAATAAAAATGAAATTAATAAGAAAGCTGATAAGATATGTCAACTTATTTGGATCCAAGATACAAAATGAACTTTTTTAATGCTGAATTATTAAAATTTAACCGGCGAAAATTGCAAAATTCGAAAATATTGTCGATCATTTCAAAAATTTATTTCTCAACAATTAAAAGTGATTTTTCAAAACGGTTTTTTGCATTAAAAAGAGGATACTTTAATTAATAATTGCTGATATTTCCACAAGGATCCTTCAAGAAATTAATTTTATAGGGAATTTTGAAAATTATCGATGAAAATGACACCATCGAAAATGTTATCAAAACTTCAAATATTATTTTCTCAAAAACCAGAAGTTATTTCTCAAAACGGGTTAGTTCATTGGAAAGAGGACACTTTTATTAACATTTTGGGAAACTTTCATACTCATATTCCAAGAAATCGATTTTATACGAATTATTAAAATTTAATCGAGGAAAATTGCAAAATTCGAAAACATGCTCGTTTATTTCAAAAATTTATTTCCCAAGAACTAAAAGTGATTTTTCAAAACAGCTTTTTGCATTAAAAAGAGGATGCTTTAATTAATAATTGGTGATATTTCCACAAGGATCCTTCGTGAAATAAATTTTATAGCGAATTTTGAAAGGTACTGATGAAAATTGCAACAATGAAAAGTTTATCAAAACTTCAAATATTGTTTTCTCAAAAACTAAAAGTTATTTTTCAAAACAGGTTGGTTTATTGGAAAGAGGACAGTTTTATTAACACTTTCGGAAATTTTCATACTTATATTCCAAGATATGGATTTTATACGAATTTTTAAAACTTAATCGACGAAAATTGCAAAATTCCAAATTGTCGAATTTTTCAAAAATTTATTTCTCAAGAACTAAAAGTGATCTTTCAAAGCGGCTTTTTGCGTTAGAAAGAGGATACTTTAATTAATAATTGGTGATATTTCCACAAGGATCCTTCATGAAATTAATTTTATAACGAATTTTGAAAATTATCGATGAAAATTGCAACATCGATAATCATCTTATCTAAACTTCAAATATTGTTTTCTCAAAAACTAAAAGTTTTTTTTCAAAATGGGTTGGTTCATTGGAAGGAGGACACTTTTATTAACACTTTGGGAAATTTTCATACGTATATTCCAAGAAATCGATTTTATACGAATTTTTGAAACTTAATTGGCGAAAATTGCAAAATTCGAAAAAATTATCGTTTATTTCAAAAATTTATTTCTCAAGAATTAAAAGTGATTTTTCAAAACGGCTTGTTGCATTAAAAAGAGGATACTTTAATTAATAATTGCTGATATTTCCACAAGGATCCTTCATGAACTTAATTTTATAGCCAATTTTAAAAATTATCGGTAAAAATTGCAACGTCGAAAATTTTTTCAAAACTTCAGATATTGTTTTCTCAAAAACTAAAAGTTATTCTTCAAAACGTGTTGGTTCGTTGGAAAGAGGACACTTTTATTAACATGTTGGGACATTTCCATACTCATACTCCAAGAAATGGATTTTATACGAATTTTTAAAACTTAATCGCCAAAAAATGCTAAATTCGAAAATATTGTCGATCATTTCAAAAATTTATACTAATTTAACTAATAAACTTGTTATTTAGTATAGTACCATATTCACATTACCAAACAATTAATATTAATTCATCATTTTGAACAAAAATTAAAAAATTTTGATTACATTCAAATCATTTGATTTAAATGATAGTGTTATAAGATCAATCCAATTAGTGGTTCACCCAAAATATTTACTAAAACATGCCTTTACTCAAACTTAACACCAATATAAATAGATTCAGCACGGTATTCTTAGTCTATAGAAACAAAGTAAGCTTACTGTAACTCTCCTCCAGATGATGAGGACATAGTTAAAGGCTAGCCAAGCTTTAAAAATGTTCATCAAGTGTATTTTCATACCTTCTAGGCTCTATTGAAGAAGAGCAGGAAAGATACCGTCGGGTCCGGGTGTTGTGAAGGGCTCAACAGGGCTCCTATTTTTATTAATTTTCTGATAGAATTTTTTAACATGTCGTGTATTCGTTTCTTCCAGACTTTGTATTTCCTTTTCCATGTATTCTCTTTTTTTCCTTCTATGCATCTTCTTTTCTTCTCTTCTCAGCAACCTGTGTTCTTCTTGCGTTTATCTGGTTCTCTGCCTTTGTAATAGTCCTGTTTATTATTTCTGCGCATTCCTATCAAACCAGGTTTCATCTCACTTTTGGCATTTTTCTTTTCCCAATGTATTGCTTGCCACCTTTTCAATACCTTGTCTACATTTAGCCCAATATTGGTTTATATTCATTGCTGTATCATTGACCAGCTCTGTTAGTTTTTCTTCTAATCTTTTCTGATATTTGTTCCTCTGTTTATTTCGTTTCTGAGTTTTATTGTGTCATATTTCTCTCTTCTACTACCTATGCTTTCCCAAGGTGCAAACAACTTGAGAAAATCAAATAATTTGAGCATAATAATAACAGCATTAAGAACACAAAAGCCACTAATTAAACACCAGACTATCTTCCATGATGAGAATACCATCCTAATAAAATTACTTCATGAAGCACCTCAAGGAGAATCGCAGAATCAGTTAAAACATGATAAGACATTTTGAGCCAGCAAAGAACATCAGTCACAATTTAGTATTTTCTTGCTTGTATAACCATGTTACTAGTTTTTATGCAGCTTGAATAAGCAATACAAATTGTAATTTTTTGCAACAAATTGAATAAAACGATTATTGGTCCATTGGAAATATTTAAGACATCTCATCAAAATTATTTAAGAAAGACTCAAAATTAGAAATATTTAAGTTGATAATTATTATTTGGCGCCATCTCTTGACACTTATTATGAACTAACCCAAAATGTTTATTGTAACCAAATAGTATCTAATTAAATATTACTAAATTTTATAATTAAAATTTATTAATATACAGCTAAATTTCCTTTTATCGAAAAAACAAGTAAGCTATATACATGTATTATAAAATTAAAAAATGACATTTAATACTTAACCTCAATTGTCTGTTCAAATCGTAAATGAATAAATTACCAAATAGTAAATGGCTTTTGTAATAAAATTTGCCAAGGGCGTGCGAAACCACTGGAAAAAATCAATTATTGCTGCCCTAGCTACAACTTACGGTATAAACTATGCAATCGAGAAAAACCAGTAAGTTCATTTTTATAACCTCACTTTTTATTTTATTACAACATTTACCCCAATTTAAATCTTTTAGAATTAATTCCCTTATGCGCGTATATTGCGAAAAAGCGACAGAGTACGGAAAACAACCAATTTCGTCCAATGACCTACCAAGAACAATTACAATAATTTTAAATCCAAACGCCAATAAACGGAAGGCATTAAAAAATTTCGAAAAATACTGTGCCCCTATTTTAAATTTGGCTGGTATTTGCGTCGATGTGATTCAAACGAATGCTGAGGGACACGCTAGAAGTTTAATGGAAACTTTACCTCACAGTGATGCTGTTGTTGTGGCTGGCGGTGATGGAACTTTATCAGAAGTTGTAACTGGAATGTTAAGAAAATCTAACGAGGATAAAAGTAGTTTTTATCCTCTTGGCGTTTTACCTTTGGGCAGAACCAATTGTGTGGCTAAAAATTTATTTCCCGGTGGAAAAAATTTAGAGGATGTTCGATCACTTGCAGATGCTTCTTTAGCTGTGGTTGAAGAAATGACTAAACCTGTTGATATTATGAGAATTGAGGTGGTTGATACTGAAAATCAAGGTAAATATTAATAGTGAATATATCAATTTAAAGAAGTAATTTTTATTTTACTTTTATTAGGAAAACCGGTTTATGCTGTTTCTGGAATTGAATGGGGCGCTTATCGAGATGCAGAAGTGAGAAAAGATTCTTATTGGTACCTTGGAGTTTTAAGAAAATACGCAACCTACATTTTTAATGGTTACAAAAACAATTTAACTTGGGATTGTTCAGCTTTAGTACGATATTCAGAACCATGTCAAGGTTGTAGTAATTGTTACATTGAAAATAATCCACCAATAGCAAAAAGGTGGTATCATAGGTATGATATAACTCCTCTAAAATTAATTGATTACACAGGGCAACGCTGATTCTGTGGCATGGGGTTTATTAGTCAATTTTAGGTAATTTTGGTCTCCTGAATGCGAAAATAATAATATTTTTGTTGAATTGACTCTACTTTTTAAGACAAAGGCAATCAATTTATACTGGAAATTAAATTTTAAAAAGGCGAGAATATTTTTAAAACGTTTATTTTATTATTATCAAATAATTTATTAATTATCTGATATCAAATAAACAAATTGCTACAAATAATACAAAAACAAATAAAATTAATCATAAAAAAACATAAACATATTAATAAGAGTTAAGAAAAACGTTTTGTATGGGATTTCCTATGGTGTTTTTGGTCTGGACAGTTTTCTTGAAACTTCCAGAAGTAGTTTGCCATCATATGGCGCTCCCAACGGCCTTGATATCTGTCCTCCATAACCTTGATGTCCTGGTGGAATCGTTTCCCTGGTTCTTCACTATAATTACCGTTATTATACAGGAGTCTCATATAACTGGTTTTTTAGGTTCCACTATTCGTAGAGATTTGAAATTCTAGTAGCATGGGTTGTACATTCGGAACTTTCGATCTAACATATTTTCAAGATGGCCGTAACTTCCGGTCTACCAGAAGTAGACCATAACCAAGGTTTGTATATCAAGGTCCGTTGAGTATTGGTTATAAGGTTATCCAACTCGAACAACTTGACGTTGGCGGGGTGAGGTGGGAAACGTGACGTCATTGGAGGAAAAATATAACATAATATGATATAATATAAATTTAATATAATATAATAATAATATTTATATTAATAATTATTTAAAAATTTAACAAGTGTTATTAAACTCAAGAAATAAAGAGTTTCTGTTGGTTTACGTATATAAATGAAAACAGAAATGACAATTCTTCCAATGACGTCACAACAAAGCCTTTGTCTATGGGCCTTTGCGGAGGGGATACGTTCATAACAACAG